CCCTGGACAGCGGTGCGTACATCATCTACGGCGTGTACTCACCTAGTTGTGATTGCGGGGGTTGAGCTTTGGCTTTTTGGTCCCGCCTCTCAACCGTCAATTTACTGGTGTACAAGTTCCTGAGCCTATTGAGCTTTATTATATCTACATTCGAAACTATGTATGGAGTCTCGTCGTCTTCTGGTGTGTGGTTTGGTCATCATTAGGTCATTGTTATACCTAACCCATCTTTCACAGCCAACGAATAGGACAAATCTCCCTTGTGTGAAGGTATAGTAAGTAAGTGTGTGCTGACTAATATATGAGGTTTACTTCAGCTGTTACAGTAGGGACTGCAACGTGTGGGGCATTGCCCATCATGTTGGAGATAGCGATACTTGTCACCACTATCTGTGCTGCACCAGATAAAACTGTCTGTAAACACCACGTATTCAAATTAATGGCCAGACCCACCGTCCACCCCCACCGCTGGACTCTTCAGGTTAGGGGTCACCACCGGAACATGTTCACCATCTCCCGCTAACAAAGTGGTGGAGAGGTTTAGTAATGCACTGAATTTATTTTATTCTGCCGCATAAAATGGAAATAAGCACCGTAAGTCGCATGTGTGTGCAAGGTAAGGTTATTACCAGGGGAAAGAGCTAAGCCAGTATGACATTACAGAAGTAGGAAAAGATCTGAGGAATCTCTCCCGCCTGGTATGTTGCTCGCCTCCCTCCCTCCCTCCTGCAATAGGTATGCTGGGAGAGAACTCTAACATGAAGGGCCCAAGACTTTGAAACACTTTCCCTCAGTCTTTATAAAGCTGGAATATGCAGCGCTTGTATGGTGCTCATATCTTATGAAGCACATCAACAAACTGGAAAAGATGCAAAGACATGCAACTAACTGGCTCCCGGAACTGAAAGATAAGAGCTACAAGGAGAGGTTAAAGGCATTAAATATCCCAAAATTAAAAGATAGAAGAGAAATACATGACGTTATCACCGTGCACAAAGCTCGTAACGGGAATCAACAAAATTGATAGGGAAGAATTCATGAGATCTGGAACTTCAGGAACAAGGAGAAATAGATATAAACTAACTAAACAAAGCTGCAGAAGAAATATAAAAAAAAATCTCTTTTGCATACAGTGTGGTAGACAGTTGGAACAAGTTAGGTGAGGTGGTAATGGCGGCTAAAACTGTCAGTACTGTAGTTTCAAAGTGTCATATGACAGTGTGCTGGGAAGATGGGACACCACGAGCGTAGTTCTCGTCCTATAACTACACTTAGGTAACTACACTTATACTAAGGTAATAACTTGGGTAATTACTAACACATGATCCTTGTGTGCACCATTCGTCTGTGAACATCCGACGGTGTGTTGGATACACGGAAGCTAGAGCACCATCTTCATTATGTAATTTCCTCCTGTGGTATGAGAAACCACGTGCAGTTACAGTCGAGTCACAATATCATTGCTGAAGATATGATATCCAAACCACACATCATAAAATGAAGAAATGACAACATTTTGGTCCATCCTAGAACATTATGAAGCTGGCAGCTAATCCATCTGCAGTTACAGTGAGGACAAGTAAGGATATTTGCTTGGATTAAAGATGCACGTACTGTATGTACTTTTTTTAATTGTATTAACAATTGTCTCGTATCCATGGCTGCTCATGAGGTAGCCCAGCTTGATTTGCCTAGAAACACCTGGAACAGGTGGTGGTGGTGGCAGCATCTGAATGACTAAGGCAGATGTGTAGGTGATAATTACATCCTATGTAGTTATACAATGTATAGGAGATAATTATGTTTAGTGCTTGTAAATTGATGTTACAAGTCTCCACATTATAAGTCCTGTAACCCCTTTTAATTGTGGCAGTGATTAATAAACCATATACTGTTGTGAAGTAAGTCACATAAGATCAGTGTTAAAATAAGGTACCTGAAGAGGGCTAAATATTATTCTGTGGGATGGTTACATATCACTCTACAGGATTACTTTTGTTTATGACACTTTGTAAAGTAAATAGAGAATAAGAAACCATGTATATAGGATTAAGCAGTAATAAATAGTTGTTAATTACACATGGTTGTATTTGTAAACCTTCTTCCTCATATAAAACTGTCATCCTCATCAAGGAACCATATTCATATATCAAATCAAATTTTATGTGAACTGAGACTCTAGCTCTCTACCTAAATTCAGGTTGAACTCGAGCTCGAAATCGCCCATATAATCTGGCAGATTCCATTTGAACACACCTGTTTCAGGTACTCGCCTAATTGTGCTTGCGGGGATTGAGCTTTGGCTCTTTGGTCCCGACAAAGGTTCCGACTTTGGTCCCGTGATGGTTTACCTCCAAAGGAAACAAACAGCCTTCAGCTGTGTGACTGTGACACTCTTGAGCGATGTGTTGTGCTTTAAGTGCTCTGCTCTCAGAATAACCTCTGTGAGCCGTTTACCACATTGGAACTGGTGACATTGCAAGCAGAAGTAGTAAAAGAAAAATTAGAGCTTGGACAGTGTGTGTATTGGGGAGGGGTTAGGAATTAACATTGTTGTACCTGTTATGTTATAATTTTACTACAGTATTCAGACATTTTAATTCTTTGTTAAATCTGGCCTTAGTTATAGATGTACAGTAGATGGCTGCTTCTTCTTTCAATGCATTCCACTTGTTGACCACCCATACAGGATATGAGTATTTCCATTCATGTTTTTTTGACTTATTTGGGTTTCCAGCTTCCACTTATGTTCTCGCAGTTTAAAGAGGCTCTTCTTGTCCACCTTGTCTATGCTCCTCAGTATCTTGTATGTTGTGATAATATTCCCTCATTTCTTCTACTCTCCAAAATTGTGAGGCCATTTCCTTTTACACATCCTTGGTGTAGATAGCTCCTGGTCTCCTTTCTTCCTTTCCTGTCTTCATTTCTTTTCATTTGTTGGGATTGAATTCTAGCAACCACTTATTAACCTGGAGTTTGTCAAAGCCTTTCCAAACCTTTATTCAGCCCTCCATGCTTTTTACATTCCTCATTAACTTTGCATCATCTGCAAATATTGACCTGAATAGGTTCAATCTCTTAGGTAGGACATTCACATAAATTAGGAACAGCAGTGGTTTTGGGACCGAGTCTTGGGGAACCTCACTTGTTACGTTTCTCTAGCTTGAGACCACCTCTCTGACCGTGACTCTTTGCTCTCTGTTCTTCAGGTACTTCCTTACCCAGTTCAGTGTTTTCCTAATTATTCCTACCTTTTCTCCATCTCTTTTACCAGCCTTTTGTGAGGAATAGTATAAAATGCTTTGACAGTCTATCCATCCTTTTTTTACCCATTTTATTTTAGTAACCATTCCATAGAACTGTTAGAAGTCCTCTTCTAAATCCATGCTGATGTTTCATTACAAAATTTTATCCTCTCCAGGTGTTCAATTATACAATTACTGTATTCTCAACATGCCTGACAAATCTGAGTCAATTATAACAAAAGTCAACAAGATATGATTGCCAAAAAGCCTCTGATACCATGCTCTATTTTTGCTTTAATAAACTAGAAAAGCAAGCTGCCATAACTGGGATGATTCTGGATTAGGTCATAGAATATTTGACAAAAAAGTAGGATATACAGGGTTATAGTGAGATAAGTGGCATCAGGTTAAAGGAAAGTGGCAAGTAAGGTGCCAAAGGATCCTGTACTTTGACCACTGCACTTCCTGATTAATGTAAATGACCTCATGGAGATGGAATCATATATGACAATGCTTGCAGTTGATGTCAGGCTTATGTAAAGGACAGAGACACAAGAGGCCTGCATGAAACAACAAGAGGAAGTAGACAGGTTGCAAGTATAGACAGATAAATAACAACTCGAGTTAAAACCCATCACATGCAAAAGTTTGAAATGAGGTTTGGGAGATGGATGAGGAGGCCAGAAAGATAATTCAGTGTGCGAAGGAAGCAGATAAAAATATCCAACAGAAAAAGAAGAGGAACTTGAATACAAAACTAGGCTTAACACCAGAGGCGCACAAAGCCAAAATAACTATCAACAGCTTACGTAAAACAGATAAACATATGAATGGTATTCAGGAATTAAAACACAGATTCAACACAGATACAGCATAAATTAAACCACCTTTAGAATATATAGTAACAGCATGGAGCTCATGCCAGGTAAAGCACAACAAGAAAATTGAGAAACATCCAAATATGTGCTACGAGTTTAGTACTGTACATTGATCAAAGATTTTAACTGTATATACGGACTAAGAAAAATTGATCTGATTGAAATATTGCTGTGCAGTAAGGGTGGTAAGGAAGGAGAACAAACTTTATTCACAACTTCAAAAGCAAGAACAGCAGCATACTGTAATGTAGAAAGGTACAGAAGGTATGAAGAAGGGCTAGAGTGTAAAAATTTAAAAAAAAGAAACCCAGAAGCTATAATAGAAATACGCCCTGTACTACCACCACCACCACAAATCCATTGTGTCACTGGGTTTAATAAGGTTTTGGATAGATGACTGTTGAGCACTAACCTGGGACCAGTTTCACGAAGCAGTTACGCAAGCACTCACGAACCTGTACATCTTTCCTCAATTATTAAACAGTTAATGAGCTCCGAAGCATCAGGAGGCTATTTATGACAATAACAACAGTTGATTGGAAAGTTTTCATACTTGTAAACTGTTTAATAAATGTAACCAAAGCCGTCAAAGATTGAGGAAAGAGGTACTCGTTTGTAAGTACTTGCGTAACTGCTTCATGAATCTGGCCCCTGGCTCTTAACTTGACAGTACTGGTTGATCAGATATCCTTTGGAGGTGTTTATAGAGTTCTCTCTTGAACACTGCGAGAGGTCGGCCAGTTATATGCTGGGAAAAGGATGATGTACATTGACATGTAGCCAATATATGTATTGTTTATTATGTAATCATAAAATGACACCAACAGTAACCCAGATTCACACTGGCAGATATGCTTATTGCTTGGATGTTTTTCAGAAGTGTGCTTAACGACTCGCTGGGTGGTGGCGGCAGCAGCTAGGAGGCAGGAAAGTGGCACATCACTTGGGGCACTATGTCACACCACAGTGATGAAAATGCCATATATACCTCCACAGACTCCTTCTGGGAGGTGAGTCTCCTTACACCTGTACTCCTATCAGGCTGCTTATTGCTAGTAAACTCTTCCTGTGATTTTTAACGTATGCTATGCACTCTAATTACCTTCATACTACTGCAGCAGTGTTTTTTCTTATTTTTTAAGCGAGATATCTGGAGAATGTTATGAAACATCTGTTTTAGACTTTCAAAACCTAGATATGGTGTTGCAAAGAAGATCTCTCATGGTATTGTTTGTGTCATACTGTTTCCTTGGTGACAGACTAATAACTATGTCTTGAAAACAAATCAGCTGTGATGAACCAGACTTCCTGCACATGCTCTGATGCCAAGAGATAATACTTGTAGTCTTCTGTGTAATTTTCTTCTATTTCCATTTTTTTCAATTAGACATGGGTATTAGCACAAAAGCCAACTTACTGACAGACTTAAGAATTTGTATGGGTTTTACCTAGTGGTGTATAAGTAGTAACATTATTTTTTATCCTAGCCAGATAGTGACAAAATATCAAATCAGATGTGTCCTTTGTAGATATAAAAAGGAAGTTTGTCAACAGTCAGAGAACCTTCCCTTATCTCTTCTCATCCAAACAGTATGTTACCTTCCTGTAATCTACCCTCCCCTACGTATATATAATTTTATAGTGTTTCCTGTAGCTCAGTAGTCTATGTGTTGTCTCGCAACTGAGATCCCACATAGGAGAGAGATGGTTGGCAATGTTTCTTTTCACATGATTCCTGTTCACCTAGTAGTAAATAAGTACCTGTACACAGGAGTTAGACAGGGGACTTTGATATGCCTAAGTACAGGCATCCTGTCTTTAACAATGGGAACCAAATCCATAGAGTATTTAAAAATGGCTATCCATGCATGGATGATGATGGAGTATTTAATGTTTGAATTCCATTTGCCAATTTACCATCAAATATGTTACTATTAAGAAACTAATTAATGCTTTTTTCAGGTGGGCAACTACAAACGAACAACGAAAAGAATTGAAGATGGAAATAGACTATGTGACGACTTGATGAAATTAGTGTCAGAAAGAGCAGAAATTGAGAAAATGTATGCAAAGAGTCTTAAAGAATGGGCAAAGAAGTGGAACAATATCATAGAAAAAGGTAATTCATATACGTGGTTATAATGACCTTAATGACCTTGGTATATTGTTTCATTACTGCTCCTGAAAATTTGTATCAGTAATTTTTATGCTACTGTAGATTGTGTGTCTTATTTTTCGATTAATAGCTTATAATTGAACAGGTCCTGAGTATGGCACGACTGAGGCAGCATGGAAAGGTGTATTGATGGAAGCCGAACAAAGATGTGATCTTCATATGCGAGTCAAAGAAAACCTTATAAATGAAGTACACAGTAATGTTAAACAGTGGCAAAGGGATAATTATCACAAGGTAAGAAATTTAAAAACTACTATAGTTTGATTTTCCACCTGTGAAACTGGTCTACCTCTACATCTTGAATGTTCCTCATACTCTACTCTATTTTACCACCACCATCATAGAATTTTCCACTTTCATAGCTTAGGGACGGTTTGTCTAGAGAAGATAAAATTAAAAGATGGTTAAAACAATTCAAAGGATGTTCTAGTTTTCTTCTGGTTCCTCTTGGGATTGTGTATTGTCTGACTCAGTTTATATACAGTACAGTACAGTGTTTTTTTTTTTATCATGCCCTAAGTGCAATTCATCATACCCTTCCTTTGCAATGATGGTCCAGTACTTTGCAGATTCTTTGGCTGGCTATGATGAGGACCCTTTTGTGTGTAAAGATCCATGTATCTGAACTGAATGTAGCCCATTTCTAGTTTAGCTCTGATGTGGTGCCAGGCCCAATGTCTTTCTGGTTAGCAGGCAGTTTATTAAATGTAAGGCTGTGGCAGCTGGTTTGCTGTATTCACATGCTTCATTGGAAGCAAGTCTTTCCTGTCTTCAGTGTGTTGTGGGCAGAGGAGGACCAAGAATCTTTTGAAAAAGGTCCTGTATGTTTTGATTTTGTCTCAAGAAGTGGGTGGTTCTCCCCTCACATCACTTGCTCTTCTCTGGAGCATGTGAAGTGATGGGGATAATTTTTAGTACTGGTTTTTCTGTTTGTATCCTGAGATGTTGGTTCTTAATGACTTTTCTTAATTGTCTGAGCACCCTCATGCAATTAAAACATGTCTAATTTTATTTAGTTATGATGTGGTCCTGTCTTTGGCCTTAGGTTTTTGCATAAGATTGAAAAAGTCAAATTGCACTGTTCTTCAAAGGTATCCAGTTCACTCCTGAGTTTACATCAGACTGAATCTTATTTTAGCTTGGCACACCTGAACCACATAAATATTTGTTTGCAATACAGAATAAAATGAACATGTTAGCAAATGATTTTAATTTAGAATTAATACACTGAAGTACTTGCTTATATAAATCTGCAAATATTTTTTCATCCCTGGTTATAGAACTGTCAACATCTTTAATTGATTACCTTTTATCTCAGTCTATGATGGGGCAGCTAAAAGAGAAGAAAGATATTGAAGACATGTTCAAAAAGGCACAGAAACCTTGGTCTAAGCTTTTTGAGAAGGTAAACAAGAGTCGAACAGATTATCACAATGCTTGTAAAAGCGAACGGTCTGCACAGAACCAAGAAAGAAATGCTGGAGGTGACTCTTCACTTTCTCCTGACCAGGTAAGGTGATGTGTTCTGGTGTTTGTGGAAGTAACACATTCATGTTTTAAATTTAAAGAGCATGAATAATAGGATTCATTTCATGATTCACTTAGATAAGCATAGCTACAAGTACCATGATCTGTCAGTGGTTTCTACTTTTACAATGAATATTTTTTATTAAAGTACTGAGTGCACAAGAGTGATACAGTTTTTGCTGTAATATTGTACTTGTAACAGTACACCTACTGACCCTCACTGGTCACGACCATACATAAATGGTTGACTTGAGTGAAGCCATAGAAAGTAGCTGTGTAATGTAAACTATTTAATTTAATGCCAGAGATCACATACAGAATTTATATTTGTTATAAATTTCTCTTTTTAGTTAGGACTCCATATATATATATAAATATGCATGAAATTTATTACCTCAATTTTTTTCTGGTTTGTCTTGCTTAATGTAATTTTAGTTTGTTTTCATAGAAATTCCAAATACAGTTTAGTAACTGCGTAGTAACTTATTTCTCTGCCTTTATTTTTATTGTACGTACAACATTGTTATTTTAAAATTTGAGTATCGGTTTTTGTTGTTGCTTAGGTGAATAGATGATGAAACCTTCAGTGTGAGCCTTGTGGTCTGAATTCACACAATCGTGTGGAATTATTTTGTTATCCTATTATAACCCTTATTTTAGTTTTCTGTAACAACTATTTTATAAGTGACTTAGAAAGTTGTTGATATTAAAAGTGTTTTAGTCAAATAAAAGTAATACTATTTTGGTGTTAGACTGAAAGTCAGAAGCTTGTATGGATCATTAAGTGTACCCTTACAGTACTTGTTTCCCAGACAACAAATTTTGTTATCCCTTTACAACCAGTTCCTCAATTACTGTTAAGGAAATAGTAACAAACAGTTAAGGATAAGTGGTTATAATTCCCAGCCTGCCCTGGGGTCTTATGTAGACATAATTCTGTGAGGGCTCATGTAAAGTACCTATGGAGAGAGGGAAGCCCCAAAGGCCCCTCAGGCAGTCCAACATGTCCCCATAAGTTTCCTGTCATCAGTTGACCTCTTGGGGACTGCTAAAGCATCTACCACCAGATCACTTTCCCACATTCCAAAAGCGGTGTGCCCATTTGCAACAGGAAAATGTACATACCACTTCAAGAAAGTGAATGTAGGTGTCTGCAGACCTTGATATCCCAGGCACCATAAATGCATGGCACAATTTGCTGCCATTTGGCAATATTTGCTTAGCTCTGCCTGCAAGAGGAAGCTAGCTACATCAGTCACAAGATAAACAAATTATTTCTCTAAAGCTGACAACTTGATTCCTATCCCCTATCAACACAAAATGTGCCATGGTAGACCTCATAGAGAACTCCAGTGACAATCCTCTGTCCAACCTTCTTTCTACTCTTTAATTCTTTGTTGTCATTGTGTTATAAAATTCACGTAAGTGTTATAAGTTGGTCAAGCAGGTTTTCCTTTTGCTTAAACCTTGTGTACAAGTGTGCCTGTGTGAAAGTACCAGTAATTACAAAAGTGTAATTACTTATGCATGTATATGTGAAGCCTGCTAGCTTTTTATAAAATATGTACAGCACATATATTGTATATTTTTTTATACAAATTTTTGTATGGTTTATGCATTATTTTTTACATTAAATTTATTTAAACTTTGTTAATAATAACACACATCTGTATAGTACGACTTGTTCAGAGCAGAATTCTTTATAATTTGTCTGCTGCTTACCTACAGTAGTATTTTTGTTTGTTTTATTTCTATTTCAGGAACATAAGAAAAACAGCATAATAATTATGGTAGGCCTGAATATGCTCTGTGTTCATTGCTACCCAATTCCTCATACAGTACTGACTGTGATAAAATCTCTGACTTTGCACAAAAACATGTTAGCATAATATGGCATTAGCATAATAAATATTGACCATTATATCTTGTGCAACTTCTATGATAGTAATATTTTATAATATTTTCAGTGCCTGGTAAGGCAGGTAAAGTACCTGGGCCTACCATAAATTGGTTATTCTTAAATTTTTTAAGAGTTTTAAAAAAGTAGGCTTGGTGCATTGTTTTCATAATTACATAATTTAAGAAAGTAGTTTAGTTTCAGGGACCTCCACTCCCCCATTTGTGACCCAACCACTTGGGCTGGACGGTAGAACGATGGTCTCGCGTCATGCAGGTTGGCGTTCAATCCCCAACTGTCAAAGTGGTTGGGCACCATTCCTTCCCCGTCCCGTCTCATCCCAAATCCTTATCCTGATCCCTTCCCAATGCTATACTTTATAGTTGTAATGGCTTGGCACTTTCCCCTGATAATTCCTTCCCTCCCCCATTTGCCACACTAAAAACGGAAGGCTTTAATACTGCACTATTAACTGGTAACATCAGTGAAGAAGATACTCAACTAATTGATTGTAGAACAGTTGTAATTAAGTATGATAATGTTAACTACATGATAATTAATGATAATTTTGAGGGGTTAAAAAAAAAAAAAGTAATTTCTGTACTGGCATCTCTCAATATAAGGAACAGATAAGTTCCTAAAAAGTTGTTCCAAAAGGGAAATTCCTATAATCAAATAACTTTTTCCATTGACTTCCATTAACTAATTTTGGAGGTGTATTCCATCAGAAAATAAATCTTGTGTTTTTTTTTTTTTTTTTTTTTTTTAAAGCCTGCTTAGTCATTATTGCATTTGATTTTGCCAGTTTAACTGCTTAAATTCCCAATAGAGATCTGTATCTAATAATAATATTTACACTTTCATGTTCCAAGGATATTGCTTATTTTATTATCCAACATTACTCTCCTCTCAAGCTGCTAGCTCATATGTTAAATGTTTATATTTATTTTGCATTTCCAAACTTGTAGCCAGGTTCGAACATTGATATTGGTATTACAATAAATGTTTTTGAATACAGTACAAGAGGTCACCTTACTAATGGACATTTGGTTTATGAATTTTTGATCTTACAGTCAGTTTCAAAATCCCATTCTTAGCTCCATGTTTTACTATACAAACCAATTCTAAAGTCCACACATGACAAACAATGCTTATAATGCACTATTTTAGTTCTTTATCAAGGAAAAGTTTCTTGATTATTTTATTGGCCGATAAGATGAAGTGTGCTAATGGTTCACCAGTGCCTATTCATCATCATTTACTGCCTCCTATAGTAATTATTCTCCTCTAATCTTAGAAATCCCCTTCCCCAGGTTTGGTTGAGTTGTCTTTGTTTTTGTTTTTTAAGGTCTGTTTTTTCCAATCCGGTCAGCTGTATTTTACTGCAGCTGTTCGATGAAGTTCATGCTGTACATGCTTCAAGTGACTAGTTTCCCCTCCTTCCTTTTCCTTCCATCTCTGCTCTTGTTGTGGGACCAAGGGGGAAGGGGGATGGGGACAATCCAACAGCATGGATGTTCTTGTGGGATTGTGTCTTCCTTTGGCCTTTTTTAAGGGTATTCACTATCAAGAGAGAGGGGAAGGTTTTGTTTTCTTGTTTCCTCTGGTTTGAGTGTCACTTGCTTCATGTGTGTGTGCTTTTTAGCTGTGCATACGACTCCTCATGCACCGGATGTCACCAGATTTGCTGACGAGTCTTTGTGGTGTGGTGTGGCAATGTATATTTGCTGTAGTACCAAGATTTTTGCATTGGGCATTGAGCTGCATGTATGGCAGTTCCTGGGGTGAATTTCTGGAGGTTTCATTGCAGTTTTCATGGTGGTACCCGGATTTATAAGTCTCACAAGTTAAACCTGGCCCCAGGCCAGGCTTGGTGAGTAGAACAACTCCCTGACCGCTCATTCAGGTACAATCCAGGCTCTGTTACCTACAATTCCTGGGCTATATTTCAGGAGATTCTTTGCTGTGTATCTGGAAGCTCCATCGTTACATGTCAGGGGTTTTCGGGCTAGGTTTCCAAGGGTCCTTGGATTGGGTCCTGGTGGTTCCTGGCCTGGATGTTTGTTGGTTCTCAGGGGGCATTCCTAGGGGGGTGTGCTGGATGTGTTCTTGGAGTTTCAGGCTGCATTGCTGCCTATTTCTTGGCTGTGTTTCTGGGGGGGGTTCTAGGTTTTACCGTGCTACATTTCCCACATTTCCCAGGTTGAGTGGCCTGGCCCTAATCTTGGGGCAGTTTGTTTTCCTCTGGTGGTGGTTTAGTTTGGCCAGCTGGCAGTCTGTCGTCACTCTCACACTGTATATTTGTTTGCAGCTATGTTTTCTTTGCCATTTGGTGTCAAGGGATTTTGAGGTTTGGGAAAGTTTAGGAATGGCACAGTGGGTGATGTGCTTATCACTTAGACATCAATAAAGCGGTATACCAGGGCGATGGACAGAAATTGAGAGAGTGAGAGTTGCAGTAGTTGGGGGTTTGAGCTAGAACAACCCACAGCAAGTCATGGGATGAAATTCAGTGATATGCATTTTTAGAGGGAGTGAATTTTGAAATTGTTTTAAAATTGTAAATCATGGATTGAACGATCGATTCTTTATTATGCACCCCATACCCATCCCATGGGCGTTGGTGGAAAGGGCTACAGAGGCACATAAATCATGGAAAGCACTGTTTCACCTAGTTGTATTTTACAATGTGGGACAAGAGTGGAGTTTGGTTGAGTGTGATGATTCACATTCTATGTAATGCTTTTTACTGTGCAAATAGATGTTATGTTAAGCATCTTAACTGTCTTTTTCCCCTACATTACTCTCATTTTTCTCCAGGCTGTTGCCTTCCCCATCCCTTGAAAATGGAGAAAGTGATGATGATGATGGTACGTTCAGGCTAAATTATACGTTTAAGCACACAAATATAAAACAATTGTATGCGGTTCATTTGGCCCAGGGAAAATTTGACTTTTGATAGATTGAATGTTTTTGTGCACAAGTTTAGAGAAGCTAATCTTTTTAATGTATGGCATAAGCATACTCGTGTTGTTTGTGCACCAATATATTAGGAATTGTTTTTGATGAACTTTACCAAACTTAATTTTTAATGTTTGCATGTCTAACCATAAATGATCATTCCTTTTGTTTGGCAGAGATTCCAGTTGGTAAGTGATGGAACATTCTGGTGTTAGTTGTCAAAAGTATTAACAGCTTTCATAAGAAATTGGAATGCATTTGTAGCTATTAGGGTATTTTTACTGGCAGTAATGATTTAGTTATGGCTTTTATCAGAACTTAGAATGTTCATCATGTTTTAAGAGATTATTGGTACTGTATTGGCATTATATCTATATGATAATTAGATACAGTAATTGCAGTACGGACTTAGATATCCATAATGTATTGTATAAAAGTTAAAACATAAAATCATGCTCTAATTTAACTTAAATGTGTGTTTATCTCGAGTAAAGCAAAATATATTTGACACATGGCTTGGTTGTGAAGAGATCATTATCTGTGAGTTCTGCAGTCTTATGGCCAAAACAAGAGACATGACTGATTCGTGTGCTTTATGTACACTTCAGTGTTCGAGAATTTCTACCTAGATTTTTTGCTTTTCTATTTAGTTATACAAAAATTATTTTAAGAGATCTGCTTACAAATTGGAACTGAGAGGTATACAGTATACATAATTCACATGAAATGATCTTTAATTTATTAGTTTGTCCTGAAATTTATATTTTCTATAAACTTTTATGTTTGGAAAGCACAATGGCTCACAAAAACTGCTTTCTTCACCCATACTATAGATAATCTGTAGTTTGAACAATATATATATAGGATCTTTTATGTTCACCATAGAATAAATTACTATTCTTTTTCCCCCCCTCTGGTGTGAACAGCACAACAATATGAAGGTATGAGTGAAGTGCCAGGAGTGAGTGGATGAACCCTCACTATCTGAATTAGTTTCCCTTTTCTCATGCTCACTAGTCATATGGACACTTGGGCCCGAATTCTGAAAGGATCTGAAAGAGAGGTGAATACTGATGAGGCCTCATTCTGAATTATTTGCTTGCTATTTGCATATTTAAACATGAGTTGTAAAGTCTCCAAGAGTCATAAAATTTGTAAAACGGTAATTATATTCATTTTCATATAAATATTTTGGAATTCTGGCCTCGGTAAGATGTTTAATCTGTTTCACTGACCTTGACGTGTAGTGGCTGAACCTATTGTGACCTGGAACACATTGATTTAGTTGGCAAATGTTATTAACTTTATTTTGCTGACTCCTTGGCATAGAGGTGGGCAGTATGCATTAACAAAATATGTACAGTAATTTTATAATGTTTTAGACTTTACAGATAATAATGATACTGCATGATATTTATATAAAAAAAAAATCAAAGCTTATTTTTTTAATTGTACTGATAATGTACTTATATGTTCTGAGTGCAGTAGATTTAAAGAAATTTATAGATAGAAAAGTTGGTAGGTACATGAACATAAATTTATTTCTGACAACAAGAACTTACTGTACAGAACATAAATGATAAATTGTACAGTACTTTATGTACTATTTATTAGCCAATTCTAATAAAATAGCATTTAATAAAATTTGACTGGCAACAGGAATTAAAAAAAAGTGTAAGGAAGACATAATCCTTTTAATAAAGAATGATATGGGACAACGAAAAGCTTTTTTATTGCCGTTCAAATGGCTTGTGTGCAAAATTCAACTTTGAAAGAATTAAGGTGGAGATAATTGCATATGAACTGTGATATGTGGAAAGGAAAAATAGAGCATTGAATATAATGAAATGCCATTTTCTGGATGTCCCTCAGTGGATCCTCAGTGTCTGTAAATATACCCCAGGGATAATAATCCCACCAGGCATTTAAGACACTCTCTACTCCATCAGGAATAGAGAACAAAATCATGATCCCTCCTTTCCTCAACAGAGGCAGTTGGCTGAAGGTGTCATAAGACACTACACACTAAGGGGAAAAGCCTGCCAAAAAAGCCAAAAGACAGTCATAAAAGCTCAACACTTGTGGAGAAATGTTTGTTACAGATGAAAAGTAAACAAAATTGATAAAAAAAGACCAAAATACTATCTTGCAACTCCCCCTTTCCACCATCAGATAGATGGTATCAAGGCTCCAATGGTGCCCAACCCCTCATTTTTGAGGCAAAGGAAACCCCAAAACACAGAAATGCCAGTAAAAAGAAAACAGTTGGGGAATGGAGAGCCTTGGAGCCCCCAGAAAGGGGCATGTTATTATACTCAACATTCTGTTTGTGCTGACACTGGACCCAAGCAGATGTGAGGAGCAATCAGGAGTGTAGCAATTACCCAATACAGTACTATACAGGCAAAGAATGAGGGATAGTGAGAAAATATATATTTAATTTAAAAAGCAATGTTTAGTGTACACACACAAAAAGCAGCTCAGTTCTGGACAAGAGGGAATTTTTTTAAAGCCAGATCCAATTTTATTGCATCTAATTACTTTTGGAACATAATCTTCTTTTGCATCTGATATTCCAATAGGCTGACTTCTGTTGCAGGGGGATTCCACATATATATACTGTTTAACACTTTCGCTCACCCCGCGCGCCACCCCTCGACAGGGCGGTATGGGCCCCAGCGTGTCACGGAAGCGCGCGTTAATTCCGAAAAGTGTATACTCTCTTCAACTTTGTCACCTCGATTCTCCTTCTACGAGAATAAATTTGGTATCATTGTGTTCGCAATAAAATTCTCTACAGCACTAAATGCATATAAACTCCAAAGGCCCGGCTAATTACCCGCAGCAAACAGAGAAAGTGCGAACGAGTTACCCGGGAGCGCGCAAACGGGATAAAATGTTTTCACTATTTTCACTCTGGTCACCTCAATTTTTGTCCTAGGTCTTTCATTTTGGTCTCAATGGGTTCGTAATAAAATTCTCTAGAGGAACATTAGCATATAAAAAAAAACACCTGGTCACGCTCCAACCGCCGACGAGTTGAAGACGGGCCACGCGTTAGCCGTGAGTGAGCGCTCAGAGGCCTTCCTACTACACTCCCAATTCCCACCCTTTTCAAGCCTTTCTTTCGCAATTTTCTTCCTGGAAGGGCCTTGTTCATGATTACTATCCATCGTGGAGTAAGCGTAGATAGTTTCTAAAGCCGCAGTAAGAAATATAGCCACGGAAAATAGCCGAAATGTTCACACGTTTGAGATGCGAGGGGAGACGACATTGGTCACAACAGTGGAGCAAAGACAATGGGCCCACGGCGTGTGCCAAGCCGCCTGAGGGCCACGAGGCTCAACAAAGGAAATGGGAAGACATCGGCGCACATTTTAAAACCAGTCCCCAAAAAATCGGATACAAACCTGATTTTTGGCGAATTTTTAAAGTGGATGACGCAATGCTGCGTCATCCCCGGCATTACCGCCAGTAAACGGATGACGCAATGCTGCGTCATCCCCGAGCGAAAGTGTTAATATGGAACTGAAATTGACCTATAATAATGGTGAATATGATTATTACCATTATGACAAATTATTAATGTACTGTACTACTAAAAAACTGTAGGTTCAGTCACATCACAAAATATGCCAAATTTCAGTGAGTCAGATGAAATATCTTGGAATTGAAGAGTTTCCTTTCGGCCACTCAGATATTAAGTATTTGAATTTGATCAAGAATATTCATATTTTCTGCTAGAACCTGTATAAGTTTTTGTATAATTGTATTTAATTTATCATGGCATAGGTTTTGTGGACATTTTTGTGTTAAAGTTACCATCAAATATATTTAAATATTTAATGAAAATCTCAAAAGTTAATATTATACAGTAGTCTAACAACCTAACTGACAATACTTACCGTATAAAAAAAAGTATTATTTATCTGATTGACCAGAAAGTCCTGAAGCTTTTCCTTGTGCATGAATGCGGATGTGATGACAAATGAAATGGACTATTTCATCTGTCTCTCTCTGCGCTGTGATTGTTTGTTTAACCTCTCCCTCTCACACACACTTTTAATGTGAATCTTGAATCTTTGTGAGTAATTGCCCTTATTAATGGATAGAAAAGCTCGGGGTGCATCTTAATTTTAACATTTTGTTGTTGTTCATAGGAATACACCAGAATTAATTATAACCTTGGATCATTGAATTTTGACTTAAGGTTTTGGTTACAAGAATTAATAATTTCTATATGTGCATAGGTAGCAGAAAGCAATTTATTCTTCAGTTGCACTGATGATGTGGGGCAGAGTAATGTACAGTGTATGCCCTACTAACAAAAACAAAAAATAAGTTTAACAAACCTCCTTCACCTTTTGCTTTGTTCTGCCACCTATGAACATGTGCATTCTTGTTTTATGCAAGATTAATGCTCCATTCTTGAAAATGCAATTAAAATAAACAGAAGTATTAGAAGTGATCAGGGATTTGGAATCTATATAGCTCGTGGTAAAGACTATGATGTGGCAACCCCACTGCTTACCACTCAGTTGTGCCGACTGCTTCAAATCCCCCGTGATAAAGGGTGAAGAGACAGGGTTGGAGATTCGCTCATCTCCCCACTAATACCAAATGCTTCTCCTTCTCATAAAAATGGGAAATGGGTTTGTGATAATTATGTCTGCTGTAGTAACAATCCAATTTTATATTTTTTTTTGTTGCAAGCATTAAGTATTTCAAAGGCATGAATTATATTTAAACAAAGGAAACAATGCTGTAAGAATATAAGACATAATACTGTACAGTAAATTGAAGTCGTCTTATAGTATTCAATTAAGACTGGTATGAGAATGACTGGAGTTAGGATACAGCTCACAGGTACAGTAACTCTTGAATCGGGGCAGATGTTTAGTATATTTATCAATATCGGTGGAATACAAGTATAGAAACAGATCTATTTTCATTTATATGCTGATTTATTGTAGATTTATATTGCATAGAAGGAATACTTTAGCAGCAAACACTAAAAGATTATATTAACAGTGTATGTTAAAGTAAACTAGAAATATGAATGTGATAATAGAAAACAGAGATGTAGGATTGTACTGTAAAATCTGAGTAAATGGTTAGTGATGAAGGCAGTATGAAGTGAAAGTTATTAGTGATGATGATTATGTATACTTTAGATGGTTAAAGTGTAGAAGGTTGTTTGTAGTGAAGAAGGCTTCAATGACAAAGATGGTTTGTAGGGAAGATGGTGTGTAAGAAAGATGGTTACAATGATGAAGACAGTATGCAATGAGAATGGTTACAATGATGAAGATAGTATGTAATGAAATTAGTTTCTATGAAGAAGTGCCCAACAAAATGACTCCAAATTGCCCAACATAAAATGCCAAATTGCACAACCAAAAACTCTCTAAATGCTCAATTAAAAAATCCAAAACACCCATCATTAAAAAATGAATGCAAAAAAAAAATCCAAAATGCTTAACAAAAGAATTCCAAAATGCACTACAATAAATGTAAAATGTTAAATAAAAAAAAAAAAAAAGCTCAAAGCTCATTAAGCTTCCTCAGTGTTTTTGAAAATTAACATTTAATGCCCCCACTTTCCAGCCACAAATATGATGCATAATTAAGTTCAGAATACTTGGTATTTGCAATGTTCCAAAAATATATTATTCTAAATTATCATCAAATAAAAACAATGTGACCTGTGTGCATGCCTGACACATTACTGGGAATGTGGTAGAATTACAGATCATAAGATGAGCTCTCCCAAACTTGCATGTTTTCAAAATTCATGCACTCTGAAACTTGGTATAATGAATGAAAAACTTTATTTCTAATTTTTTCATGGTTTGTATTGAATTAGGAAGAGTTTTTATGCCTATTCCAGCATTCTTTGCCAGTCTTAAATGTTATCTATATTCAGTATTTGATAGATTTGCAAGTAATGAATAATTATCATAATTTAACCCTTTATACACCAAACTAGTTACACCAAACCTTTGTCAAATTTAAGCCTTCTTGTCTGGGAGGAGGAGGGGTCACCTTACAATATTGGTCGTAAGGTGAATATGGACATTTCCTAAATAAAGTAATCGTCGGTCAGTAATGCAATATAGCAAGAATAGACATTTGTCGGCATTGCATTGAACCACATTTTTACATTGGATGATTTTGTTTTCATTGCATTTTGATTGTTTATTTTGTTCACTGAAAATGCCAAGAGCACTTTTACAAAACAGTTGGCTAATTGCTTATAAAGTTGTATTACATTCTTGCAGCCAGATACTGTAGAACAATTCATATTTCTATTTTGCTTTTATAAAAGATTTTACCAGTACCCAAAAAAATGCCACAGTAGTATTGCTACAGCCACCAGTATTAATTCCTGGCTCTAAAGAAATTGGCTGATGCTAAACAGAATATCAGGACATTTTACAGATTGTGCTCAAAGACAGTAGTATGATGCGTCCTGTACTGTAACAGTTGTTGACTGTGTAATTAATGGTAATTAATTAAACAGTATATGGAGCAGTGTGAGTAATCCCATGATGTGCCAGATTTACTGTGCATATTTCTTCCTTTAGAATTTTCTGGCCCTGGGATTTTGTAGTATATGTTGAGTGAGTTTAATCTAATTAAAAAATTTTTTTTAACAAATGTGAAAAATTTTCTGACGTCTGTTAATCATAAAACTTTTAATTTTACCTATTAACAAATCTTTATAAATAAAATATGGATTTAAATATTATATAATTATTATTTAAAGTGTTGAATTATTTTAAATTTAGTTTTGCTATTTTAAATGTAGTATTAACTCTTATAAGAGTTGTGCTTAAATTAGTTAAATCCATCCATCTAATATGAATCATTATGTTATCCAACTTGGCATAACTGGTGGGAGACTTTATTTAATTTGTTGTTGTTATGTTGCGTCTTGGAAAGAACCTTTTATGAAGATATCCAGTGTGCTGATATACTTTCATGGGCAAAAAGAAGAATACCTTTAAAACATGCAGCAGAAATACAGTAGGGTATATATATACAGTATGTATTGGATCATTACCACTTACACTGCATGCTACCAAGGTACACAAGATCACACAAAACAAATAATAGGTACAGTGCTTCATTTTAATGTTCTTTGTTTACTCTATAATATTTGCAGTAGAATGAATTTGTCATAGATTTGTAATTCCGTACTGTAGAACATTTACTGGGAATTGGTACAATATATCTTTGATTTACTATAGGTTGTCTTAAATATTTAAAGGATTACAATGGACATAAAATACACATGAAATTTATTTATCATTGGAAAATAAAGCTTTATTTGTAATGCAACAGACACTTAAAAATATTTTAAATATTTTAAAACCCTCGTATATTCACAATTGTACCATTCACAAATTATCATTCTTTTAGAGAAACATTATACATACTGTAGAGTGTATTCACTCACTGTTAAGCAAATATTGTTTTGGGCATATTGCTGTGAGGTAAATGTTGTATAAGTTGATTTACTAGCATGGCTAACTTTTGCCTTCAGATATTAGCATCTTTATGATGATCTTTCTAGTACAGTACTATATATAAGCGTCTTCAGGATATTCTGTGGCTGACAGCTGATAAGAATTACAACGTATCTTTACATGGCTAATAGGACGTGTTTTTCACATTTCAGTCACACCAGTAACCTCATACTCTTGCCACGACATAACTGGTAATTTATGACTGATATGATACAGTTGACGTGACTAGTATAAAATAACATAAAACGTGGCTTAATACATGATATGAAATGACTTGGTATAATAAAAATGGAATTATATATCAAAGCATGACACAATATGACTGATGAGACACTGGACATAACAGATACGGAATAATTGATTTGAAAAATATGACTTAAGATATATAACAGATATGACTGACATGATATACAAAGACTAATTTGTCTCATATGATATAGTCATGTTATGCCACACCAATTATACCAGTCATATTGTCTCTTATATTGATCGTGTCATGTCATTTACTTGTCAAAACTAAAACTTTTACACGCATTGTATACATACAGCTCGCCCAGCAGCTGTTCATATCTCGTTTGGATGGATGAATGGTACCAAGTTAGGTTTAGTAGTTACGTAGGATATCTAGAACCAAGTAAATATTTTGCATAATATTTTGTAATAATGAAATTTGCAATATATTGTTTTAACCTCAAATGGATCCAATCACTATCTGCAATTACCTCCTGGGCTCAAACTGCCATATGCCAGTGATCTTATGGATTATGAGTACTTTATGGGAGGATTCTTAGGTGGCTCGTTGGTTCTGGCTGCCTGATAACCTCCACCCCAAATTGAATGCATTCCAGTCCCTACCAAGTCACAAGTAAGCCTACTGGAGACCAGAACCAAAACCTGGACCCCTCCATAAAGGCACAAGGTGCAAGGAATTGTAAGTCACCCTAACCAGGGAAAGCTACCAGAAAAGGGAGAAAGTTGAAACAGATGACAGCTAGATGAACAAACAATAGAAAATGGGAAAATGATTCATGAACCACTAGTGGTGAAGCAACTCTTAATGTTGGTTCCACCTATGCACCACCAGGGTTTGTGTACCTTCATCCATGGACCACCAATTTTAGTTTTTTCTTCGTGATGCATATGTGTACACCTCGCTCCTTGCAGGGACTCTTATTAACCTTTCATCTCGCACTGCATGTGCCTAGAACTCACTTCTCTAGGTGTTCATTGATGTTGCCCTTGCCTGGCCAGAGTTTTTCTTTTGGGGGAGGGGGGAGGTGTGACTGTCTGAGAGGTCAGCTTCCTTCCTATTAAGAAAGTGCTTTGTTTTTTGTCTAGGGTGACATAGTACCAAAGGGCCACCTAAGGATCTCTCCCAGAAAACCAGCTTTTAATGTGATGAAATGTCTCTTTCTGGTGGGTCCTTGTGCCTCCTTGGGACCCTCCTTTCACCGAGTTGGACTTCTGCTTTTGGTTTTCCTTGCTATATGATTGAAAAGGTATGGTTTGTGGCTCGAGGAGAAAGGTATGTACCCCCCTGGTGGTGCACAGATGGAACCAATGTTAGAATTGCTTCACTAATAGTTTGTGAATCTTGGGGAGTTGCTCTCCTATTTTCTATGGCTTGTTTACCTAGTTGTTGTCAGTTTCAACTTGTATCCCTGCTTTCTGGTGACTTTTTCTGGTAACTGTGGTTTACAATTCCTTGTTCCTTAAGCCTCTATAGAGAGAGCCAGGTTTTGGCTCTGGATCCTGGCAGGCTTATTTAGGATTCACCAGGAAATGGCATGAATTGAATTGGATGGAAGCTTGCTAGGACCTACCAGAAATTGGTGTCTCATTACATTCAATGCTTTTTTTTCATATTCACAGATTTAATTAGCTTAGCCATTTAAGTGTTTAAGTTTTGAAACTTAAAAGGAATGGAACTCTATGAAGTTGCGAGGGTTACAGTAAAGTACTTTGTAACATAATTACTACAAAGTACAGTAATTCATTATTTTTGCAGAAAACATATTAGTTCTCACTTCCATGAATTTCTAGCATATAGGTTTTCCTTCAATACCAGTACGTGTAGAATGGACTACGTGAATAACGCATTAATTTTACTGAATTAAATCCACAATGTTTTGACATGTTTTTTTTATTATAAATTTCCAATATCATAATGGCACTATTTAAAACAAACTTGTGGATACCTATATCAAATACAGCACTAGAGACTCGTAACTAACTGGTCTAGGTGTAATTGTTTTTCTGACTGTAACTACTTGCCATTTATAATGGTGATACTAATCATATTAAAACTGATGTATGAATAATGATTGGGTGTATGTGGCTTAAGTTATACAGTACTTCAGTGTGCACGAGGGTTCGAACAAAAACCAATTAAACAAAAAATTTTGTTCTAATAAGGTAATGGCCAAAACTTGTTCCATAATGATACACACACACACACACACACACACACACACACACACACACACACACACACACACACACACACACACACACACACACACACACACACACACAGTAAGTACTGTACAGTACTTGTAATGTTCTTATGATTACCATGTGGAAAATTCTATACATTTTGTTCATGTTTAAAGGAAAGATCATGTAAATTTTTATTATACTGTAGCATATAATTCAAAATTTTATTACAAAAATATTCTTATAAAAGTATTCATGTTATTCTAGGTGAAGAAACTTCAAGACAGGGTATCCAAAGCCAAGGAAGAGGTGTCAAGAGGGCGGGAAAAATATGACGTAGTGCTTCATGAAATCTCCGAATACAATCCAAAGTATATAGAGGTTAGTCTTCATTCGTGTTGGTAAAATAGTGTATACAATTGATTTTCCATGTGGGAAACGAACAAAAATTAGGGATGGGGATCAGGGATATCTTCAGTGATCAGATGTGATCTGAAAATAATCTACTCATGTACACTTGCAACTTTTGAACATTTGAGTTTTGTTTCATAGTTATGCAGATGTGTTTACACACACTGATTTTGAGGCAGATTTGTTAAAGCTTTAGAATTTGTTTTCCAGCTAAGTATTTTATCACTTAAAGTTTGCGTAGAAAATTGTAAAAAGAGAACGAAAACATTTCGGGACAGTCCCCATGACATAACATTGCCTTTTTTTTTTCCTTTAGGAAATGACACATGTGTTTGAGAAGGCTCAGGAAGCAGAATCTAAGAGACTAATCTTCTTCAAAGACATGCTTTTTGCCACACACAAATGCCTCAACATATCAAATGATCCAAGGTAAACCTGATTTTGTTGAATGCTTTTTTAATAAAAAAGAGGTATTGTATAATGACAGGTAATTGTATAGTCAGTATTTTTTTTAATATTTACAAATTCCAATAAATCCTCTTTTTGTGTGTGAGCCATAATGTTTTTAATGAACAACAATAGTTATTTGACTGTATAATATTATACAACAAATAATAGATTTTCTATTTAGATGAGTAATGTGAGTGGCTTGTAAGTCATGTCTTCAAGATTGGAGAAGGTGACATGCTGTTAGGTATGAGGCAAGGAACATTTTTGTTTATTGTCCCTGATTATTTTTTTCATTGTTTGTGAAGATCAGATCTACAGTATTTTCATTCCTGGTTGGCTCTGTTATCTGCTGATTGAGTGAAAATTTGTCGCAGTATCTAAGTAGTACTCTGACCTGTGGTTGGCTATTTCCAGTTTGATTTCCTGGGGTGGAACTTTAACCACTGTGATGCGTCGAGTTTATTGTGAAATTTCCCCTTTGTGCATGAAATCAAGTGTTCCCAAAAAAATTTTTCTTTGTAAAATGATAAATTTCCTTCCCTGAACATTTTTGTGGAAAAATAAATACCAAATTCCACTTACTTTGGCTGTGGGGACATGGACAAGGTGCGCTGTGACGTCATCAGGGGCTGGTCGCCCGTGCGGGAAGCTCCCAGACACGGTCACGCAGGCCATTCAAGCACCGCGTGTTGCCACAAATATATTTTCAATTATTTGTTTTATGTATTTCCAATGCGGTTTTATTTGTTGTTTTTTTTTATCTTATATGATGCATATTTGTGTCCTTTACAATATGTATACAGTAGATCGTTCATAATGTTCCATGGAACTGTGATACATGTGTCACTAATGTGTCCACAAAAAAATATTTATTGTCGCAATATTACTTGTTAAAAATTCACTAAAATTACAATATGTACAGTTTCAAACACTACACTGTAACACACTGTATTACACGCTCAGTACTTCGGAAGTGAGTAATAATCAACGAAGTAGTCCATGGTACACAGCGCAACTTCGCTCTCGTTGCACCAGGCACAAATAAATTTTCACTTACTGTTTCTTCGTTCTGTGGGCTTGCAAATAATGCACTCATGTACACCCTCGGCTTTAGTACTTGTAGGTGGTATGTAGCCAAGCTTGTAAAGCATAAGGTAATATTGAAAAGATTATAAGAAAAGATCAATTTGTAAGGTAGTCTTGAAAAGATCGCTTTGTAAGGTCCCACACAGTAAGATATTCAGCCACTCTCGAAGAGTGTCAGTCAAACTGGAAGAGATTCAGCTATTCTTGAAAATATCTATGGAAAACACCACCACTGGAAGCCGCTAACACTGTTCATCTATGCTACTTGTATCAGATGTATCATCACTGAACGCAGAAAACGATTCATCTATGAATCATCTATATAAATTGGAAAGGACATGGGTGGCATAGGGCACCTGACAGCTGGGTGGACAGCGCTTCGGATTCGTAGTCCTGAGGTTCCGGGTTCGATCCCTGGTGGAGTCAGAGACAAATGGGGCAAAATGTTTCTTTCACCCTGATGCCCCTGTTACCTAGCAGTAAATAGGTGCCTGGGAGTTAGACAGCTGCTACGGGCTGCTTCCCGGGGTGTGTGTAACAAAAAGGAGGCATGGTCGAGAACTGGACTGCGGGGACGCTACGCCTCGAAATCCTCTCAAGATAATCTCAACATAGGTGGGCAAGGGTGGCGCACTCAGAGCTACAACTGGATACGTTTGCTGTATCACTCATAGGTGCTGTATCACTTGCATCCGACCTTTGTGTTAGGTCCTTATTGTGCCTAGCTTCACCAATATCATGACCCTTATGTTCTTCAAACAATAAGGTTTGAATTTCACCGACAGAGCGGGATCTTTCAACACCGCGTCGGACAGGTGTTTGGGAGCCAGAAGTGCATGTGCCACCCATGGTTGCTCACTCGGTACTAATCCAGCCAGCAGCCCTAGGGCATTCTGGGAATTTTTTCCAAGTTGGCTGCCTCTCACTGGAGGTCTTAAGAGTCCATTTCGTGCACAAGCGACCGCACGCACGTTTTGAATGGGTACAAAAAAATAAAAAAGGGTTTTCTCGGTTGGCGCGGTTTCCCGCCGACTGAGTTTTCTTGGTTGGTGCAGTCCAGTGGTTAAACAAAGTCTTCACCAAACTGGGTAGGAATGCTGTTCATTAAAATTGGTGTGAGCTCACACCAAATTGTGAGAAATGGAAGCAGTTTCTATTAAACTTTCTCCTGGGGAGTGGTTTTTTTTTTTTTAGTTGTAGTATTTTGTTTTTGATTTTTTAATCTCAAAAGCTCATAAGATGGCTCCTCAAAGTTCCTCCTGCTATGGTAGTATATAGATCAAACTGAAGACTTGATGTGCCATTGTTTATATAGAATAGTTGTTAGCGTTTTATCTGATGTATACACTAGTTGGTAAATATAGAAAGACTAGAACAATGGGGAGTACAGTATTAGTAAACCATCTTTGCTTTGTTAACATATTTTTTCTCTCTTTAGTTTGCCACGAATCTATGAAGAATTCAACCACACAGTAGCAAATGCTGATTATGAAAAAGATCTTAAATGGTGGAGCAACAACCATGGAGTTAACATGCCCATGAACTGGCCATCATTTGAGGTACGTTATTAATGTTTTTAAACATTTGATGCTTTATAATGTGTTTTGGGCATCAAAAGAATGTTAATGTAAAAGACTCGTGTTGATGCTATGGAGTTTAACCGTCTGGTTTATTGAGGTTTCAGTGGCAGTGCTTACATTAAAAATACACAAGTTATTCTTCTGTATTTAGCTTACATGGTCTTGATATATATGCGGTACTGCCTTTAGACAGCGTTTTCTTAATGAAGGAAATTTGTGTCATACAGTGCTGTTATTTGGACTTTGATTGAATAAGTAATTATCAGGTGGTGAGCCAGTGTGACTATATAGCATGCTATGTTGGTAAAGTGAAAATAAAATGCATCATTTGAGTCTCTTACATTAACCTGATGTACTGATGAGCTGATATAACTGAATTGGAATAATGTAGTATTTGTATCCAATAATGAATAATTTAGACAGTTCTTTGAACGTTTTTTGTACTAAGGAAGATTTTTGTTGGTAAATATTCACATTAAAATACTAATCTAAATACTGGCAATCTAAATTCCATGTATTAGTTATGAAAGCAGGAAGAATTGTTATGGCAAAGCGAATATTACGTTTCATTGAATTCTCACTCCATGTCAGTAATCTGCTCTCAGCTTATCAAAATTTTTGCAATTTTTGCTTTCTTAAAAGTAGAATTTGTTTGTGCTTTAATTGCACTGCATTTTGCACTATTTAAATTTGTGTTTTATAATAATGGCATGCACAGTCGTCTGTGAGTGTGCTAATCACTGCAGTGACAGGTTTTTCATGTTGGTGTTAATGTTTAAAATGTGCATGAGTAGTTTAATGTTTATAATACAATGTTACAGTGTGGTTGTAGTACACTAATAACTATTCCTTAGTGTTATTGTAAATTAGCAAGCTTGCCCAATCTCAAGAACAGCAGTTGGTTGAACCAAAATTAATTTGACTTTGAAATTAAATGGGTTTATAACTTGGATAGAATTGCTGTATACAAGTGTTCTTTTCCTCAGAGGCTAATTTACTCTGTAAAACAAATTTGAATTGCACATTCAATTTTAATCCACCTTTACATTTAGAAAATGTAAATGTTAAGCAGAATAGCATTCAGAATTATATTGTAGTTTGAATGGAATTCATATCTTTTGAGATAGTGCATCACTAATAGAAAAATAAACTTTTTTTTTAACACTCACAATTTAGAAAATGACCATTTACACGTGAATTAAAGTATTAAATGCAAATTATTACTCGGAGAAAAGCATCCTTATCTGTATCTGCTATTCCATCGAATTACAGAAGGTTATTCCTGTTCCCAAACTCCTCTGGTGATAACTTTATCAAGCAAGCTGCTGTTCTTTGAATCTTAGAAGAAATTTGTGCTGGAATTGTTATAGGATACACTGGACTACACTGACACACAGACTAATATTTTAGTATCAGTAATAACCTTACAACATCAAATTTTGTATTGGACATTTAAAAGTCTCTTTTGAAGTTTTGTAATTACTGGTATATTGAATTTTCAATAATTTTTTTCTTTATATGAAAGAAGAACCATTCCTGTGGCACTTACTATGTCTTTACCAAGGAAAAAATGAGAGTAAACATTTTTCAGAACGCACTGCAGTGTGAGTTATTCTTAAATTGACAAACGTACTGCACACGGATTTCAAATTTTCCGAAGATAAAGTTTGCATATAGTGTATCTTTTCTTTTTACAGAGTTATAGAACAATCATGTGCACACATTTCCATAAACATTTTCTTTACCAATTATAAATAATAAATTATGGTTGTTAATATGTCTATGAACTTTTATATATTCAATGCCATCATGCATAAACTATTATCCTTGTACTGATTTTTTTTTGCATCTCTATAGCATTCATTTCCATACATTTTAACAAAAAAAAATAATAGTTATAACCCCAATAATAACTTATAAGTAACAATTATAAACATTGAACTCATGACTGAGTGGAAGGACTGAGAGGGTCGGACCATTTACAACCATGCACATGGAAAGAGGTCGCATTACTATAGTGTTTATGTATTTTCCCAAATAAAACTTGGCATTTTGATTTTCCTCTTTCCCTCATGATTGCTTTCCCATTTTATGAAAGGGAAGAGTGGGGATAGAGATGATAATATACTTGGCGAATATTTGAAGTGGCTTTGTACTTTGGGTCATGCTATATAAGGCAGTTTCCAGCTTTTTCCAGAAGGATCATGCCATACATTATTCCAAATGATGTAATTATTGTTAGTTCAATTAGCTCGAATCATTCTCAAAAAGGTCTTTATATAGGAACTTGTGTTAGAGCTCGAGTCTATTGGAAATAGTGGTTTCTTAAGAGGTGTTCTTTATTTGGTACATAATATAAAATGTTGGTCATGCATTATACTTGGACTATAATCTACCCAAAATACATACTGCACAAATAATACTAGGAAAATGAACGCTATCATATATTGCCAGGGGAAACAGCCAGGTAAACTAGTATCTTACATCTAATTAGCCTCAATTCAGTTCCTGTATACAAACTGTAAGTCAAATGAATAAATCCTTACTACAGAAACTAAAGGTATTTATTGTTTCAAAGGGAAAACATTTGTCTGACCTAGAGTCTGGTATATTTGTTTTGAAAACTAATGTAATTTTTAGGTTAAATTTTGTAGTTCACTGCAAATGTTTTTACTCGTCTACCATCATTTAAATTTTGAGAGATAGGGCAAGCTTAAATTATGACCATCTTCTCTTGTTTGTGTGAACTAACATGATAAATGCTTTCCAATTATGTAGTTAATGCTTATACAGCTTTGCTATTTCATCTTGAACCACCAGTGGACCAATACTAGACTTTGTGGCACCACTGTGACCTGAATTTCATTTTTCCTGCATTGTTTTTTTTACTTTTTTGCTCCCGTGCATGTGTGTGCAGGAATATTCAGAGGAATTCCGCGACATTAGCAGCAAAGCCAAGCGCAGTGGACAGATCCCGGAGGGCATCACTTTGCTGAACCAGCGCACCGTCTGCGATGATTTGCCAGTAATACAGCTCACTGTTTCTCTCATATTATTTATCTTATCCTAATCAACAATCTTTATCTCGTATTTAAAATTCTGAGTTACCAAAACCATATTTCATAATTTCTTATACAGTATTGATATTTCCTCTGGTTTTGGTACCAATCATACTTAACCATTTGTTTCAATTGCCTAACTAAATGTTTTCAGTTTTATCATTGTTTTCGAGTAATTTCTTAATATTTTGTTTCTTCTATTTGATTCTTACAACTTTTGACAGTATCACATTTTCATGAATTTTGTATACTATATTTTTATTTCTTTTCCTTTTATGTTGATTATATCGATATCTTTAATTACCTTCATAGTTCTAAACTGTTATTTTATCTATCCCCTGTCTAACACTGTATTCATAGCCAAACTCCAACATGAACAAATTTCTGGAGAAAACTTTTTAATCCAGTACTAAGAGATGCCTAGTACACATTGTTCTTCCCACCATTCTATTTGTCCATCAAACTCTTTTATGACCCGGATACTGACCCTGCCACAGACTTTGACCAAATTGACAATCAAGGCACCCTTATATTATTATCTGTCTTAGTGTTAAATTTAAGAATAGAATTTGTTCATGTTTCTTCTTTCAGCATTCTATTGCATTCTTTTTGGTTCTTTAGTAATTGCTGAGTAATTTCTTTGTCTTGCTTGTACTATTTTACTAATTGTATATAAATATGGGCATAAAATACTTTAAAGTCTTGACCATCAATTTCTCTCATGTTGGGTGCATGATGTTCTCTGATCCTTTATACATGCAACACTAAACAAATTATTATTGTACTATACTTTTATTTTATATTGCTCCTTCTAAGACTAACATTCTTAAAATTCTGTGTGCCCATATTTTTTTGTAAATACAGTTTCATCCATATAAAGCATATATATATATGCTTTAAAAATGTAAAGCATTTAAAGAAACCCCAAACCACACCACTTTAAGGGTTATGGGTTGGATTATTCTGGGAAAAAATTTCACATGTAAAAAGAGCAGAGATTGGCTGTGCATAAAAATTGTAATAAACTGTACGTGTGTGTGTGTGTGTGTGTGTATATATATATATATATATATACATATATATATATACATATATATAATATAATATTTATTATTATTGTTACACCGTGGCCTTGAGTGGCGAGAGTTATAGACATACAAAAGAGAAGCAATGTTATTAAATATTATAACTAATCACCACGGGTCTTCGCTTCCCTATGCTCGGGTGCCACTGACCATCTTTTGAGCCCCCCTAAGTCTTACCACGAGACTCACGAGTTGAGTCGCTACCGGCGACCCGACCTTTACCCATGTACCTGCAACTCATCCTGCAAGGCATCAAACCTGCAGCCCGCTGCACCCCCACCAAGCTTACCCGCCATAACACACAATACCGGAGACGCCGGCACTCACCCGAGATCTTCACTTGGTTCGGTCACCAGCTGGGTAATCAATAACTGCGGGCCAGCAACGCTTCACAGTATTCTTATATATAGAATATTGCCAGTCAATGATATCTTTCCAACAGTTGTGTGGTGCAAGTACAGAATCACTTTCATAGAATGCTCAGGGGATGGAGGACATATGTAAACCCAGTGGTAAAATAGTAACAAGTTTACTAAAGAAAAACTACAATAAACATCAAGGTAAAATGAACTGTAGAAACTGGAAGGTGTCGCCAGCACTCTTCTCGCTGCATCTGGCAACTCGATCAGCTGGGCAGATTAAAGGGACCGGTGCTCACCTCTCGAGAGCCCACTTGGCGCATGTCTGCTCTCAACGAAGGGCCGTGTAACTCTGAGTCCCCTGGGCACTTCCTAGCCTCTGGCGCAGCTGGCCCGGTGATGTCACCGCCCAAGGGCTGACCCCCCCATTGGTCAGTTTTGGCACGTGACCTGGCCTAGTCAGTCGCCAAGCACCTGGCACCCTTGCATCTTGGCGGGAGTCTGATCTACCCGTCACCACCTTGTAAACCTAAACCTTGTAAGTCCAAAACTTAAATGATTACTTTCAAATAAATATTCTTGCTACCTATCACATATTAAAAAGAATCCCTGCATCTTGGGGAACATGCAGGACAGAGATATGACTCTTACTGCTGGATAAGGGAAGATATAGGAGAGGGCACCATAACAATATACATAATGTATATTCAGTACTGTGTATATATATACGCAGTGGAACCTCGGTACTTGAACAGCTCCCAACTCGAACATTTCTGCACTCGGACACTGCATTCATGTTCGGTACTCGTTCGATTGCTTGGCACTCTAACTTGAATATGCATTCCTGACGTGTTGGTTTCGTCATAGTGGTAGTTCAGTGCACAACACCACTAGACTTCTCTAAACTTTCTCAGATATTTTTGATACTCTTAGTGTAAATAAGCCACCATGTCACCTTAGAAAGTTGGTGATAACAGTCAAGCAAAAAAGAAAATTAGTTAGAACCATGATTTAGTTGAAAAAAGAATCCATAGCAAAATATGAAAGTGGTGTCCAGGTGCCTTGGGCACCACTTTCAAATCTGCTCTTGCTACTGAGTTTGGTATGCTTAAATCTAGTTCTCAAATAAAAGAAATATGTTCAAAATGAGGAAAAGTGCAAAGTTTTCTTGAAAAATATCACTCTTGAAAAAGCAGTCATAATGGTATAGGACTCCCCTGCCAAAGAATAACATAGTTCATAATTTAACTGTGTCAGGGGACAGGCAGCCAATATATACATACATACATTACATGTTAGGCTTAAATCAAGGAACTTTTTCTTTAGTATTTCACCATCCATATAATTAAAAGCAGTCTGATGGTGGAAAGCGATGCCTTCGCTCCTCTCACAATGTTCTTTGTGTGTTCCTCTGGTGACAGTTTACTCTCCAAAACCACCCCTAGGTCTCGTTCTTTATTTAGAGTTCTGTAATTCCTTCCCCCACAATTTGTAAGTTGTGTGGGGTGTATTTTTTCTGATTCCACATTCCATAACATGGCATTTATTCACATTGAATTCCAATTGTGCCTTGATGCTCCAAGCACTTATTTTATCTAAATCAATTTGATGGGCATGACAATCGTCTGCATTTCCTATCTTCCCCAGTATCTTAGCATCATCCGAAAACATGTTCATATAATTCTGTATTCCTTCTGGTAGATTGTTTATGGAGACGATGAACATTACTGGTGCAAAAACTGAACCTTTTGTGGTACTCTGCTAGTAACACACCTCCAGTCAGATACATTGTCTCTGATTACCGCCCTCATCTGTCTGTCAGTTAGAAAATTTTTCATCGATGTCAGAAGTCTCCCTGTCACCCGTCCAGCATGTTCCAGTTTCCAGAACACCCTCTTGTTTGGGACTGTCAAAAGCCTTTTTTAGGTCCAGATAGACACAGTCAACCCAACCACCTCTTTCTTGTAGATTCTCTGTGGCTCTGTCATAAAAACTAAGTAGATTTGTTACACAGGATCTTCTTGTTCGAAAACCATACTGTCTGTCTGTTATATCTTTACTCTCTCTAGGTGTTCAACCCATTTGGCTTTAACTATTGTTTCTAGTGTTTTGACTACCACGCTTGTTAATGATTTGGGTCTATAATTTAGAGGTTCTTAATTTTTTTAGATTGGTACAGTACTGTTTGCCTTTTTCCATACATCTGCTAAGATTCCTGTGCACAAGTATGTCTGGGACATTAATCAGTGTGTGTATTTTTTATATATATATATATATATAATTTTATTGACTGATTTAGGGCCCCTTTGATGCTCCCTAGAGCAATTGAATCACTAGGACTATGTTACTTTGCTAGTCTTTGATGGTTTACACCCAGGCATGATAAAGGTCTCAGCTGTTGACCTTAACAGGGATAAAAGTTGATAAAGGAGCCTCAGAGAGTCTTAGCTTGGCAATAATGTGTTGACATTAGTGAAAGATACTTTTGAGTCGGTTCCTTGGATGTTTCCATTTTCACTTTTTTTTTTTTTTTATCACCTTCCTCAAGCTTGCTTGGATAAGCTAGGAAGGAACGGTGAAGATAGTTCTCATCCACTCTTTACATGTAGGATTCTACGATCCTAGCATTGTGATGGGTAGCTCTGCTATTAGTATTTGTTTCATAACACTAATTAGAATTTCTATGTTGTTAAGAACAATTTGCAGGGGTTGTTGAAGATATTCCTCAACATATATTGCTTCCTGCAGTGTGGTGTAGTAGACTTGTCCCTTGGTGATGGCTTGAGTAAGATTCACCAGTGTCTCCCTAGCTCTTCTTTATCCTTGATGAGGCCTATGTCAGAGATCCTTATCAGGCTTTGAGGAAACAGTTAGAAGACCCTGGCAGTGACATTATCCTGGTGGTCCAATGTCTTCAGGCTCATCGAAGCATCTGAGGGACCACCTCGGGAATTAGTTTTTCACTATACTCAACTCCTTGTTTTTGTTGTATATAGTATTGAAATATTTTAAATTTAGACTTGGAAACAAACTCTCATGCTTCAATTTATTCTGAATTACTCAGCAAAGTGCACAGCTCGCTAGGAAGAGGTCTGGCAACTTTTGCCAATTTTATGAAATTAATTCGGTCACATGGGAAAAAAGTGTTTTTTGTGATGTATTGTGTTCTTTGAGACTATTCATTTTTAATATTCCTTGCCTAAATGTTAGTCTCATGCTTATTGAACAATTTGCGAAATATTTATCACATTACTCGTTTTCTTTGTTTATTATATATTGAAGGATCAGATGTTGCTAAATAAGGAGAAAAAAGTTATTGTATAAAATGATTTTGTTTACATAATTTGCTTCTTTCTCTTCAGATTTGCACTGCTAGTCATATATAGTGGTCTTTACATGAATAACATAATAAAACCTTGTAACCATTGCTATTCTATGCTTTTATTCTTTTGTACTTTAGTCCTCCTCAGCTTCCCAGTATGCAGTAGATTGGTTATGGGGCTTCATAGTCAAATTATTTTCATGTTTGCCAAAAGAAAGGAATTATTCTGCGGTGAAGAAGCTTATTCAGTTCCATAATGTTTCATCGCTTGGCAATTTGCTTGACATGCTTAATGGAGTCAGGTGTTCATCCTTTAACATCTCTAGATTTTGCCATTACCATTAATTTGGTATTGGGTACTGCGGTTTTGCTTCCTTTATTTTTGGTGGCGATTCATGAAGTGTGTGCTTGTTTTAGAATAAAAATTGCACTGTAGGGGTGATTGATTTACTGTTTGTTAAGTAAGGAAGATATAGTTTTTAATGTTTTAAGTTTAAGTATAGCATTTTGTTATTTAAAATAACTAGTGTTTATTCAATTATGTCCATGTGATCACCTATATTTTCACAAGTTGAACCTTATCCTTAAACTGAATTACATGATACTTCACCTAGTTTTATCTTGTATCACATATATTGCTGTTTAACCCTTTAGCTGCACAAAATGATATTGGTTGATTCACAAAAAATGCCCTAAAATGCAATAACCCATCTTGATATCATGGGTTTTTAAAAATGTTTCCAAAACACAATATTTGACTAGGCACTTTGACTTTCAAATCATGCCAACCTGCATGATTTACATCATTCATCTATGAGAAGGGTTATGCAGGAAAAACCAACCTCTCAAAATTAATGCATTTTTTAATGAAGTATGAAAAAAAACATTTTTTCTCTTATAACATTGCAAATTTAAATACTTTGCTCTGCTTGTATTTCAACTCACAGTAGGATTAGGAGATAAAAATTGGTGTTGCAGCTAAAGGGTTTAGAGATTTTATATATATATATATATATATTAGTATATTTTGGTAGCAGTCTTTCCTGTAGACATATATTATTAAATATGACCGAAAAAGTAAGATTAATAATTCTAACACGAATTTTCTCAATCTTTCGTACATTACGCTTCACTGTTGGAGGTAAATCAAAAATCACTTCTCCAAAATTCATTTTTATTTCTAGTCTGACGCGACACGGGCGCGTTTCGTAAAACTTATTACATTTTCAAAGACTTCACAAATACACAACTGATTAGAACTTACGTCTCTCTGATATTATATCTACATTTGAGTGAGGTGGGAAGGATGATGTGGCATTAACACAAGACAGAACAGGGGATATTAATAGGGTATTAAAAGTATCAACACAAGACAGAACAGAAACAATGGGTATTGAATAGAAGTGTTTGTAGAAAGCCTATTGGTCCATATTTCTTGATGCTTCTATATTGGAGCGGAGTCTTGAGGTGGGTAGAATATAGTTGTGCAATAATTGGCTGTTGATTGCTGGTGTTGACTTCTTGATGTGTAGTGCCTCGCAAACGTCAAGCCGCCTGCTATCGCTGTATCTATCGATGATAACAACACAGAAATCATCGATAGATACAGCGATAGCAGGCGGCTTGACGTTTGCGAGGCACTACACATCAAGAAGTCAACACCAGCAATCAACAGCCAATTATTGCACAACTATATTCTACCCACCTCAAGACTCCGCTCCAATATAGAAGCATCAAGAAATATGGACCAATAGGCTTTCTACAAACACTTCTATTCAATACCCATTGTTTCTGTTCTGTCTTGTGTTGATACTTTTAATACCCTATTAATATCCCCTGTTCTGTCTTGTGTTAATGCCACATCATCCTTCCCACCTCACTCAAATGTAGATATAATATCAGAGAGACGTAAGTTCTAATCAGTTGTGTATTTGTGAAGTCTTTGAAAATGTAATAAGTTTTACGAAACGCGCCCGTGTCGCGTCAGACTAGAAATAAAAATGAATTTTGGAGAAGTGATTTTTGATTTACCTCCAACAGTGAAGCGTAATGTACGAAAGATTGAGAAAATTCGTGTTAGAATTATTAATCTTACTTTTTCGGTCATATTTAATAATATATATATATATATATATATATATATATATATATATATATATATATATATATATATATATATATATATATATATATATATATATATATATATATATATATATATATATATATATATATATATATATATATATATATATATATATATATATATATATATATATATATATATATATATATATATATATATATATATATATATATATATATATATATATATATATATATATATATATATATATATATATATATATATGTGTGTGTATGTATGTATGTTGTGCCTAGTAGCCAGAACGTCGTACTCGGCCTATTATGCAAGGCCCGATTTGCCTAATAAGCCAAGTTTTCCTGAATTTATTTTTCAATTTTTTTTCTTATGAAATGATAAAGCTGCCCATTTCATTATGTATGAGTTAATTTTTTTTTAATTTGAGTTAAAACTAACGTAGATATACGACCGAACCTAACCAACCCTACCTAACCTATCTTAACCTAACCTAACACAATTAAGTCAATAATTTATGTTGCTAAAATAATAATAATAATAATTCAAATAAACTAATCGGAAACAATTTATTGAAAATAAAGAATATTACTTGGCCTATTAGGGAAATCGGGCCTTGCATAGTAGGCCGAGAAGTGTGTTCTGGCTACTAGGTATAATAAATCATTGAAAACGACAAAGTTTTAGATTTATGATTCTAGCAAGAATCTTCTTGATATTCCTTGTTTTTCTTCATTGAAGCAGGAAGATTAAAAAATTTTCTCTCCAAACAACGTGCCACGAGCACTTTGGAGAGTTGATGTTCTACGGGTACAGGCGGCACAGGCGTTGCATGCTCGTTTTAGAGTATTGCAATGTGCTAGGCTGGTTGCTAGGTTTTCGGCTTCCTGCATCCAACTGTGGTGCGGGCAGCCCTGGCATCTTACCTCGTGCGTGACCCGAATTACGCCTCGGTGATGGATCTGTTGTCTTTCAGGTTTGGGAATTCGTTCTCTTTCTGGGTCCATTATGAAGTTCCAGATCCGGCTCCATTCAGACTGCTCCCCAGTGGTTCATTGCCTGAACCACGGGGGTTCGATGCAGTCCTTGGCTCTTCGACGCTGATCGCTTCGTGTGACTCGTCTGCTGAGTTCTCGGGGTTTGGCTTTCCTGGCTGTTCATGTGGGGCGAGTGTCCAACGTCTTGGCCGACGGGCTGTCTTGTTTCGTTCCCCTATCCACGGAATGGACGGTCGATGCCGGATCCTTCCGTTGACTCTGCCAGATGTTTGGGCGCCCCGAGTTGGACCTTTTCGTGTCGGCGTGGTTGCGGTGCCTCCCCCAGTATGTGGGGCCCTTTCCCGATTGCGAGGCTGTCATGGTCGATGCCTGACAGGCACTGACCTGAGGTTAGACAAGCACGATCTGAGTATGTAAACTTGTCTTTGTGTTCTTGCAAAGCGCTTCTAGGCGTCAGACCATAAATAAAAGTATGAAAATGAACTCTGGAGAGTTAATTTTTCAACTACCCCCAACAGTGAAGAAAAACACAAGAAATATTGAGAAGATTCGTGTTAGAATCATTAGTCTTACCCTATCGGTCATATTCAACAACATATATAACTATGTATATACACAGTATTAGTTATTTATTATTTGATGATATTAATGTTAGCACATGTCTTGGTATGGCATCATCATTCATGGTAAGGGCCTACTTAATCCTGGCTAAACTGTCAGGTTTTGGTTGTAAGGCACGTAATGTACTGTAGTGCTGCTAGTAGTGTGGTAGCTTTGGAGTGTGCATGGGTGCTTTTTTCAGGAAATTATGTTCTATTAATTAATTATGGAAATAATAATTATAATTGTGGGAAACCTTGCCATTCTTACAGATTATTCAGTACAGTACTGTACTGTACTTTTAAATACTTGGCTTGAATTGTTGCCATTTTCTTAATTATGCCTTTTTACATTTAATAAAGGCAGGCCATAACAAAATAGACCTTTTAAGTTTCTTTATAACTTCCATATATATCTAATGGTTAGTGTATTTGTGTGTGTGTGTGTGTAATTATGCAAGTGTATATATAAAATGAGATCAATGCTTGTGGTGACCTTTCCTGTTATCTTCGTCATATGACGTTTGAGGCTTTAGATGGTTTTGGAATTACCAGTAACTAGTTTTCTATTGTTGTAATGTGTGCTTACATTGTTGTATCTACAGGGCACAAGATCTATCTCTAGACGATATATATTGGGTGTCTTTCTAGTACTGTCATAATTATCACCAAGTGTAAATACTCGAGTGTTTGTATTGGGCTGGGTGACCGAGTGAGTTTTTTTGGGGGAGGGGAAAAGCAGGTTGTTTTGATGTGTGTGTGTACCAGCGTTGAATGTAATTAAACCCCATTTTCTGGGTGAGACCCGGAAGCTCCCCGGCAACCCTCCCTCCCTCCAGTCGGTGGTTTTTCGCGTGTTTTGACATCCAGCCTCAGAACTGATGGGTGGATAGCCGGCGTGAGAGGTTTGGGGCTCCCCCTTCCCCATCCCAGGGAGGGGGGGAGCTGTGCAGACAGCGGCGCGGTGATGTGTGACGTCATACTAGTTTGCTTGTTTTCTATTGGGGAGTTATATCCACTAGTTTGGGTTTTGGTAGCAATTTTAACCAGAATAGGGGTTTGTTTTGGAATGCTTACCTTTCTGGATGTTTGACCTGGTTGATGGCAGACATAGAGTGCTTCCAACCACACGGGGGTTCCTATAGGCCATTGCTCCCCTTGCCTCTCTGAGGGGGCCAGGTTCTGGCAGTGGTCCCCAGTAGCCCCTAGAACTCCATACAGATGACTGATGCCAAAGTCTGACATTAGCATATCAGCCTGGTAAAGCTCCGGGAGCCTCTGGGGTCTCGCTCAGAAAATGGCGTTTCATTACATTCAACGCTGGTTTTTTTTATTCAAATGAGACATTTTGTATTTCTAAAAAGTTAATGTGTGCTGTACATATGTGTGCTTATGTGTGAACATATTTGAATACAAAAAAAGATTGATACATGTGGTTTATACCAGGTGTGTGTGTGTGTGTGTAACCCTTTAATTAAAAAAAAACATGCTTGATGCTGAACAAATCTTCATAATTGTTAGATCTCGACATATTTCCCAACTTCCCAGAAATTTTAGTTTTCGTCTTCCTGAAATCACCTCAGATCTCAAGTTGTCAGTCAGGAAAGGCTGCAAAATTGTATGGTATTTGGTAGTTATTTGTAGCAAACAGATTGTCAATATTTATTACTTAATGCATACAATGAACAGAAATATTAATCTTGAGTAAAGTCTTGTTTCAACTTAATTCTTAGCAAAATTTGTAATTGTTGCTGTGTATAGTGGGATGTTTGCCAGTTTTATTGTTTCATATGAAGGATACAACACTTGTATGTAGTGTGATTGGTTCTACTTGTAAAAGACTCGATGTGCCATGTATTAATTTATTTCTTGCCATTCAGGAATACACACCTGACCTTCATCGTATAAGTAAGAAGGCGCCTAAAGGAGCAGTGAGTGGAACGGGGGATGTTACACTAACATCTGTCAAAGGTCCTTCCAACCACACCTCGGCCACTTCAAAATCTTCTGATAACAACAGGAATTCAGCTATCAGGTATACCTTTGCTGTTTTAATATATGCATTGTTGTGACAAATGCACACACAGAATGGCAGTGTCAGGATGCATATATCTAAACCTGCTGAGTGTCACTATCAGGGATTGTTAATAACATAACAGATTCTAGTTTAATAGATTTGTGTGAATGTAAATCTTGAGAAATTAAAATGTTAAACTATCTTTATAAAAAATGTTGTGCATACAGTTTGTGCCACATAGTAATTTAGTGCTTCCCTTTGAAAATTTTAATATTTTACTTCACTAAAAATTTAAATTGTATCTTGTCTTGCCTGCTGTAAAAGACTAAATATAAATGCATGTTATTGGTATGCCTCATGCAGGCATATTTTATTCAGTGTGACTGGAATTGTAAGTGGGAAATTGGCTAATGGTAAGACTTGGCATATGATATTAATTATTTTTTAAATTGCATAACCAAGAGTCCTACATTTCATTCTGTTTAACTCGCTCTCATTCTTAAAAAAATTAATATGAATAAATTAATGTATTTTCTCTGTAACGCCGTCATGGTTGCACGTGAAGCCAGTAGCAGATTCGACCCAGGGTACTGCTCACACGCCTTGCATTAGTCATGTTTTTCCCACCGTAACATGCAACTTCAAATGGTCTTGCCATACAATTGAGAAGGGCAGACATTGAAGAGTTACATCAGTCTACCAACAAAGCAACTGCTGTCAGAGAATATAACCGTGAAACCATAGTTGAAGCAGTCTTAAAAACCATGAGACATACAAGGTGACAGGTAAAAATGCTTACTAAGAGTGCAGTAAAGCACAAAACCCATAAATGAACCATAAAAAAAACTAATCATTAAGCAAAATAAATAACGTCTTAAAAGATGCCAGCCAGATGGCAAAGGCACACCAGGCGAGAATGTGATGGGCTTGGTGGTGCCAAACCCTTGGATGACTAGCACTACCATCTGATGGTAGGAGGGGAAAAGTGTGGTGTTATTTTGGTTGTTAGGGATAGTTATCAGTGTTGTTTGGTATTTGTTCATATTAAACATTTCTCTTGAATGTTTTGAGTTCTTGTGACCCTCATTTGGCCTTGATGGTGCCTTATGACACTCCTCATCTGCTCTGCTTCAGTGAGGATACAAGATATGAGTGGAAGAAGTTGAGCTATGAAGACAGAGTGAAAGAATGAACCCTAACCTGCAAAAAATGAGGTTGCTGTTGTACCAACCAGTCCAATTAGATGGACCTGGATTACCAGTGAATAAGCTCTGGGGAGCCACTGAGGAAGGTGAGGGGGGGGGGGTCACCCTAGAAAAATAGAGTAGATAGTACATGAGTGAAAATAGTTAGGTCCTAAATAGGACTTGCCTCATATTGGACATAAGGCCTACTGAAGTGTTCCTTTCTAATTGTACTCTTATTTTTGTAGGAGTCCGTGTCTTTGGTTACGGTCACTGCATGCCCTGTAGCCTTTCAGCTTCATGGTGCTGGCCTAGTTAAGTTTGCTGCATTTTGTGCAGGTTTCTGTATTATTTGCTATTTTAGTCTGGGAAATTGTCTTGGAGATCATCTGAGGAAATTTTCTCAAAAATTAGGCATGACGGGGTATGAAATGCTCATCTCCTAGAAACCAGAAGGCTGCTTCTGGTTCTGCCCTTGATGTTTCGTCTTCCCAAGCACACTTGAGCTTTAGCATGTACGTGAAGTGGAGATACTGCCTCCTCTAACCCTACTGAATAGCTTGTGTTACCACTTGATGGTTGGTAGTTCAATTACAGTAGTTATCAGAACAGTACAGTAATTGGCTCTTTTGGTGTTTCCAATTGTCATTCGAGGGGATGTTGAGTAGTTTGTTTCTATCGTGCAAGCAATTACTCTGGTGGAGAAGTGGGGTAACTATCCATGTCTCCCATCCCAAACTACCTGGTAAGACCATTTGAAAGTTTCCTTGCAACGGTTGGCCAGCAACAGTTGGATGGAGCCTAGTGTGAGAGCAGTGTCCTGGGGTGACCCTGGTGCAGGCTTGGGGAGGAATAGTGGTTGCTCAGAAAGGGAGATTTTATGCTACTTAACTCCTTATTTGTCAAACCTTGCCTGCAATGAAGTTCAAAATACAGTACAGTACAGATAAAATACAAAAATAAAAAATCCAGTGATGACTAGTTACTTGTGATATGTAATACTAATGGTCAGAATGTGCCATAAATTTGAGTTCTCTTGTACATTGAAATAAGTTAATCTGTTATATCTGTGGGTAGCCCCATTGGCTCCCTGAAGTGATCTGAACTGATATGTGCTATATTAGTTTGAGTTCATCAGTCACAGGAGTTCTTATGCTTACCGGGAATCGCAAGCCAGAACCTGGTCCCCTCAAAGAGGTGCAGGGAGCAATGACCTTTGAGCACGTTACATTTAAAGTGTCATAATTGTCATCGACCGGGGAAGGACCAAGATAGGTATGCGGCAGCCCACTACTCCAGTTCTTGAACTGATGTGCTGGTGGTCAGATCAATCGCCTCTGGTCTCAAGTTCCTGTTCTAGATTTTTGCCCGGTGAAGCTGTTCCAGATCTGTGTGATGGTGGCTAGGTGTCTTAGTGTACAGGAGCAGCATGCGCCTATGGGGACCTTCACTGTGTGTTCTGTGGGTACTGCCCTTGCGTGTCAGGGTTATCTTCTCTAGGGCGTTCGGGAATCACTTCCCGTTTGAGGACTTCATTGATGTTGTCTTCGCCCTTGGGGTATGTCGGGGTCTTGGGCTTTGTCTTGCCCCGGGTAGGGGTGTGTTATTGGCTGGGTGGGATGCACTGTGGCTGGTGCAGCCAGCTTTACATTAATGCAGCTGCCAATGTTTCTCTCTGACTGCTAGTTTGTTTTCTGTGTGCATTTTTTTTTTAATTTTCATTCTCTGGCATTCTCGCCTTGTTTAGACAGGAGGTCTGCTTAGCTTCTTATTACACAAGTCTATGTTGTGTTTGTAGTCGTCCTCCTGGTGCCCCTGAGGTTTCAAAGCTGCTACTAGGGGATCAGTTTGCATGCTACCTTACAGAGTTCTACTGGCTTAGCTGGCCCCAGTGCCTGGGCATCTGATAGGGCTAATTCACCCAATGGGGTCTGGAAAACCCCTGTGGGCTCAGTCGTGCAATGGCTACTTCTTCCGAGCCCGCTTTCGCCTTGTGCAAAGTCGTAGGTCGTTCGTTACCCCATGTCTCGGCGAAATGATCATCCATACTGCCTCTGTCATGCTGCTTGTTGGGTTGGGGACACCATCGACCCGTAGTCTTGCGGGCCTTGTTCCCTGCTTGTACTTCACTTAACTCATTCCATGTCTGTGGATCTCAGGGCTCAGGCAGCGGCCGTGTTGCTTGCTCGATTCTCCTTACTGTAATGAGGCAGGTTAGTTGCTCGTTTGGAGGCCCTGGAGCTGCCCCCACTTGGGTTTCAGGGACGGCATAAGGACTCCAGTGACTGATGACCCCAAACTAATGTAGCACATATCAGTTCGGATAGCTTCAGGGAGCCTCCGGGGCTCACCCAGAAAATGGCGTTTCATTACATTCAACGCTGTTTTTTTATTTATATAATTATTTACAAGAAAGTACAATAAGGTATTTTTTACAATTTAGGCTTGTAAATTGTACATTGCCTCAATGCCTACAAAATGCAGTGTCTGAGGTGATCATGGTAGAAAAGTAGAACATGGAAATTTAAAAAAAAAATGAATGGTTCACTATTCATAAAATTACTGTATTCAATGTTGAGTTAAAACACAAATACTGTAGTGAATAAGCTTGAGTGAGGCGAGAGATTTTGCATTTAATCTATATAATTTAACCCCGCTAATGTGTGGCTAAGGAAATACACATCCACCGCAAGGGAAAGTGAGCAACCTTAATAAGTCTTCATCTTGGAGTGTCACAAGGGACTTAGGAAAACTCTCTGACAAGTCCTTCTGCAGGATTCATTAAGACTTCCAATTCATTCATCATTTTAGAGGATGAGTGTTGTATCAATGAATGAGTGAATGTATCAATAAAAAAATGAAACTAATACAGCGGAAGGCCTATTGACCCTTACGAGGCAGCTTGTATTGGCCAATAGTTACTTCCTATAGTTACTTTATTATTATATTCAAATAATTTGTTGACCCAGTATTCTTCATTACAAACATATAGAGAGTTGTGGAAATCGTATGAGCATAATTGGTATACATATTATGCAATAATGGAATTTTTTACTATGACGATAACCACATGGGCATTTGTGACAATAACTGCATTTGCATAGTAAGTAATCATGAAATGATAGCAGGGTTATTTTTTCATGGGTCAAGGTAAACTCTAGTACAGCCATATAAGCTAGAATAGTCATATTAGTATCATTGGTACAAAACCCAGACAATAATAGTTTAAATCAACATACAATAATCATATTACCCCGTGAATCAAACTATGGCAATATCTGCACTTTGAGGGTTAAATGGTAAATGATTTAATACAGTAGAACTATGTAGCAGAAAAAGGGTTCTCACAGCTTAATGAGTAAGGCTGATGTGCTAATAAAAAATTGACTATAATAGTGAACCATTTGATGAATGAGTAGGTGGTTTGAAAACAAGTGCCACAGATGTAGATCAATGCCTCTTGTAAGGTTTACTGATCTTTTTTCTTTGCATGATAATGAAGAAATAGTAAGGGTTAGGCCTTGACCACGTAACTTTACCAGATCAATACTGATTACATTACTTATGTACTGAATACACAAATTGACGAGAATAAAAAGAACTCGCATAATAACTGCCATAAAACGGCAGCAGCCGTTTTGTACCTCTATGACCTTGATGAAATTTTTTTTCGTCGTAATCCTTTTCTACTGTATTGAACTCTCTGGTAACTAATGTTTCTAGGATTTTACTGTTATCCCATACAGCAATAGTGCTTCCTAGACACTTAAATAATTACTCATAGATGTAATTTATCTGTAAATAATAGCTCATAGATGTTAAGCATCTAGCAGTAAGCACATATTGCAGTAATTCAGGGATATATTTCTGTTGCTTTGGTTGGACATGGGCTACAAGTTGCCATTTCATCTTGAACTAGAATTAAACTAGAGCTGTATTTGCAGCATTTCTTGATTTATCGAAGGGTTGACTCTTCAGAATTTGTTTTAATACAAGTGAACCTCGATTTTATGTGGGTATACATTCTTAAAGATGCTGCTTAGGTATATGCAGTAGAAGTTTTAGCTACCAACCTTGCGGGGGTAAATAGCACGTATTTCAGGACCAAGAATGTTGTTATATTCAAAATTTAAATTATGTATATACAGTACTAGCAAATTTAAGTTTTATAAACATAATTTAACACAAAATTCATAGAACAGCAACTTCTCAAAACTGGCCATTAGCTTTTCTGTGGCCAAAACTCAGATTAAAATAATGTTTAAGGATATATGGTTCTATATTCATCCTCAGAATAATACTATTGTATGGCACCTTCACTGAGCCTATCTACTATTACCAATAAACAAAACACAATTTTAATTTTATGACTGACATCTGCTTCTGCTGTTATAAAAGAAAAACAATAGTGACAATGTGAGGAAGAAAATATGGCGAAGTTAGAACAATTACATGTACTCTCATCCCTACACAATCCATATAGGTTCAAGAGTTGACAATAAATTATGCAAATGGGGCACAATTTATTTATTGCATGTAAGTTATGGCTGCATAAACTTGAGGTTCAACTGTATTTAAAATATTAGAACAGATTATTTCTGTTGACGAAACCATACTAGAAATTGCAGAGACCGACGACGTTTTGGTCCATCCTGGATCATTATCAAGCCGATTGTGGTTAAATGGTAAAGGAATTAATACAGTAGCAATATGTAGCAGTAAAAGATGTCTTATGGCAGATTGAGTAAGGCTGATGAGCTTATAAGAATTGACTAAAATAATGAACCATTATTAAAATAGTGAACCACAATCGACTTGATAATGGTCCAGGACGGACCGAAACATCGTCGTCTCTTCAATTTCTAGTGTGTGGTTTGGTCAACATTTTTCAGCCACGCTATTGTGACTCGTCATTTGCAGAATATTTCTGTTTTGTAATTTAAAATGTTATGTACATGTGTATTCCATGTATGATGTTTCTGTAAATATTAAGAGCCCTTGTCCACACCTGTTGGGAGCTGGTCACTTGTAATCTGTATGCTACATATTCATTGTGCTTTGCCCCTTGATAATGACCCACCCTCTCTTCCCCACACCCCCAGCGATCCACAGGAGTCTCAGGATGCTTCTAATCCTTTCGATGAGGAGGAGGACCCACATAGTCAAAAGTGAGGGATTAAAACGTGCCTTGGTTGGGGGTGATGCAACTTGGCTTAGGTGTGCTCAAAGAAACATATTAACTGTGCTAAATATAATAAATATTAAACTAAAATTGAGTTTCAAATAATTTTTGTGCTGTTGAAGCTTTTCAAGATAACTCCCTTGCAGCTTAATAGGGCCGCCAAGTACCATCACTCTAGCTCGGACAAAAACCATACTTATTGAATGCATATGTATTTTTTGGATGTACTTAATTATTATTGTTATTTTTAGGTTAGCTATGTTTATGGGAAATCTTACCACATATTTCTGAGACTTTAATTTACTGTAGATGAACAGGCCAGCATCATCATTTTTTATTGAAGGTGTATTACCGTACTTATAATTTTGCATGTATAGTAGTTAATAATGCAGCTTGTCTTAAAAAGTAGTTCTGTACCTGGGTATTTGTATGGTATTGTCAGTTAGCTAATATTGTGCATGCTTAGTTTTGCCTTTATATATTACTGGCTGATATTGCTATATCTTCACATAGAAAGGCTAGCTATTTCATACTTTGTGATAAAATAACTGGCTTCACATGATTGAGCAAGTAGTCACATCAGGCTTTGCTTTGTTAATAATCAATATAGTTATTTGCCCACCACACATTTTAACTTAATCTGTATTCTTCTTAAGGAAAGAAACATTCCAACCACTGAACTGTCACAGCCATTGCCTAACTTGCCATGTGTTGTCATATTTCCGTCACTGCCTATTTACACCACTCTAGTTACATACTATTATAATAATTGTTTGCATTATTTTTCATTCCTTTTCAGTACATTCCCTTTTATTCCCTATATTCTATTCTTATTATTTTGTTCTGCCTTTGAAAAAACTGTTGATTGGCTTGTTATTAATATAATTGATTGGCCTGCTGTTTAATACATTTTTACATTTCTTAATTATTACATCATTCTGGAGGTGGGTCTTGGTTTTCTTGTACACTTGAGCTTCGTCTTGTTTTTTGTCCCGTTTGTCTGCTGGTCTCTGATTCACTAGATTCTGATCCACTCTTGGCCATCCCTGGTCATGAACCGTATTGTTTAGCTTGTTCTGATCCACTCTCAGTCCCAGGCTTGGCTGGAGTTTTGGATGGGTAGTTTCAGGGTCTACATTTGACCTTGTCTTTTGGGCGCGTAGCTTCCGGGTCTAAGTTTGGTCCTTGTTTTAAACTATCAAGTCTTTTGTCTAGGCTCTTGTTTGCTTGCCTTCTTAAGTTTTGAGTCACTCCTTTAACAATAGATATTAGTTTCTAGCTGCCATCTAGTTTAGTCTTGTCAGGCAGTAATATGTGAAGTATATGTGCCTTCCTTGTTTAAAAGGCTTTTTTTTTGTTTTTGGATATAATTATTTGTGAGTGTTTTCAACAAATCACTTCAGACTTTTGCAGCTTACTCATCCAGTGGCTGCTTTTTACAACATTTTGAGGTGACTTGAGCTTCCAGTGAGGTAGTGGGACAATCCTCCTGGTAGCATTCTTTCCTTTTTCAGCTTCTTGACCTCTGTCAATTTGCTGCGCTGGAAATCAATTTTTTTGTGCGTGTACAACAATGTTTTAATCTCTAAGCTTCTAGTCTCCTTTCTTGTTGGCAATTGGATTCCCTTCACGTTTTGTTGTACAGTATTAGGATTGTGGAGGATGGGGGTGGGGGGGGCAGCATTCACATCTGAGATGGTATTGGTCCTGGCATAAGCTCTGAGGAGCCACTGAGAGGCCCTCATAAAGTGGCATTTCATTACCTCAATGCTCTATTTTTACTTGCAAAGAGGTGATGTGGTGGATCACCTAAAAGGGAAGCGTGCCCCTTCATGTCTGGTGAATGCCTCAGATACTGTTGCTTTACTTCAACAAATAGAAAATACGTAAAATAAATTTAGTATACAATCTTCCTATTTGTTCTAATGTACAATAGAACAATCATATGCAATCAGTGCAAAAGCTATAAATATACAACGGTTATTCACTGCACAAACATAAAACCTGGGCCTGCAGGCTGCTCCAAGCTACAGCCTGTTTGACCAAGCTCTCGCAAGTCAAGCCTGGCCCCGGGCCAGGCTTGGGGAGTAGAAAAACTCCCAGAACCCCATCCAGGTACAAAACAATTATACACTTTCAAGAATCCTGACACAGCTGGCCAAAAGCTACCCCTAAAGAAGGTAATACCTTCTGTCCATCATGGATTATACCTGGAGTGGGTAGTGGGAGTTCTTCTACTCTCCAAGCCTGACCTTGGCCCAGGTTTGACTTGTGATAACTTTGTCCAAAAGGCTGTTGCTTGGAGCAGCCCACAAAATCACATATCCACTACAACCTGGTAGTGGATATGTTTTTGGTTTATATAGGTTTGTCTGGTACTTCTCGTAAGGATGTGTCTAATTTTTTCTTCAAGTTCTTTTATTCTGCCGATATTTCTTCTGCTTGCTGGGAGGGTATTGAAAACCCATGGACCTTTGATATCCATACTGTGTTCTTTGATTGTGACTATGGCAGTCTGGTTGACCAGACAACCTAGAGGTCTGGTCAGAACCTGGGGCACAGAGACATTGATCCTCAGAACCAACACAAGGTAGATAAGGCATGGCACTTCTATACTCTTCATTGGCTCTATTCATTTCCTACCATATCATTCACTCCAGTATGTTATTTTACTATGTAAATTGGGGAACTGTCCTTCCAGTATCATCCATGTATATATTACGTGATACCATCTCCTTTCTAGAGAGTGCATTTTTTAGAGTTTTAAGATAGTCCTAATATTTTAGGTACTTTATAGGGTGTTCTTTTCATTTATGTTCTCTTTATTCCCTCTACTTCAACAGTCTCCTGGTTTGAAAGAAGAAATGAGTACCAAACTGTACTCAAGGCAGGAAAGCACAAGAGACTTAAATAGTATGAGCATTGTGGTGGAATCCCTGAATTTGAAGGCTCTCATTATCCATTTTATCCTTCTCCTAGCGCTGTTATATTTGTTTGGTTATGCTCCCTAAACGGTCACCAGATACCATTACTCTCAGATCAATTACATTTTGTTTTCCTTCGAGTAGATCCGAGTGTCTTGTACCCTGTATTTCATTTAAGGTTTACCATACCTAAGTTTCTGGAATTTATCACTATTAAAAACCACGTTATTTCCTGTTGTCCAGTCGAAGACTATTGATGTGGGTTTGTATTTTTTTAAGACATGGACATGGAATCTTCATGCTGATTTTTGTATGATCTGTGAGTTGTATTTTTGTCTATATCTGATATAAGAATGAGAAAAGCAGTGGTGCAAGGACTGTGCCTTGGGGTACAGAGCTTTTCACTGTGCTTGGACTTGATTGTTTGACTGTCACTCATTGCCTTCTGTTTGACAAGAAATTGAATATATACATCTCCCTACTATATCTGTTATTCATATTCATCTCATTTTGAGCTGTCACTCCATGGTCACATTTATCATGTGTGACCTTCACACATTTGCTGCCTCCCACCTCCCGCACATTTGCTACCACCTTCCCCAAATTCACTGTCATTCCCAACATTTGCAGCCACTCTCCTCCCCTCCCACTGGGCATTTTCCACACAGTGCACTGGTTATCATCACTAGGGTGCAGCAAGAATCTGCAAAGGAAGCCACTGCAGGTCACAGCACACTTCATTAGTGGAGATTGCTCCCAATGAGTGGTTGGTAAATGGACTCTTGGCATCGCTCACTACTGAATGCTTTCTGTTAACACTATGTAATCTCTCTCTTTTCAGAAATTTCTTCCGTAGCATCTTCCTCTTCTGCATCTTTAATCTTCTAATTTACAACTTCTAATAAATCATTAACATTTTTCATTCTTGAGCATCTTTGTTTTCTTTACATCAAAGAACATCCTCACAAAAATTGGTATGTCTTCTTTTATGAAATCGGATTCCTCAAGGACAGAAACATCATGCTCGTCTAACACGCATTTTAGGATGTATTATATTACAATATTGTAGTCAAATATGGACATGAATTTTTCTCGATCTTAAACTTGTTTGATCGATGTTTCTCTAGTAATCAGAACTCAAGTCTATAATGCCATTTCTTGGGTGAGTTTTGTTATTGTCCATGTATCAACAAAAGGAATTACCTTTATAAGAATGGTTTATTATAACTTTTATTAGTTCTTAATTGTATAATTTTCATTACTGTGTAAAAGAAAAACTAAATTACCATATTTTATTGGCAATGAGCTTAGATGTCCTGTTCTTTGTTATTCTTTTTGTGCTTGCATATTGAACAGCTTTGATTCCTTATCTGGATCAGCAACAGCAGCTTCACAAGGTACTCATGTTTTCAGCAATGGTGTTAGTGGTGACGACGACGAGTGGGATTACAGTGATCGTATGGTGGACCCCAACAAGCCAGGTGTGCCTGTCAGGGCACTCTATGATTATGAAGGTGTCGAGGCAGATGAATTATCATTTAAAGTTGGTAAGTACTGTACACCATAATAATAATATAGTAATAAAAATAATAATACATTTTTTATTATTAATATTATTCACAAAAAGTACATCACTTTTAGTACATCGTTACAGTACATCACTAAGATTTACTTATTATTCTTAGGGATTTATGGCTTGGGGACCATTCAAGCTTTTTTTATATTACAGTACATAACATGAAATGAGGAAATCAAAATAAAGTTTTAGTAAATGGTATTACTTTTATTATAAAGTCATAATACAAATACTTTTGGCTAAATCTAAAGCTAATTATTTAAAATCATTAATTACAATTATCATCAAGCAAAAAAAATGCAAATATTTGGTCCAATTCCATTGCAAATTTTAGATTTGTCAGCCTATCATGTCAACTTTTTAATGTTTTGTATTTTCACATTATACCTTTTGGTAGGCTTGGGACCACCCTCCACATGTCACCTTGAGATCTATCTACCTCTGCTTGGTCTTCTGCTGCTTGGCGATTGACCGCCCTTTCTGTTCCGGGGTGTTTCAGGCACCACTTGTTTGCCTTTGAGTAGGGGTAATTTGCACTGGTTGGGGTGCAGGGTACTGCACAGCTAGTTTTCACCTCTCATAGCGGCCGCCTGTTCTGCCTGGGTACGTTGTCCTCTTGCAGGGTTTTTCTTTTGTTTCTTGTTTCCTGCCTGGTGGGGGTTCTCCCCCTTGGTTTTAGTTACCCCTCTATTGTTCTTGGTCCCCTGGCTGGCCTTCATGAGTGGACACATTTTGAGGTTCAGCTTTTAGCAGTTGTCTTGTTAGACTTGAGCGCCGGTTAGCAGTACCCTGCTAGGGCTTCCCTGAGCGTGTTTCCGTCTAAGGACCCTGGGAAACCCCGCGGGGGCTCTTGGGTCCAATGGATGCGTCCCCTGAGTCCCCCCCTTGCATTGTGCGAGTTTGGAGGTTGCTCTGTACCCTTGTCTCAGGGTGACATTCACCGCTTCTTCCTCTGTCATGCTGCCTGCTGGGTCGGTGACTCCTTCGACCAAGAGTCCTGCGAGTTTTGTTGCTTGTTTGTGGCTCGGTATATGCAATCCACTGATGACTCTGTTCGGGTGCAGGCAACTCAGGCATTGCATGCTCGGTTTAGGTTGCTGCAATGCGCTAGGTTGGTTGCTGACCCAGAAGCCCTGAGGCTGCCCTGTTTTGGTTATAGGGACCCGGACATATCGATTCCTGTTACTATTTTGAACGTAGTGATCATATCGCCTCTTTTTCTTCTATCTTCTAGTTTTTGCATATTTAATGCCTCCAACCTCTCCTCATAGCTCTCATTTTTTTTTCAGTTTCTCAGTTTGATAACAAAAAAATTGTGTTCGCAATAGAATTTCCTACAGGTGTATATGCATATAATGTCCAAAAGCCCGGCGTGACTCCCAACAGCAAAGCCTAAATTCGGCAAAAGTTACCCGTGAGCGCACAAAATCAGTATGGTCATATGGTCAGCTCAACCATGATTCCGATCACCTCCCTTTCTCAAGGCTCTCAAAGGATCAGTGACAGGAACTCCATAGACAGTTCGATACTTTGCCAATCTTTGTATATAAAGTTTCTAGGCCTTTTGTGGGAGTCTGATTTTTGTCTGAATCAAACATGGTCAAGCATGATTGCAATTTTTGCCGAGTCTCCTAGATTCAAGTTACTAAAGTCGAAATCAGTGAGCAGTCGGTTTACAGCACTACATAATCTTAAGAAAACATAGCATCATGCAGATTAATTTTAATTACATTAGGCAATTAAACAGTTATCATGTTTATGGTAAACTTAAAAATATTATAATTTATATTAATTTTTTGTATAAGTGAGGTATTTCCTGCATTGTAGTGCTTCCATGGATCACTGATGGCAAGAAATCTACTAGATGTGATTTTAATGTAGCTTTTCTTTGCCATTAACAGGTTTGTGACAAGTTTATGCAATGTGTTACAAATTTTTACCTTTTCAGGTGAAGTGTTTGAAAAGCTGGAAGATGAGGATGAACAGGGCTGGTGTACAGGACGGAAGGATGGACGCATAGGTCTCTACCCAGCCAATTATGTAGAATTTGCTTAAAATCTTATTCCTACATTCAGTACTCAGTATTCATACCTGGTCAGAGGATTGGGGCAAACTCATCTAAATTTATGTACAGTATAGTAGTTACGCCATCAGACAAACTTTTATATTCGTAGAATATTCTGTTTAAGGGCTGTTCTAAGTGATTGTCTTACCTCACAAATTTATAACAAAATTACACAAGACAGAAGTATATTGATTACTTACCACAATATCTTATATATGTTCCTCAGTTTATTCACCATGGCAGTTATTGAATTAATTATGTATACATTTAATTTGATCTGCATTTTTCCTGCTGCTTTTGAGGAGACAATGCAGGCACATCTATGTATATTGTATTTGCAACTATTAACTGAGGGCAATGCTGTACAGTTAAACCTTAAAAGTAATAAATCCTCATGAAAGTGGGACTTGAGGTACAGTAACGTAATGATGAAGTGATGAACTCTCCAGAACACTATAAACTTGTAAACTTTCAGTGAATTACAGTTTGCTTTTATGCCTTGTTGATACTCTAATGATGGGCTGCAATTGTAGATAGCAGTTAATGCCACTGCATCTTTATTGTAGAAGCAGGGCTATAGAAGCAACAGTGTCTGTATGGTGTAGCATATCTTAGTAATTTCACATAATAGATACCTCTCTTGCTATTCCCAAAAATGGTTCTGTATGAGGTAGTGCATATGAAAGGAAATGCATATGTTATGTGGTAACATCTGCTGCAGTCATTATGAATATTAGGAGCCATTAAAATGTGTATTTCTGTTACCCAAATATTTTAGGTTATAAGAACTTCACAGCACTCTGTCATACTATTAATTTTTTTTTTTAACATTTTCGTGATTAAATTAAATGACTTGCATTGAAAAAAGCACACACATTTAAACAAAAATATACATATATTGCTTTTTACAATTATGTAAGTGTATCATGTATTTTGAGTAACACTATGTTTAAGGCCCTTATGGGAATATTCAAAGATGTCTGAATGTATATTTGATGACGGATGTAAGCCAGGCATTTGGTAAGTTTAGTAGATGTACAGTATAATTGTTAGTGGGGAGGACATGAGGTAGAATGACACCAGATGTTTGGATGCCTCGCTGGCACTTTATTATACAACTCTGCATTGCCCCGTTATATGGGGCATGAGTTTAGAGTTTGCCGAGAGAAAACAAAGTTACCAAGGAAAGATGACTGTGGGTATAAGAGACCATTGAATGTTTAGATTTGTGTTCTCAGTAATGTCCTGGTAATGCTGCATATATAACGAATGTACATAGCACTTGTTTTATTCCAGTAACTAATGTGTACATAATGTTATTTGCATGGTGTAGGCCCTTCACTGTTATGTAATCACTATGTTTCAGTGACCTTCTACAACTATTTATTTTGATAGGATACATTCATACAAAGATTTCCACGTTAGCTTTATATCGGTGAAATAAAGCAGGTGATATTCATTTTTTTCTGTTGTTCTATAATAAAGAAATTCATAAAAATTTATGTGGTCATCAATATAAGGGTCTGTGATGATTGTCCTTGTTATTATCCCAGGAGAGTTTAATCTTAATTGAAATACATTGGATCATCTTTCTTGTGTTTTATAGTATTCATATTAATGATGTTACCCTTTATTATTTTTGCTTCAGATGTGAAAATATCAGCACTTGACAAAAATATAAGAAAATATATAATGTGAGAATAGCTTTTCTTGTAATTAGCAAGGCTGAATGAATATAAAGAATCAGAACTGAAAAGGGAGATTTACAGCAATTCCTTGATGGATTGTTGTCAGTCCTATAAATTTTGTATTTAGTGATGGATGTTTCTTGAAATTTATTGTACTGATCGTTATAGGTCATATAATGAATGTACAGCTTGTTTGTTCCAGTTACTCCTTCAACTCATGCTTGAGGCCTGTGTCATTGCTTGGCTCTCAACATTTTTGTTTCATCTTGTGTGGTTTTAGACACAAATTTTTACTGGCTGTACAAGGTATGCATAATTAGTTTTCTGAAGTGTTTATAATAATTAGCACTGTGGCATTCTTTGGCAGTAAACCCAATTATCTTGATAATGACAACCAAGATTTTAATGAATGAATTCATTACTGCTAAATTTTAAGAAGTGGGGTTTAAAGCAGTGGCCTGGAGCTGTTTGTGTAGAGTTGTTGGTGATGTGTAGACTGTTGGCAAGTCCAGGTGATGTGTCTGAGTACTTGTCTGCTTCACTATCACTTAAATTAAGATCAGGTATTGTTTTATAGGTATCTGAAGGCGTCTAATTTCTTTAAAGAGTTATCTTATTGTTGAACATTCATTATAACTCGCTCATTTCAGTAATGCATTGAAGAATTATATGAAGATGGTTGCAAAAGAAAAATTAAATTTCCATCTAAAATCTAGAACAAAATCTTAATCTGAATAATTAGCACCAAAAGTGTAGCAAACTTTTCTCTATGTTGTTCCTATATAAAGAATGAACATAAGGATACCTTTATTTTCTTTTATACTAGAAACCTTTGAGATTGTTAATCAAAACTGGGGACTAAAAAACACTAACTCCTCCTCATGCAAACCATAGCTCGGCATTAGAGTATAATTTAGTAGGTTACATACAGTACATTGAACCATTACCTGTGGTAGATTGTGTGCTGTGATTTGGGATTGTCCTAATTAATGGATGAGAAGGGACGAGTATACCGTATAGACTCTATGACAAATCATGATGATTTGATCACCTTCACCAGTCCTCTCCAAGCATATTTTTCTATTGTCTTTATAAAATAGATAGTTTTGTTTTCATTTTTGGTTTATAGTTAAATTTTTTAAATTTTTAGATCCATTAATTTTGTATGCCATTTTTCTTGTACATATACTAATTTTAGAAGACTGATTTATGATATATTTCACTGCTCCTCTTCATTGAAATACTGTTTATCTTCTAATAACAAATATTATGGGTCTTGCAGTGTTAGTGCATAAAGATACTAGTGTAAGTAACCACTGTATAGCAATAAGTCCCTAATTTACATTAATAAAGTATTTTATAAACCAAAATTTAAGTTGATGGTTAACTACAGGACAGAGTTCATGATTTAGTATATTATTTTGTGGTTTATTAGTACAAGTGCCTGGTATTAATTGTTAATTTTTATTCATCTGGTAGTGAATAAATTATGTTTAAGAAATATTTGTTGAATTAAAATTTTAGTAGAGTATTAACCAATATTTTTTTTCTTTTAAAGTTGAGAAATGTGGTCTTTGAAATCACTTCACCCATTACAAGAAAATATATTCATCAGCAGCTGATAGATGAGTAATTGCTAAAGAGAATAGCTACTGTTATTTGTTGATTTTTTAACTGATCTAGTTTAGTGAACCGTTTCATTTTATGATTTATACAATACAGGTATAAGGAACAAAATATACCCATTTACCTTGTGATTCTGATTTAAAGTTCAAACTTCTTAATATTACTGTAATTAATAGCATGTGTAATAATGTAATTATTTCAGCAACAATTCTGTACCTGACATCTTTTAAAAATGTTTTCATAGTCATGATACTCTTCAGAATTAAATCTTTAACTGTACAGTTCTTGTAATAGATGTATATGTTTCCCAGTTAAGAATTTTGTTAAACAAAAATCAATATCTTTACTAATTGACAATTTTTGGATTATAACCTTTAATTTTAATTTTGAGAAGCTTGTTTTCACTTGAAACTTCAATTGTAAGGATATCAGTATACAAGTTTAATGGCCAAGCTTGACACAGACTTTCTTATGACACTAATACACCTTTTATGTACAGATCCCTAAAATCTGCTCAATAATAGACTCCAAGAAACACCAAAATGACTGTCATCTCAAATAAATGAATGTATAGTAATATATATATATAATTTTTGTTTTCTAACCTCATGATTTGAGAATCTTCATGTGAGATGAAAGAGTAGAGGACTAGAAGACTACAAATGTGCCAGTTTTTGGCTTTCAAACACAGTTATCATCATATGTTGATCCCCAGAGTATTACAATTATCTTAAGATTGAATCCCCCCCGTGTTGCCGCCTCGCCGTGTAGAGGGGCTCGCGTACACCTCCCTGGGACCGGCGAGGGTTGCCTTTGCCCCCTCTTTGGGTGGTGTACGTGCAGAAGGGCACCACGTGGGGCCTTGTGAGCCATTGGACCACCCGCTAAAGGTGTCGCCATGAGTGGATGGTTGGGTGTTCAGGCTGGGGCGATAGAGGGAATGGGATCTTAGCACCAGTGTGAGAGAATGGACAATGTAGGACTCCCCTGCTGAAAAGGGGGGAGCACCGCTGGGGACGACGCACCCTTCCTGCACTGGCCCGCGCCCGGCCTCCCTGGCTGCCCTGATAGGTGGTATCCCTTGGTTCCAGGTCCCAAACCTTTAAATTGATTGATGCATGGATGACGACACGACTTCTCTTACCCAGACTCATGGGGTGGGCGACCAGGCCCCTGAGTTGGACTGTCCTGGAAGACCAGGCTCTGTATCCCCCGCTACAGGGCCCAGTTTACGCCCAGACCGGACTACTACTACATGCTCCCCTCCCTCCCTCTGTGGTTGGGTCAAGCCCCAAGCCCTCTGTGGTGACCACCTCGTCCCCTTGCACGGCCCCATCTCTCATTGACTACTGTGCCTTATGACCCCCCTCTCTCTCTAGAGGTTCTCACCGCCGTCCCCGCCACTGCCACTCTCGTATGCTCCTTTCCCATATTCATACCATGCCTTGTTTAGTCCTGCTACGTGGACTAAGTACTTTGACCTCCATCCTTTAGATTCAACTCCTGACGATTTTTCCCTTCATCGGCATCTTGTTGATTCTGTAGATGCCTCTGTTACTTTCAACCCCACCCGTCTCGGTACCCGTGTTGTTGCTGCTGCTTCTCAGGCTGCAGCCACCTGCTTGGCCGCCTTATCCTGCATTGGCGAGTCCCCTGTTCAGGTCTCCCAAGAACGCTCGGTTAAATGCCAGTGTTGGCACTGTTCTACCACACCACATTGCAACCGGTGTTAGAAATCTAAAGGACTGCCACAAGGATATAAAGCATATCCTCGATGCCCAAGTCCATTCTGTCCTTCAGGTGGATACATTTACTCGTCCCCCTCGTGGTTGTCGCAGTCTGCCCCTCCGGGTTGTGAAGATTAAATTTGATGGTAGGACCCTTCCGCCCTCTGTCATTCTTGCTGGTGCCAGATGCTCCGTTCAGGAGTATATTCCATCTCCTCGGCTCTGTAATAAGTGCTAGAAGTTTGGGCATGGTGCCCTCAAATGCTCTAGTCTTGTCTCTCTCTGTCCCATGTATGGGGATGAGGGTCACTTTAAGTTGGAGTGCACTTCTCCCCAGGCTCTCTGCCTCAATTGCAGCGAGGCCCCACCCTACCTTCTCCCGCACGTGTACAAGTTACAATCTTGAGGCGACTGTCCTCAACTTGATGCACCGGGACTGTTTGTCTTTTCCTGAGGCGAGGTACCAAGTTCATCGTCTCCCCCCTTTTGCTGGAGTCTCTTATGCTCGCGTGTTGCACTCTTCCTCTCCTCGTCCTTCCCACCTTCCTCAGTCTCGCAACCTTGTGTCCAGGCCTTAGACCCGGACACGCCCGCCCCCTCCTCCCCTGTTCCTTTACGTTCTGTCCCGGAGGGTCCCCCTCCTGGTTCTCTGTCTGGGGTTCCCCTTCTTTCTACCCAGTCTGTCATATCTCCTGTGTCTTCTTTCTCCTCTCCCTCTCATCCTCCTTCCAGTCATTCTCTTCCGTCTTTTGGCTCTCCACACCGCCTGTCTGTGCGGGCTGATGTCCATAGCTCTCCCAGAGATCATGTTGTTTGTTCTCGTTTCTTCTCCTATTGAGATACTCAAGTCTGTTGCCCAGTACATTGCTGCTGGGACACCTGTCTCTTTGAGTCAGAAGCGAAAGCCGGCTCCTCTCTTTCCTCCTCCCCGGCAGGTAAGAAGGCTTCACTTTCTTCTTTGCCCCCCTATCTCTGACTCTATCATTCCTTCCCCTCCTGTTTCGGTGGTAGAGCCCCGTTCCTGCTGTAGAGGTTTCTTTGGTCCCCGCTTCCGTCTCGGTTGCTGCCCTTGCTGAGGTGCGCTCCCCTCTTTCTGCCCCCCTCCTCCTCTCCTTGACCGCCCCCTCTCAGTTGTCTCCTCCTTCTCTGGACCCTGGTTGTCCACCTCTGGTTTGTCCTCCCATTTCTTCCCCTCCTCCTTTACTCAGTTTACGCATGCCCCCTCACCCTGACTTCGCTGACCCTGAGCTGCTTTAACGTGCTGTGTTCCTTTTTCACCTTTGTTCTCTGCTGCTATCCTTTCTCTTTTTGTCCCATCTCCCTTAAAGGTATTCCTTATTCCGACTTTTGCCCAGTTCTTCATTCCTCCATTCTTGCCCGTTGGCAGGGTTGTTGATTTTTGTAGTTGGTAACAAGCTACATGCTCCTAAGCGTAGTGTGTCCCCGTGGCCTTCCTCTTGCTGCCATCACTGGCGGTGGGAAACAGCTCTGGCAAGGTTGCGTATTGGCCATACTTGCTTAACTCATGGTCTCTTAATGGGGTGCTGCCCTGCTCCTTATTGTCCAAACTGCATTGTCCCTCTTACAGTCGTGCATATCCTTGTTGAATGTCCTGACTTCTGGGACGAGCATGTGTATTGCTTTCCGATTATCCCTCAATAGAATTTTTGGTGAATCGGATGCTTTTGATATTGTTCGCTGATCCAGAATCCCTTCGTGTAGCAGTGGCCCTCCACCTTGGTGCCCCAATTTACACTGAATACAAGTGTATTTGCAACAGGGTGGAAACAGACCAATATGGCACTATATACCCCTGGAAAAGGGGGCAAACAGTTGGTGTGGAACTACACATGTGTATTCACCTTGGCTGACACCTATGTATACTTCGGTACCGATCAAGCAGGTGGGGCGGGCCAACCATGGAAATAGCAAAATCAGTCAAATACAGGCAACTGGAAGGTCAATACACCTTTGTTCCCATAGCGTCTGAGACGCATAGCCCCCTGGGGTAAGAGTGCCTTGGGATTTCTCAAGGAATTGGGCTCCAGGCTCATTGACATCACCAGAGACCCAAGGGCCGCCAGTTTTTTGTTCCAGAGGGGAAACGCCTGCTGCATCCTCGGTTCCTGTCCGGAAGCGGAGGAGCTTCAAGAGATCCATAACCTTTAAGAACTCATTGTATCATCCAATGTATATCTTGTAACCTCTAAATATATAATAAAGCACAAAAAAAAAAAACACAAAAGGGGATGGTAGAAGAAAAGCATACAGAAACTGTATTGGAGGGGACCTAGTTTTGTTTGAACATTCATTCCACTGCCAGTCATATATTTGTCATAGTGAATTGGTCTTTTGGTAGTGGCTCGAGTTGTACTCTCCAGTCTTCTTTTCCAAAGAGCCTAGTGTATAGTTACAGTCCTGGTGGACCATAATGGCTGGAGCTCAGTTAGCATGCAAAGCTCCTCGTCTTGGAAATAATTTTTCTCGGGCCATTAATTAATATAAAGCAAAAGGTTTCAGTAATAATAAAATATTTATTGGTTCATACAAATACATTAGAAGCAAAGCAAAAGTCCTATCAATTAACAGTAACTTTGCTATTTATCCACGAGTGTGTTTAACAGTGTGCCACTTTTACCTGAAGCTTAATTCCTCCACAGCCTGTTCCTTAATCTGATGGTTGGTTCTTCCACAACAAGAACCTCAAAATTCACATGGTAACTCGTACGGCCACAGCTGCTCATACCTAGAGTATCTGATTTATCCAGAGCAGCATTGTTTAGCTTTTCCAGGTGCCTGATTTCTTTGCAGTAACAGCCAACACATGCTTGTCTTGCTCATGACACTAACTTCACCAGATATTTGATTCATCCACACTAGAGGAACAGAATAAAATTCAATATAATTTTCAAGAAACACTTTGACCATTTCCATACTTCATGTACCTTCATCTATATTTAAAGTTGTGTGGTGGTCATTACCCGAGAATAACACTTGCAATAAAAATATTTCTGGAGGGGCTGAACAGTGGCTCCCTGATGCTAGCTCGCTGAGGTAGGTTCACTCATGAGTCATATCAGCCTTAGGAGTCCTGAATGCTCGAGATGGTGCCCCGGAGTTGGCACCTATGATGTTTAGGGACATGATATTAGTGGGGTTGATGACTTGCAACTTATTCGTTTGCTCCTCTGCTTTCCCTGACCCTGTCTGGTGTGATGTGCTAGACATCTGTTCTCTTCCATTGTTCCAGGTGCTAAAATGTTTGAATATTTTGAAGTCTGGGCAGTTTTGTTTTGGGTTTAGCTTGGCTGCTTTCGGGATCTATTCCATTTTTGACAGTACAGACTTTTCAGCTGTCCCTTTCCACCAGGGATTCGAAGCCTTCGACTTCTCAAGGAGTTTGCCTTCCTGTTTCCGGCATTGGGTGTTGAATACGGCTCTGCTCCGGGGTCTTCAATGTGACTGCCCGGGGGAGGGAGGGGGGGGGAGAGAATTGAGGAGGATCCCTGGGGTGCCCTTTAATCCTTCCTGGTCTTTGATGTCTGCAGAGGGCATTTTGCTCAGGGTGGATGATTTACTTATCCTCCATCATCCCTAGATACATTTCCATGGTCAGTAGGTTCTGCAGACATGTCTTATTTCTGGAGGTTTTCCATTGTCCCATTTTGCATCATATTCAGCTCAGGTGGACCACTTTTGGTTCCTCCTGCAGGATCAGGACCCCTTTTTCTTCTCTTACGAACCCATCCTCCTTTGAGTTCAAGTTGGCTTTGCTTTTTGAGGTTCCTGATTTGTCCTGGCTTGCTGACAACCCTGTTTTTCTTGGGGGCTTGGTATGGCTTTTGCTGAACTGGGTACTTGAATCGCAGGAAGTGGGTTCCATTTTCATGAGTGAAGGAAGGGTGACTCGGCTTGGGGGGTTTTCACACTGGCCCTCAAGTTGTTTGCCCTTTTGAAGGTGCTATGCGGTGACATCTGGTCCATTTTCCCAGTTTCGGGGTGATTTGTGGGCTTTACGAGTTGTTTCCCAGGTTCTCCAGTATTGTTTTTCTAACCCCTTTAGGTTCAGGGATGCTGGGTCAAGAATCTTCCTCTTAGCTCTGCGTGGTCATTGTGACATAGTTTGATTCATTATTAGGCATCTTATACCTAGTACTGTCATTTATCATTCAACCACCGCAGGGCCAATCTTGTGGTTGTCTGGCGTTGGTGTTTGTTTGGCCCCATTTTGCAAGTTGTCCCATACCTCTTTTATTTTTGGCTGGCTCATGCTCCTCCTGAGCCATCTTGGTCTTTTGATAGGATGTTGGTATTTTTCTCCTCAGTTCTTGATTGCCTCTTCAGTCCATAATATGTTCTTCAAGGTTCTGCTTTTGTTAGTCCTCATTTCAGAGTTCATGATCTTTCAGGTAACTTGAGAGCCAAAAGCTCCTGGTGTGCTGCCAGCTGTTGGTGGCCAGCTGTAACTCGGCAACATGCCCTCAGTCTCTGTTCATTCCATCCAGCGGTCGACCCCCAAAGACACACAAATTTTAACATGCTGTTCATTCAAAATTGGAATTTTCTCAAATATAAATTAATATTGTGAGATATTAATATTATATTAATATTAATAAATAAAATATTAATAAATAATAATAAATTATTAATAAATTAATATTATAAATTAATAAATATTATTAAATTAATATTAATAAATTAATATTGTTATATATTAGCAAATATTATACAAATTAAATACAATATTAATAAATTAAATACAATATTAAATAAATACAAATTAAATACAATATTAATAAATTAATATTGTTATATATTAGCAAATTTACATATTTAGGCATAGGCTTGATGTTTAGGTTCTGTTGGCAATTATTTGTAATTATAGTACATGGGTTAAGCATTTACATTACAGCATTGTGGTTTGTACAAAAGTTGTCAACGAAGCATTGTTCGAGAAATATTTGAACATAATTAGTTGTTGAGTTGTTTGTAAACCATTTTTCATTCATAAATAGGGTTTGGCAGGTGCATGGAATAACTTTTGGCCTTTGTTTATGAGGACGGGCTGAACTTAGGGGTTTGACCTGTTGAGTGAATCATTTGTGGTCATTTGCTGCTTCAGTTCTTTTCTCTGTGAACCTTACAGATGTCTGTATTCAGCCCGTCCTCCAAACAAAGATCCAAAAGTGATTCCATGCACCCGCCAAACCCCCTGTTTATGAATGAAAAGCGGTTTACACACGACTCACAACTGCTGACGTTCGAACATATCCGGAACAAGTGCTTCACTGACGAATTTTGTTCAAATCACAACGCTATAAATTCTTCACCCACGCACTACAAATACAAATAATCGCCAACAGAACCTAAACACCTAACCTAACCTATCCTATGCCTATATATACATAATATGCTAATATATTATAATATTAATTTATATTTGAGAAAATTCCAGTTTTGAATGAACTGCATGTTCAAATTGATGAATGCGTCTGTGGGGTCGACCGCTGGATGGAATGGACTTGAGTCGAGGACGGGTTGCTGTATTGCTTTGTATACTTTCTGGATGTTTCCTTTGGTGAGGATGATCATAACAATCCCACTACTCCCTGTGCCTCTGTGATGGGAGGCATGGAGGGGCAGGATCTGGCTCTGGTCCCCTGTAGGCCATTCAGGACTCCTAAGGTTGATGTGATTTGTATGAGTGGACCTATCTCAGCAAGCCTAACTTCAGGGAGCCACCAAGGCCCAAGCAGAAAGAGCCTTTTCATTACATTCAATGCTAGGTTTTTAGAACAAGTTTATATTTACAAAAATTTCATAATGATAATACCAGGTAATTAGAAAAGGTATTGTACTCACCAATGAAACTGACAATTTAATATTTTCCTTGTTAACTTCCTTATAGCAATTTCTTCTTCCTTGGTGATAGTAAGGGAGGATAACTTAAACTTCCCTTTCTTATAAACCTTGACTTGCATATCTCCCAACGTGGTCACCAACTCCTTACATTTAGTTACACATAAATTACTTCGAGGGAGTAGGATGCTGTAGTACCTCCTGAGGAAAATTAATGAACTCGTTTTTATATACTGTACTGTGCACCTAGACTTTGGAAGCAGTGTGGTCCTGCTGTGAATGATTTTCTAAAATATGGTAGTGATGGTTGTCTATACTATTCAGTGAGTAAGGTATGGCTGATAATGTGTACACACATACATATGTTTCCCCTCCCCTCATCCCCCAGAGTCAACCATCCAAGGCTATACTGTTTTCCCAGTTTGGTTTCTTCTTTTGATAACTATTTTACCATCCAAAGTTTTAGTGAGGGGGAAATATTTCCTAAAGTTAAAAATTACAACATTTAGCAACAATAAGATAACATTAAAATAGTGAAAGAGCAAAGACAAAATAAAGACAAATAAATGAAATTACCTAAGTGTAGTTACAGGATGAGAGCTACGCTACACTTTACCTCACCGCGCCGACTGCCTAGCATCAATTCGGAAGCTAAGCTTCAACCAACGCGAAAAAACCGCCGACCGGTAGGAGGGAGGGTTGCCAGGGAGGGTTGCCAGGGAGGGTTGCCAGGGAGCCTCCAGGGCTCACCCAGAAAATGGCATTTCATTACATTCAACGCTGGTTTTCTGTGGGGAGCCCCTACGGCTCCCTGGAGCTACATACAAAACCAAAAAATCCAAAGGAACCCGGAATTGAACCAGGGGTTCGATCCAAACCACCACATTTGCCGGCGGAGATACACCACAGAAAGGCAAAGCACAGCCCCCAGACAGAACCCCCAGGGAAACGGATAAAACAGACCGAAAATCGAGGGACAAGGTCTGGGAGCAAGCATAATAGACAGGGACACTGAGCCCAAACCCTAGGGCCCAGGCTCAAAACAGACAAAATGGAAAACCCGGTGTAAAATCAACACTCAAACGTTCCCAGAGGAACAGAAAACACCAGAAAAGCAAAGAAACGACAACAGGAGAATAAAACTTTGAAAAGGGTGAAAAAACTCACCCAAGACGCTCAGACACACACCCAGGCACATATAAAAAACGCAACGCCGCCCTGGTGGCCACGCCGGGAAACCGGTAGAAGAAAATGGCCACCAGAACAGAGGGCTGTGACCAACGCAAAAGATACGAAAACACGCCAGAAAAAGTGGGAAGCAAGCAGACTGGATGGACAAAAAACTCCGCCCAGAAGCAGAAAACCTAGGCAGGGGCAAACCACCCCAGAACTGCTAGCAGGCATCCCCCACAGCCCTGGGAACCCGCAACAGAGGCCCCGGGGCAGAGTCGTCCTCCAAGCCCTCTGCCCTTAAAGAAAAGGAAGAGTCCATGGGAAAGGCAGCAAGAAAGGGCCGCTGGTAAGACCTAGAAGTCTTGGCAGGAGGAACAGGCTCAAAAACCTCCGTCCCCAACCCGAACGGGGCAGCCCCCGAAACTGCCCGAGTCTCGGCCCCAACTAAACCCCGCCCCAACCCCGAAACCCACAGACGGTCAGGAGCCGGGAACAGGGAGGAAAAGGGGCGAACAGCACCAAACCAAAATAGGGTGGTCCCAGGGCATCCGAGTGGGAAACCAACCTGGCGTGTTGCAGCAACCTAACCGCCTAGGGGCTGGCACCCCTAGGGCTGATATGGTGACTTTGATATTTCTGGGGCTACCCCCCAAAAATAAAAAATAAATAATCAATTGATTGACAGTTGAGAGGCGGGCCAAAAGAGCAGAGTTCAACCCCCGCAAGCATAACTAGGTAAATACAGTACAACTAAGTGAATACAGAAAAATGATGAAAGAAATGTAATCTAAATACAGAATTTGAGTTGTAATAGTGAACAATATGGCACAAATTAGCCAGCCCTGGCAATGAATTAACTCACCCATTTTTGGGAAGAAGTGCTTGAGTCACTTCACAGGCCCAGTGAATATCATTATCTCCCACATCAGACAGATAGATAGTTCCACATTCTTTGTACTTTGGCTTGGTATATGGCAGAGGGCTTAGTAGCTTAGGATTTATGCCAGCTACCACATGGACACCTGTAAGTATTTAAAAAACCAGCATTGAATGTAATGAAACGCCATTTTCTGGGTGAGCCACGGAGGCTCCTTGGAGCTTATCGGGCTAATGTATGTTATGTTAGACCGGGACATTAGCTATGGAGTTCAGACCTACCAGGGACCAGTGCCAGATCCTGGCCCCTTCAGAGAGGTTTCAGAGAGCAATGGCCCTGGAAAACCCAATTATGGTTGGGGGTTTTCCTTATCTGACATCGACCGGGGTTAGGCACCCAGAAAGGTAAGTGTAACAAAACAAACCCCACATGGTAAGAAACTACAACAAAAACTGAACAGAGAGGTAGAAAACTCCCTACAATCCCAAGACAACAATCAAACAATCAATTTACTGCCGCGCCGGTTGTCCGCGCAGCCCTCCCCTCCCCGGGAGGGGGGGCCTTGGATCTCACCACGCCGGCTGCCTTCAGTTTGTAAGCTAGTGTCAACCGGGATAGACGCTTCTCTGGCCTCAAATTCCTGGGCGGTGTTTGCCTCATGTGGCGTTCTCTGCTGTTTTTGTATGGTGTGTGGTGGCCAGGAGTACTTCATCAGTGCCGGGGCTGCATGCGCTTAGGGGCTTCCTTCCCTAGGCGCCCTGTGAGTACTGCCCCTGCATGTCAGGGTTATCTTCCCTGGGGCGTTCGCGAACCGCTCCCATAGGAGTTCTTGCTGCTCGGCATTTGCCTTGCCCTTGGGGCCAGCTGGGGCTTGGGGCTTGGGGCTTGGTATTTGGCCTTGGGTAGGGACTGGTATTGTGCTGGTTAGGGCGTCAAGGTGTTGCGCGGCCTGCCACCTAAGCGGCAACCGGTTCCTGTTGCCTCTGGGGACGGTGTACTTTTGTGTTTTTTTTTTTTGTTTGCCTGGTGGAGGTTCTGCTTCGTGGGTCTACAGTTTCCCTGGTATTGTTTTGGTGGCCCTTTGCTAAGCCCCCGTGCTTGTACATGTCCCAGGGGTTTTCAGTATTATCATTTACCCCTTGTTTTGTTTGGGTTTCCTTAACCGGTTAGCAACACCTTGCCCGAGCTTCCCGTAGTTGCTACCCTACGGGCCCTGGAAACCCCTGTCGGGGCTCGGGGACCCATGGATGCGTCTCCCGAGTTCCAACCTGCCTTGTGCGGGTTTGAAGGTTGCAGTGTGCCCTTGTCTCAGGGTGACAGTCACCTGTTTTGCCTCCGTCATGCTGCCTGTTGGGTCAATGACACCTTTGACCCGGAGTCTTGCGAGTCATGTTCTCTGCTTGTGCTCCAGTTTTACTCTGAGAATGTTCCTGTTAGGGTACAGGCAGCATCAGCGTTGCATGTTAGGTTTAGGTTATTGCAACACGCTAGGTTGGTTTCCCACCCGGATGCCCCGAGGATGCCCCGTTTTGGTTTTAGGTACCCTGACCTGGGGGTGTTAGTCGCTCTGGCTTTGGCTCCTGCCGCGTCCCCTGGTCCTTCCCCTGTGGTTCTTCCTGCACCTTCTCCCCTGTGTCCGGCTCCAAAACATCTGAGGGTTTCGGCCTCGGCACAGGGTTTAGTTGTAATGAGACTCGGCTGCCTCGGGGGCTGCCCCATCCGGGTCGGGGACGGAGGCATTTGAGCCGGTTCCTCCTGCCGAGGCTTCTGGGTTCCACCAGCAGACCCCCCTTCTTGTCTGCCATTCCCTTGGACTCTGCCTTTTCTTCAGGGGTAGAGAGTTTGGAGGACGGCTCTGCCCCGGGTCCCGACGTGGGGGATCCTGGGGCTGGGGAGGAGTCAACCTAGGGGCCTTGGGCCCCCTTTGACCCTGCTTGGGTGCTTTTGCCTTCCTCGCAGGGCTTATTGTTGCAGGGGGAGGGATTTTCTTACCCCCCTTCCCTGTATGGTTGGACCATAATGGGGTTTTCCAAGGCCATTGCTCCCTAAAACCTCTCTGAAGGGGCCAGGTTCTGGCGCTGATCCCTGGTAGGTCTGAACTCCATAGCTAATGTCCCGGTAACATAACATACATTAGCCCGATAAGCTCCAGGGAGCCGTAGGGGCTCCCCCACAGAAAAATTATCTTATGTTATACAACATAATTTATCTCAAGATATAAATGTTATACTGTATATGAAATACCAAGGCATATAAAAAAGAGCATTAAATGTAATGAAATATCTCTGTTTGGTAGAGCCTTTGAGGCTCTCTGACGGTAACTCACTGAGGTAGCTCCAGACATATGAGCCACATCAGCTATAGGAGTCATGAATGACTTAAATGGAAGAGGGACATTGACCAGGTAATGAGCCACTAGGACCCTGTTAGACCTCCAAAATCTGAGGCCTGATATCAGCCTATGAATGTTTGAAAACACCACAGCCATGCCACAAACTTGCGAACATAATGAACCCAACAATAAACTACAGGCTGGCTAGATTTAATGACACTGCAGACAACCTGGAACAAACCAACCTTGGAACAGGGAACCAAGAAAAGTGGGTCAATAAACACATCCTTCTTGAGATATAGACACCACACTATTGCTGCATTTTCCAATTTTGGTCTCACAAATGATGTGAACAGTTTCTTTAGTATTTCCCCACTCATAAAGTTAAATGCAATTTTGAAATTTACTAGTACAGTCTAGGCTACTCACAACACCTTTGAACCACCTCCAGATCTCTTTCTTTGTCGGAGTTCTTTAATATCTATTCACATAATTAATAGGTCGAGTGTGACCTGGTTTCCTGTATTCCACATTCCATTACATGGCATTATTAACACTGAATTCCATCTGCCCATAGGGTGATACAAGCAGACTGCATAAGAGAAGCAGTTCGATAAATTTCTTACCCTATTATTTTGTTATGTTTACAATACAGTATACATAAAAATGATTAGCTCATTGAGCTTGACTTGTATCATAAGTTTACACTTGTCGGAAAATAAATTATTAGGTGTTTCAAATACTGAACAGTGGAATGGATCTTCAGGTAAATTGGAATGGATCTAATGCAGTCAGAAATTCTAGTACTGTACAAGAAAAAACTGAAAATATTTTTTAGGCCACCTCAGGAGTTAAATATGAAATTCAGTGCAGAAAAACTTTAAACACAAATATTTTTCCCAATTGCTTTTCAATAAAATTATGCAAAAAATGAGATGTTCAATTATTTGAACAAATATAATAATTGTTGCCAAAAATATAGCAAAAAGTAGTGAAGATCTTAAATGTTGTCAAAATCTAGTGTTGAATGTAATGAAACGGCTCTTTCTGGTGTGGTCGACAAGTATAAGAAATATTGCCGGAACAACCATGGACATCTTTAAGAGAAAACTAGATAGGTTTTTTCAAGAAGTGCCGGACCAACCGGGCTGTGGCGGATATGTGGGCTTGCAGGTCGCTCCAAGCACCAGCCTGTTGGACCAAGTTCTCACAAGTCAAGCCTGGCCTCGGGCCGGGCTTGGGGAGTAGAAGAACTCCTAGGACCCCATCGAGCAGGTATCAAACAGGATACTATTTACCAAGTTGTGTGCTCGGCTCTTTTCTGGGCTGTGTGCTCAGCTGTTTTCTGGACTATGGGCTCAGCTGTTTTCTGGACTGTGTCCTCAGCTGTTTTCTGGACTATGTGCTCAGCTGTTTTCTGGACTGTGTCCTCAGCTGTTTTCTGGACTATGTGCTCAGCTGTTTTCTGGACTATGTGCTCAGCTGGACTGTGTCCTCAGCTGGACTAGCTGTTTTCTGGACTGTGTCCTCAGCTGTTTTTGGACTGGCTCACTGGACTGTGTCCTCAGCTGTTTTCTGGACTATGTGCTCAGCTGTTTTCTGGACTATGGGCTCAGCTGTTTTCTGGACTGTGTCTTCAGCTGTTTTCTGAGCTGTGTCCTCAGCTGTTTTCTGGACTGTGTCTTCAGCTGTTTTCTGAGCTGTGTGCTCAACTGTTTTCTGGGGTATGTGCTTGGCTGTTTTCTGAGCTGTGTGCTCATCTTACATTGCAGTGTAATGAAGATTATTGCAAATATTTACTGGTACAGTACTTGTAAAATATTGGATTATTTTTTTTTAAATTAAATATTGGATTAATAAAGAAATGCCTAAGGAAGGGGAAGCAATAAGTGTGTAAAAAAAGCTTTACAAATGGAACACAATTGTGAAAGGAGTGCATCAATGATCCAGTGAAACCAGTGAATCTATTTAAAACTGTCTTCAGGTTTAAAATACTCTGCTCATCTTTTTTTTACTACTACAATACCTGAATTGAAACCAATGCTACATCTTCATGTGTTTGTGCAAATCTCATATACCTGTATGGCAGAACACTTCCACTACCTAACAGCTGCACTCATTCTCATTAAAATATCTTCAGTAACCACTGTTCTTTTAACAGCCCATTTTACAACATCTACCCATCACTTTTGTTGTCGTTTGGTTTTGTATCCTTTATAATTAACCATATATTGTATTTTCCCCTTTTCAATATTTGTTCCACATGGCTATAGTATTCTTAGTATTCTATCAGGCTATCTTCATTCCTTTCTCTCCATCCTTTCCATATCCACTGAAATCTATCTTTAATTATACTGTATAAGTAAATTTATGGTCCTCACCTAGGTGTTCTATATCACGACTATTCACCAGATCAGCGAGTCCCTCACAAATAGATTTTGCATCAGCATCCTTGGCGATAGTACAAAACAATTCTCTTAGTGTACAAGGTAACACAGCTAAATTTTCCAAATAACCAGTGAAGGAACTCAGTCGGCACCTGCAAAGAAGATTTTTCTTTAAGGATATCTTATGTGTTTATACAGTATTTCACATTGTATATAATATAATATGTACCGTATTACATTCAGGAACTCTTCACAATGAAACAATTTTGCAATATAATTATAAAATATTATATTTTCACCACCTATGTAGCTAAAAATCTAACCAAATACGGCAGAAAAATATTTATTTTATATAATGGTATGGTACCTTTTATCTTGTGTGTGTCCAACCTTTTGTTGATGATGTATCCAAGAAGACTGTCAGATGTGCCATAGTCGCTGTCCTTCCACTGATGTTTAATATGGAGCTCAACATCACAGTTTCTTTCAGAGAGTTGTATCATCATTTGAGTCAGATCAGGAATTTGGCACACATCTGTGTCCAAAACTATATACACAGGAATACACGGTTTCAGATACTGGAAGAGGGCTGCTGCTGCACTTACCTGGCCATCATTTACATTCAATTCCTATAAAACAGAGTTTACTTGAGAATGTTAACTTTATAAATGATGTTTAACTAAATTTGCAGTATATGTACAGTTAATGTTATGCCACCAAATAGCATGTATTGCACATATATATTTCATTCAAATAACTAAACTGATAAATTTTACATAACATACAGTAAAATATATATATAATCTACAATGTTATAATGACACTGGTATATTCAAGCATTTGTTACCATAGTTGAGACTGCAACTAGTACTAGTATACTTTAAGTCTACCAGTCATATTTTTCTGTTCTTTCTGGGAGGGATCCTTAACCATTGTGCTGCTCACCTTCCAAATATGGCAACCCCCCTGTGCGCAGGAAATAAATTCTTGGGAAAAAATTATTTTTGTTTTTGAAAATGTTAAATACCCTTCCCTGATCACAGATATGTAAAAAAAAATGAAATTGTAATTACTTTGGCCGCAATGGAGTCCGAAAAATGGCGTGTGACATCACAATTTGGTAGTCGCCCGTGGCGTAGACTCCTGGAGCCAGTCACCCGCCAACTTCAACATGCGCGAGTTGCCACAAATATTTTTTTTTTCATTTTTGGCATACATTTCCAAATACATTTGTTTTGTTTTTCTTGCCACTCCTATGTATAATGAACCCGTACACAATATTATGGCAGTAGAACATCCGTACTGTCCCAAGATACTGTGTTATATGTGTGTCTCAAATGTGTCCCCATATATTGCTCATACAGTGGTACCTCGGCTTACGAGCTCCCCTGGTTACGAGTTTTTCGGGTTACGAGCTCCCCTGGTTACGAGTTTTTCAGGTTACGAGCAGGATTTGCTCGGAAAATTTGTATCGAGATTTTCAGGAAGCAATTCAGGAAATAAAGAAAAATCCAAAATATTTCTTCTCATATGCGAAATCAAAAGCAAAAACCACTGCCAGTATTGGACCTATTCGTACGAGTGAAGGTTCATACACGGAGGATGACAAAGAAATTAGTGAAATCCTAAAAAAGCAGTATGAGGACATGTTTAGCACTCCAATAAACAACATGAAGGTGGAAGATCCAGACAATTTCTTTATGCGGGATATTCAAACCCCTGTAAATATAACTGATATAAACACGAGCGCACTAAATTTTGAAAAAGAAATTGAAAACATGCCCATGCACTCGGCCCCAGGTCCAGACTCATGGAATTCAATATTTATAAAGAAATGCAAAGTGCCGGTAGCACAGGCACTCAGTATAGTGTGGAGGAAGAGCTTGGACACGGGGGAGATACCAGATGCACTTAAAGTAGCAGACATAGCCCCTCTACACAAGGGAGGGAGCAAAGCATTGGCAAAAAATTATAGACCAGTTGCACTAACATCGCACATCATAAAAGTATTTGAGAGAGTGATTAGGAGTCAGGTCACCAATTTCATGGAGACCAATGACCTTCACAACCCAGGCCAACATGGATTTCGAGCGGGAAGATCGTGCCTCTCACAGCTACTTGAGCACTACGACAAAGTCACTGAGGCATTAGAAGAGAAATGGAATGCTGATGTGATATACACAGACTTCGCAAAGGCTTTCGATAAATGTGACCATGGCGTGATAGCACACAAAATGAAGTCAATGGGAATAACCGGTAAAGTAGGACGCTGGATACTCAGTTTTCTGTCAAACAGGACTCAGCGAGTAACTGTCAACCATATAAAATCTAGTCCAAGTGCAGTGAAAAGCTCTGTACCTCAGGGTACAGTCCTTGCACCGCTGCTTTTCCTTATTCTCATATCAGATATAGACAAAAATACAAATCACAGCTTCGTATCATCCTTTGCAGATGACACAAAAATCAGTATGAAAATTACCTTGGCTGAGGACATTGAAAAACTTCAAGCTGATATTAATAAAGTTTTCGACTGGGCATCAGAAAATAACATGATGTTTAACAGTGATAAATTCCAGGTACTCAGGTACGGTAAAAATGAGGACCTTAAACATAATACAGAGTACAAAACACAATCAAATGTACCCATAGTAGGAAAACAGCATGTAAAGGATTTGGGAATAATAATGTCTGACGACCTAACGTTTAAGGAGCATAACCAAGCAAATATTGCGACAGCCAGAAAAATGATAGGATGGATTACGAGAACTTTCAAATCCAGGGATCTCATCACAATGGTTGTACTCTTCAAGTCACTTGTGTTGTCCCGTCTTGAGTACTGCTCAGTACTCACTTCCCCCTTCAGAGCAGGAGAGATTGCTGAAATAGAGGGAATACAGAGAACATATACGGCACGCATAGACGCAATAAAGCACCTAAATTATTGGGATCGTCTCAAAGCCCTCCAAATGTACTCACTAGAAAGAAGACGAGAGAGATATCAAATAATATACACCTGGAAGATACTGGAGGGCCAAGTACCAAATCTACACAGTAAAATAACAACGTACTGGAGTGAACGACATGGAAGAAAATGTAGAATAGAACCAGTGAAGAGCAGAGGTGCCATAGGCACAATCAGAGAACACTGTATAAACATCAGAGGTCCGCGGTTGTTCAACGTCCTCCCAGCAAGCATAAGAAATATTGCCGGAACAACCGTGGACATTTTCAAGAGGAAACTAGATTTATTCCTCCAAGGAGTGCCGGACCAACCGGGCTGTGGTGGGTATGTGGGCCTGCGGGCCGCTCCAAGCAACAGCCTGGTGGACCAAACTCTCACAAGTCGAGCCTGGCCTCGGGCCGGGCTTGGGGAGTAGAAGAACTCCCAGAACCCCATCAACCAGGTATCAACCAGGTATAGGGTGTTGATACGTGTACAGGCCGACTAGCGCATGGTGGCACCGCGATCGCCACTCAGTTTACCAGTACCTTGTGCCCAGTGACTATCCCACCTCAATTCTTCACCAGGATTTACAGTGTTTTGTTGGATATTTGGCCATTTAAACATAAAAGTTGTTATTATGTATCTCGCAATGGGTCCCAAGAAAGCCAGTGGTAAGGTTCAACCTAAGAAAATAGTTGTGAGTAGAGGATGTTCCTTCCTCATTAAGAATATGTGTGAAGTATGGGAAGAGCTGCAAAGTTTTGTTGAAAAAACTCACCCAGATAAAGCTGTAGCAGGCGATTGCATTGACTTTTTAAATGACAATGTGATGTCTTACTAGAGACAAGTGTTAAAATGTAGCAAAAAACAAGTGTCTTTAGACAGATTCTTAGTAAGACAAGCAAGCAGTGAGCCACAAGCAAGTCCTAGTGGTATGCAGGCAAAACGTGCCAGAAAGTGCACACCAGAGAAATCTTCACTGCCTGATGTTATAATGGAAGGGGACTCCCCTTCCAAACAATAACACCTCTCCTCCTCCCCCCTCTTCACCATCTTCCATACGCCAACAGCAGTCATCAGCAATGATAAGTAATTACTTAAACATAGTTTTGTGGTGTAGATTTTGATGAATTAGGTATAAAATTTAGTTTGAAGTGAGGTTTTTGGGTAGTCAGGAACGGATTAATTTATTTCCCATCATTTCCTCGTTGAATGTAATGAAACGCCATTTTCTGTGTGAGCCCTGGAGGCTCCCTGGCAACCCTCCTTCCCACCAGGTGGCATTTTTTTCATGTTTGTTGAAGCTTAGCTTCCGAACTGGAGTGCTATGCAGCCGGCGCAGCGAGGTCCGGCCCCCCCCCTCCCCCTCTCGGGGAGGGAAGGGCTGTACAGATGAGCAGCGCAGCAGTAGTGTGTTATGTTTGCATGTTTGCTTGTTTCCTTGGGATTGTAGAGAGTTCTACCTCTCTGTTCGGTTTTTGTTGTTAGTTTCTTACCATGTGGGGTTTGTTTTGTTATGCCTACTTTTTAGGGTGGCTAATCCCGGTCGATGGCAGATAAGGAAAACCCCCAACCACAGAGGGGTTTTCCAAGGCCGTTGCTTCCTGAAACCTCTCTCATGGGGCCAGGTTCTGGTTCATGGTTCCTGGTAGGTCTGAACTCCATAGCTAATGTCCCGGTCTAATATAACATACATTAGCCCGATAAGCTCCAGGGAGCCTCCGGGGCTCACCCAGAAAATGGCGTTTCATTACATTCAACACTGGTTTTCTGGGTTTCATGATATGGCCCCACACCAACAGCTCACTTGAGGATCATTGACTGAATCACAGGGGGGTTGCTTCGGTCCTTTCCATTATGGAGCTGGACTCTGTGTGTAGCTCATCTACTGGATTATCGGGGTTTGGCTCTCCATGCAGTTCTCTTAGGTGCTTACAGATGATCTCATTTCCATCCTATCACCACAGAGTGGACAGTCGATGACTTGTCCTTCCATTAGCTTTCAAAGATGGTTCGTTGCATGCAGGTGGGCCTCTCTGCAGCAACATGGAATTGGAGGCTTTTGGTCCTGTGGCCCTTCCTTTAAGGATCCAGGAATTTTTGTGGTGGATGCTTTTCAGCTGTAATGGAGTTAGTGGGATTTCCTTTATCTCTTCCCTCCAGTTTGGCTCCTCCCCCATCCACACCAGACTGAAGTCATTTTCCAGTAGGGTGGTCCTTCTGACTCCTTGGTAGCCACCTCAGCTATATTTTTTTGCTTTTCTGGCTCGGTGTTTGATCCCACTTGTTTTCCAAGGCCCTGTCTGTTTCAGAGAACTGGTCAGAAGATATTCATTGATGGTTCAAGGGTCCCTGCCAATCTTCACATTTGTTCTACTTAAGACTGGTTTACTGCCATCAAAATGGTGTTCAGGTGGCAGGTTTTTTGGTGTTACTTTTGTAACTTTCTTCCCAGAGACAGTATGAGGTTACCTGGTGGTCTTTTTGCTATTTTCTCTCTTGCTGCCTAGTTTCAGCCTCAGTTCCAATTATTTTGTACTCTTTCTATCACGGTCAATCATCTTCTGTAGCCTCCTACATGTTGAATTTGAGTATTGTTTGGAGGAAGCATTTTGAGTGTAAATAAATGAACCTTTTAGAGGTCATTCTGTGCCGGATTGAGAATTCTCCAGTGTCACCGTTATCCCATTAATTGTCCCCCCTTCTCCCCCAGTAAGAGCAGCTTTAACAGAGCCCTACTGCATCAGTAACTGGTGGTTGAACTGACCTGCCTAGTACTCTGCCAAGTTAATGTAAAAGCAGGATATTGCCTAAGGAAGTAACCAAGTAGATTAAGATTAGAAAATGTGTGGAAAGATTATAGGTTATAATAACACATTTGTACAGTAGGTTATAATAAAGGAAAATTAAAATATTTTATAATACATGTCTAAAAATTGAGGGGAATCTGCAGTATCTAAGTGGTTAGTGAAAAGGCCATAAATATTTCATGTCTTCCTAAGCATTACTAATTTACTATGTAGCAAGAAATATTACTATTGTCTGCATTTATTTTAAAGGAGCCCTTGGTATATTGTCATTAACCTCAAAATCTAATTATCTTAGTGGTAATTGGAAAATATACAAGTCATTTGTCTCACCTCGGTTATATTGCAGCTTACATACTTTGTGATGTTTTCATTACATTCTGTCTCCGTCACCAAATTCAACAAGTTAGCTACTTGAGTCCCAGTCTGTTTCAAAAGATCAACCAGCTCCTTTGCATATTCATCCAAAGCTTCAGGCTTCCTGTGTGCTAGCAATCCTCCAAAATGCAGAAAAACATTTTGATATTCTGATTTTTTCTCGCTATTGCAAAGTAAGAAATCAGACAATTTTTTTGTTGAATTAGCATTTTCACTGGCTTGAACAATGTCCAAAAGTTTTGCTATTTCACTGTCACTTCTCCCATGCTTCTTACATAAGTTGATTAGTTCATTTTCAAATGTACTTGGTGTATCAAAAGGAAACATCATGTTAAATATGTGCTCTGCTGAGTAAAACTCAAGTATACTTTTATGTGGAGCAGCAAGTTGTGATGTGTACCCTTTAGGTGTCCACCTACGATCCATGACCAAGAAGGCAGCGCACATGTCCTCAACGGGTAATTTTAAATTGAAGCATTTATTTTCCAGTTTGCTTTTACAGTCATCAGAAAAAAGAACTTCAGATACAGAATGGGTCTCAAAACAAGTTTCATACAACAATTTTACAAATAGGTTGCAGAGATTTTTCAACCTTGACAGTGACACCTCATCCAAGTCATCGGTTTGGTTACTAACAGGATTGTCTCTCTGATCACAAACATAAAGTCTATCAATTAAGCGGTGCTTAATAAGTTCATGAAACTCAATGTAGAGTCCAGTTGCTGTGGTGATTGGCCCAACCCTTTCTGGTCTGCAGGCCCAGAGATAAGTCAAGAGGGTTAGGTTTAGGGGCAAGCGAAAGTGATCTCCAAGACGGGCATGGGAACGTTTCAGATAGTCAACAAGATTTTGTGTATTTTGTGTACTCTGGCCATTGCTAATCATTTCTTCATGTAGCCGTGATACAAACTCTGTTCTTCTGTTGTAAGGAATCCCCATTATTCTGACATGAAACCAAGGCTGGTTGTTACACAATTTAGGAAGTACTTGCAATTTTATTGGCCGAGTTGTGATAATTACATGAAATTTCTTATTACTTTTAGGTATTTGTGCTGTAAGAATTTCCTGTATAAGTTCCTTTGAAGCACGATTTATCTCATCTAAGCCATCAACTAACATTAACACATTTAAATTTAGCACCGAATTCACAAGATCATTGTCTTTAAGTTCATAGGACGGTTTAGGTAAAAGAAACTTCAACAAGTCCAAAAAGGTAGATATTACCTTGTATTTACACTCAAAGTGAAGTACAAGGTCATACTCCTTCAGTCCTCTCACTGTAGTGGAAGACTCTGGGCTGCTTGCCCACTCTGCTAACATCAGCTTCACTAAGGTTGTCTTCCCTGCACCTGCTTCCCCTTCTATAGCTAGAATTGAAATATTTTCATCTCTCTTCAAAATCTCTAACAAATATTCATAGTCAACAGTTTCATTACAAAATTCATCATTATCTTCTTTAATGAGATCTAATCTTGTAAACACTGTTTTCACTTTCAAACTCTCCCTGCCAGAGATAAAAGATGCTGCATCAACATTGGACACATTGTTGTATCTATCTTTTAGTTCACTTACACTTTGATGTACAACATTTCTGTGATGTTCTTGTAACTCTGCTAAACTTTTTCTGTATTTGTCTATATCTAAAACTGATAAACTGGTGTTTACTATTTCCAAAATATTCACATTCATTGAATCAATAAGTGAATCTACCTCTTTTGTATGGCCATAAAGATCTCCACCCAATTCAAGGGCCTTTTTAAGAAATTTTTGCAGTTCGTTTATTTGTTCTTCCATCTCGTTAATATTTTGTATATCAGGTAGATCATGAACTAATCTACACCTAAAGTTTTTAATAGCAGTTAAAATATATTCTAGTTTTGTCTCATCACAATCACTCCAGACTTTATTACCATCTTCAGCTAGTTTATCACATGTAGCTTTGATGCTTGCATACAGTAGTGTTATATCAAACTTATCACCTTTAGGATTTTTCTTAATGATAGGTAGCTGGCTTTTGTCAAAAAACTTATTGAACTCCCGATTAGACATCTTTTTAACTTCTTTTAAATAGTGCTCAATAGTTTTATCTAAATCTCTATCACAACCCCAACACAATATATAATAGAGAGTACTACGACCCTCAGTCATTAATACCTTAAATACCTTCAAGAAATATATGTCCTTCTCTTCAATTCCACGTTTATGTGACATGTTTGTAATATTCAAATTAATTTGTTACTGCCAATGTATCATTCAATACCACTCTCTCATGGTAAATATTACAAGTTAGAAGTACCGTTTGGTACTTATCAGGTAATGATCCTTTATCAGTGGAGTATTACATTTTGCATTAACAATAGCTTTGCTATGGCAAAAGATTACTATTTGAACATAATCATGGATACAAATAGATTCAAATACTGAATTTATTATCTCTACATACCTAAATAGATTCACATACTGAATTTATTTTCTCTACATACATATACTGAATTTATTTTCCCTACATACCTAACCACCTGTAAATAGTTTTATATACAGTATAGTATATGATTTAATCATATGAATCTTAACAGGAGTACAATTGCTAGCCTGCCAAGGCCAACATAGTACTTTGGCATGCATTAGAGTACAAGATACAGCATTAAAAACAAATCAATTATATAATGCTTGGATGTCAAGAGTGTGACTTAGGAAATTCAAATGAATTGGTAATTTAAGAAGACTTCTATTATAAGACTTATATCTTGGCTACACCTATGCAATGACAGTGGATTCACTGACCATAATACATGTGTGTGTTTATACAGTAACTTAAAGTTTTATACAGTATTCACATTTCTTGTATTTCCAACCACCCCATCAAACTATTCAACATCACTGATCTGAAGTTCATTATTACAGTACAGTATTCAGAAACTTGATTATAATGGCATGAAGTTTCAAGAAAATATGAAAAGCAGCAATTAGGTTGCCATCAGTTCTGTGAAAGAAAAAGAATGAAAATATGTAAGTACAGTAGCCATCATTGTTAATTTAATTTAAAATATTAGTGAATGAACATCACATAGGATAAAATTTAAATAAAAAGGCATCAATTTATTACTGGAGTTCGACACAATCGGAAATTCTGGTTTCATATCCCAAGTGGGACAAATATGGTTGGCACCTTTCCTATCACCTTATGCATCTGTCCACCTAGCAGTAAAGAGGTACCCCAGGAGTTAGTGAGCTTCTTGTGGGGATGCATCCTGGGGAAGGGTCAGTAGTTGGACCGTGGGGACACCTCGATATGAGCCTCATGTACTGTATGTACAGTATGAATATACACAGGCTGCCTGCCTCAAATAAAATTAATTATTACTGTATAAATGTATGAGAAGTTAATTATTAATTATTAACATAACAGAAATTAGTTAACATGACTGAGAAGTTAATAATAGGTATTAAGGCTATTGTTACAATTATTGATTTGGCTGATGATCCAAGACTGGTCCATACATGGTCAGGAGAGACATAGTTACTTTCATTTAGGCATTATCCGTGGGGATTTGCAGATTTTCAGTTATATCAAAGTCAGCAAAACATCCCCTTATGCTTTGGTCACTTGCAGTTTTATACATTTTATATTGTGTTAGTTTTCTTAGTAATGATTGTTCCTTGCATACTGTTGCACTACTGAATAAGGTCTGGATTTTATCTGCAAATTTGATGCAGTCTGAAGGAGTTGGGTTCAAGAATACCTCCTGGAGGGAGCTAATAGGTGATCATGGCATGGAAGCATCATGGGGAAATTTCAAGGTCATCACTAAACTCGTTTAAAATTATGTGCCAATAAGGAGAAAGAAAGGGAACTAAAAGGATTACAGTTAGTAAAAAAGAGCATTGATAACTAAGCAGAACCTCTGGAGAACCTCTGAAGAAGTTGCTGTTCATCCACGATGAACATCATTGATTATGAGATATATTAAAGGGGCACTAAACTCATCCACCCAGGAAATCAGATCAGCCAAAAGAAACTTTGAAAGGAAAGTTGCCCAAAACATAAATAAAGATCTAAAGTCATTTTATGCCTATATTAGAAGTAAAACCAAAATAAAAGACTGAGTAGAACCTTGAAAGATGAGACTAACCAAGCTATAATGGGTGGCGAAAGGGCAGCAAACATTCTGAATGAATACTTTACATCAGTGCTCACACTAGAAAGATTAGAAGACATCCCATCACCCACACTAATGTTTGAATGAGGTGAAGAGAAATTAAGGGATATACACATAACATGACATAATCCAAAGTCGATCCAAAGTCATAAAGGAACTGTCAGTGGAGCTATGTCTACCACTGAAACTCCTTTTCAGAAAATCTCTGGACAAAGGGATGGTTTCCCTAAATTGAAAATACTGCATGCAAATGTCACCCCTTAGTTTAAAAAAAAAGGCAGAAAGAGCTCAGCAGAAACCTACTGTCTGATCATCTTGACATCTCACATCTGGAAGCTCATGGAGAGAGTCCTAAGGGAGGGGAAACATTCACAATCTGACAGCAAACAATCTTATAAAATCCATGCAGCATGGGTTTGTTAAAAATAGATCCTGCCTTACAAACCTGATCATATTTTTGGAAACTAACCATCTACTCAGACAATGAACTTCTAGTGGATGAAGCCCTGCCTGAAATTCTTTGTGTAATAGTGGCTTAATAGACTGTGTAACTCCTATCCCTACAATTTGTACTTTATACCTGATCAACCAGGCTGTGACTCATACGTCAGGCTGCGAGCAGCCGCGTCCAACAGCCTGGTTGATCAGTCCAGCAACCAGGAGGCCTGGACGACGACCGGGCCGCGGGGACGCTAAGCCCCGGAAGCACCTCAAGGTCAAGGTAAGGTACTCCTATGTTATTTGTACACACATTCTTTTGAATAAACATTGAATTGTATTGTACTGTATAGTATACAGTACATGGATTTTGATGAAATCTTTGATAAGGCACCACATGAAAGACTAGCAAGGAAATTACAGGTACATGGAATAAATGGTAGAATACTAGAAAGGATAAAATAATGGTTAAAATAAAGAAAAAATGGGGGATCATGCTACATGGGAATGAATCTGACTGTAGAAATGTGGTGAGTGGAGGTACCTTGGGGGTACCACAGGGGTCCATTTTGGGAGCCAACCCTTCTTGTCATATACTGTACAGTACATCAATAACAGATGAGAATATTACAAACCACATCATCAAATTTAAAGATGACACTAAAATCTATGGTAAAGTTAGAAATAATATGATATTGAGGCCTTACAAAGTGATCTACATGAACTCCACAAATGGTCAGAAAACTGTCAAATGCTTTTTAATATAGAAAAATGCAACACTTTACATATGGAGCATAGCAACCCATGCCACAATTACCAAATTAATATTACCTTACAGTAGATTGATGAGAAGGACCTTAGAGTCAAAATCCACCATTCACTGAAAGTTGCACAACAAGTAGGAGCAGCAGTACAAAAACTGATCAAACCCTAGTTATAATCAAGTGTTCCTTTAAGGAAAAGATGATGGCGATTCAATTTTGTGCCCAAAACGCTATGCGTGTTAGTGGCTTTGCATGAATGTAAGAACACCGACATTATGTACTTTCACAACCCAATGTACCTTCTTGTATATAAATAAATAAGTATAAATCTCTGGTGTACCCTCACTTGGATTACTGTTTCCACGCATGGAGATTTCATCTTCAGGACATAGCTGCTATCAAGAAAATACTGTACGACAATTGGCACCAAAAGTCATTCCAGGACTAAGTCAAATCCTGTATCAGGAATGTGGCCAAAACCTTCTTTTTAAATTACAGCATTATGGAGTCAGGGGTCACTCCCTGCAATACCTTAAATCTTCCTTACTGACAGGCTCCAGTATGTTTCTGTGAATAATTCAATTTTTCCCACCCTACCCATCAACATTTATTTATTTTATTTATTTATTTATTTATGCATATACAAGAATGTACATAAGGAATGTGAGGATACAAATATGGTAATTACAGTCTTGTAAAGCCACTAGCACGCGCAGCGTTTCGGGCAAGTCCTTAATCTAAGAAAATTTTAAGGAGGTAAATACTTGCAAAATTTATAGACAAAAAATGATAACAGTTACATGAAATGAAAAAAAGAAGATGAGAGAAAATTGTAGGTACAGTATATTAAAGCACATAGGTAGCTAAGATGATTGCAATGACAGCTTGAATGGTAGTTGACAAAAATTGGTAGGCACAATACAGCAGAAACAATATAAGATTGATTGCAATGACAGCTTGAATGGTAGTTGACAAAAATTGGTAGTCACAATACAGCATATGGCTAGCACATAAAAGAAGACAGCAATGAACACAATGATAAGGTTGTTTGATATTACATAAAAATTAGGAGATTGGGTAACACTAGGTACAGAGCAAATTTAAAGCTCAGTGTAGGAAACATTGGTGTTCCCCAGGGCAGCATACTTGGCCCTCTCCTCTTTCTCATCTACATTAATGACCTACTGAATATGGAAATACATGGTAAACAATGTCGGTTAGAACCATTTAACTGGAAGTTGTGGGACTGTTACTGGTTAAATAAGCACCAGTTCACAATTCCTCAATCAAGTGTCCTTGCTCCATCCCTGCAGTAAGTTATTGACAGTATTTGTACAAAGGATTGTCATATGCCACTAACGTTAGTATTTTAACTTAACTTTGATATAATATTACCTTATATTTGAGAACAAAACTCATTTTGAATGCGTAATACGTTGAAATTATCGAGTGCGTCTTAAGTTCAAGGGGCGCCTGGGCAAGCCTAGCCTGAGGACAGGCGCTTATCTGCCTCGCTCTGCACGTACTTTAAAGGCAAATAATTTGTACACGATACAAAAATTCTTTGTAATACACAATACATTTTAAATGTATTCTCCAATTGTATTACAATGGTAATACAATTAGAGACCATTGTAATACAATTTCTCGAGTTGTATTACAATGGTAATACAATTAGAGATCATTGTAATACAATTTCTCGAGTTGTATTACAATGGTAATACAATTAGAGACCATTGTATACAATTCTCGAATTGTATTACAATGGTAATACAATTAGAGATATATAAATAAAAAATTAAGCAACCAGTTTACACAATAGCAGTCACAATTATTGAAAACACTACAGTAGACAGCTTAATTATCTCAGATTCCCCCGTCATTACTGACTCTGATTATCTTGCAATCAAATTAGTTGTAATGTTGCTGAAGCCATGCACATTATGTGTTTTATATGCACATGCATTAAATTGACTTAATGTTGATTTAACGTTACTCGTGGGTATTATGCCCACTGGGATGAGTCCCTTCATTTAGTCGCCTCGAACGGGACAGGAAGCCACAGGTTTCAGGCATTATCATGACGGAAATAAAAGTTAAAAAATGTAAATGTCCTATTTGATAACGGCTATAGTAGCCTACAGTAAATCTCCATAAAATATACTAGTTATCCAAAGAAAATTAGGGGTTAGCTTAGAGAAAATGGATGTTTTGACTTTTCCTTTAATCTTGGTGTTTACATTATACCGACCAAATCTGCACCAATCAACAAATAACTTTAAAACAATCTTAAATTTGATTGGTGAAGCTTTGGGACTCGCTTTGCCTATAGAACTTTCAGTCAGGTGACATGATCAGCTGATGTAAGAATGGTAGCAGACGCTCGCTAGCTGGTGTAGGATCCTGAAGAAGATTGACGTGTGACGGAGCCTATAGGCGACTGAGGTGCCTCACGTGTGGCGGATCAGGTACCGGAGGAGTGTGACGTGTGACGGAAGAGCGTGACTGTTGAGGAACAAGAGGGAAGGGTGTGGTTAGGGCCGTCATCATGCTGGCCATCCTCGTGTTCGACCAGCTCAACGATGTCGTCTACTTGAGGTGTGACCGCAAATTTGTGCGACATGTATGCTCAATGGCAGCCTCTCAGGGGTTGTTGGCCGAAGCAGATCTCGACCCCGAACAGGTAAATCATATGTTAATAAAGAATAGTCGATATGATGCAGGTATACAGATGGATCAGACATAAACATGTTCATTTATTACGTGCAATATAAGCCTAACATGTATGAATACCCTCTGGCTTCCTGTTCCCATAACAAAATGAATTATTATTATTAATTTATACAGTACTGTATAAAGTATATCAATAGGCTCTTATAGCAATTTACATCTTTGATTAGCGAGGTGCATAATTACTAATTAGTATGTAATTAAACAGTCTCTGTGGCGCAGTGGTAAAGCACTCGCACGGCGCTTCATGGGTATTTTCATGGTTCGTGTCCTGGCCGGGGAAGATTGACCAGGCGCCAATCCTTAACTGTAGCCTCTGTTCACCCAGCAGTGAATGGGTACCTGGTTGTTAAACGATTTGGCGGGTCTTATTCCAGGGGAAAAATTAGGATTTAGGACCTGCCCGAAACGCTATGCATGCTAGTGGCTTTACAAGAATATAGGAACTCTTGTACAGAGTTATATATATAATAAATATATATATATATATATATATATATATATATATATATATATATATGCGAACAAGCCTGAATGGTCCCCAGGACTATATGCGAATGAAAACTCACACCCCAGAAGTGACTCGAACCCATACTCCCAGAAGCAACGCAACTGGTAACTACAGGGCGCCTTAATCCGCTTGACCATCACGGCCGTCAAAAGGAAGTGATAGCCGAGGCTATATGAGCCACTTCCCCGACGGCAACTCAGATGGTAATCTTGGGCATAGCATTTCACCAAATCACCTCATTCTTTGGGGCACACGTGAGGAACACAAATGCGAACAAGCCTGAATGGTCCCCAGGACTATATGCGAATGAAAACTCACACCCCAGAAGTGACTCGAACCCATACTCCCAGAAGCAACGCAACTGGTAACTACAGGGCGCCTTAATCCGCTTGACCATCACGGCCGTCAAAAGGAAGTGATAGCCGAGGCTATATGAGCCACTTCCCCGACGGCAACTCAGATGGTAATCTTGGGCATAGCATTTCACCAAATCACCTCATTCTTTGGGGCACACGTGAGGAACACAAATGCGAACAAGCCTGAATGGTCCCCAGGACTATATGCGAATGAAGTGGCTCATATAGCCTCGGCTATCACTTCCTTTTGACGGCCGTGATGGTCAAGCGGATTAAGGCGCCCTGTAGTTACCAGTTGCGTTGCTTCTGGGAGTATGGGTTCGAGTCACTTCTGGGGTGTGAGTTTTCATTCGCATATAGTCCTGGGGACCATTCAGGCTTGTTCGCATTTGTGTTCCTCACGTGTGCCCCAAAGAATGAGGTGATTTGGTGAAATGCTATGCCCAAGATTACCATCCGAGTTGCCGTCGGGGAAGTGGCTCATATAGCCTCGGCTATCACTTCCTTTTGACGGCCGTGATGGTCAAGCGGATTAAGGCGCCCTGTAGTTACCAGTTGCGTTGCTTCTGGGAGTATGGGTTCGAGTCACTTCTGGGGTGTGAGTTTATATTCATATATATATATATATATATATATATATATATATATATATATATATATATATATATATATATAAATAAAAAAAAAACATGATTATATCCATCACAAGTATGTTCTCTTCAGAAACTTCTGTGATAAGCTAGTTTCATAATTTGATTTGCTTATTATGCATACCACCACACATCAAGTGAGAGGCAGTGTAAAGATTACTTACAATTTGCAAGCTGGGAATATTTAACAAAAATTTCTGGCAGTAGATAATTTTGAATGAAATATATATACATTTCTTAAACATGTGTTATAGAGCTGTCTCTAAAGTCATGTACAGTATCTATTTGTACTGCATCACATAGTGAAGAGGGTGCATGAATAATTTGGCAGACACAGTTTACATTTGGCCAGGTCTATAATAGTAATTATTCAAATATGCTTACATAGGCCTCATTATCATTTTCACTTCCTACTTTACCACAAATCTTAATGTCAACTGCAAATTTAATGACATGGTTTGTAATATTTTCATCTAATGTGTATCATTGATGTACTGTATATGACAAAAAGGGGTTGGCCCCAAAATGAAATCTTGCGGTACCTTACTTACCACATTTCTCCAGTCAGATTCCTTTCCGTTTAGAATTACCCTTTGCTTTTTTTGTTTAACCATTGTTTTATTAATGATGTGTTAAATATATCAGCACAAAATATCACATGAAACAATGGAAAAAAGTTGATTTCTGCAACAAATTACCATGTAACATATTGCTACTGAACACTTTGGAGGATGTTGAACCAGAAAATTTCTTCAAAAGGTCAGATGTAATACAAACAAGGAGCGATGATTTGAAGCTTAACAACCGACAATGTAGGGCAGAGAACAGAAGATACCTTTTCACCCATAGGGGTTATAAACCCATGGAACTCTCTACCCACTGAAGCTGTAAATGCTAAAACTGTTAACTTTTACAGTAGAACTGGAAAAGATCAAGGCAAATGGGGTGGACCTTCGACAAGCCACCGGCTTCCTGTCCTCGTCGAGACCACTAGTGTCAGTGGCTCTTGGGTAAAGTCAGGTAAATAATGGATGTGGCATTGCTTAATTGTTTCAAGGGTTGGTTAAACATAGTGTATATGTAAATGAGTTGGGTTAAGTGTAAAAGTAGTCTGTTACATATGGGACAGTGGGCCTTTTGGAGTTTCCACTATTTTTATGATGTTGACTAATTCATTTCAACAAAAACATTCTAGGTTTCTCAATTGGATCCGAACATTGTGGTGCAACTGTTTTCACCTTTGGTCACTTCACAACGCATCATGGCTACACAATTTGGTAATCCATATACTTCAATTTCCTGCCAAGATGGTACTACTGTTGTTTTTCAAGAGGTTAGTACAATTTTTTGGGGGGGCTGACTTTTTTTCTCTGATTTCAAACTCTATTTTCACAAAGGGCTTTTCACTTATATAAAGTATACCCTAAATATATCCCCTAAATCATTATAATATAATTATCCCTATGTTTTGTGTTTTTTGTTGGTTATTTTTTCTTGACTTCATTTCAACACACACTGACCTACAACTTTCACATATTCGAGTATGAATGCCAAACAATGTTTATTAAAACATACAATTAAATTAACAAATTAAAACTACAGTACCTCTATTCATTGTTGATAACTTCAACTTCAATTGTCTCTGAAACTAGAGTTTCAACTTTGAGTGGCTTCTAAAATTCCAGTTATTGACTGATTCTCACTATTTTGACATATTGTGTGCTCAGCTGTCTGTTCTATAATCCCTTCAGAATGGATTTTTCATAAACTTCATACGTTGACCAGACCACACACTAGAAAGTGAAGGGACGATAACGTTTCGGTCCATCCTGGACCATTCTCAAGTCGATTGTGATGATTGAAGGAGAAGGGAATAAATAGGCAGAAGAGAGGCGAGAAGAAAATCTTAGAGGAAGAGAAGGCAAGGCAAAGGTAGGGAAGGTAAGGTGTAATAAATGGGATAGTAAGAATGAGAAAACAAGAACACAAGAACAAACATAACTGCAGAAGGCCCATTGGCCCATACGAGGCAGCTCCTATTATACCACCAATAAGAAGAGGATAGTAAAAGGAAAAAGAAGGGGGAAATAATAGGAATAAGCAAGAGATCATAAGAGAAAACAATGGAAAGAAAAAGAAAGGAAAGGGAAAGAAAGATAAATGGAAGTGTAAGCTTATGTTAGGTCACATTTGTTAGAAAGTTTAGAGCATTTAAGTATATACTGTGAAAGGGAAGAGTCAACAGCAACAAAGCCAGGACTCAAGTTCATGTTGGGTACATTGTGTATTAGAGCCGATTCAACGAGACGGCGTCTGTGTAGAGTAGAGGCAGGAAAGATAATTTTGGAGGAAGACCAATCAATAGGATGATTAGAATCCCTAACATGACAAAAGAGAGCATTGTTTGTGTCAGCAGACTTAACACTTCTTTTGTGTTCTTTAAGTCTCTCATTAAGTGTTTTAGTTTAGTTCATTTATTATGCACCCCATACCCATCTTGTGGGCAGTAGTGGAAGGGGTTACAGAGGCACATAATGGACTCAGGGACTGAACCCCACAATTCATTTAGCTAAGCAAGTTACAATCATTAAGTGTACGGCCAGTTTTACCAAAGTATTGGAAAGGACAAGACGAACATGAAATAGAAGAGACACCAGCAGCATTAGAAGCAGGAGCAGCAGTGTGAACTAGATTGCTATGAAGTGTGTTAGTTTGTCGAAAGGTGAGCTTTATGTCAAGAGGACGAAAGGTATTAGTAAAAGTTTTGAGTTCAGATATGAAGGGAAGGCAGAGTACAGTTCTACTAGTGTTGGACACAGGTTTAGGATGAAAGAAATTTCGTTTAGCTTGAGAAAAGGCACAGTTGATAAAATGCAAAAGGTAACCAAGGCGAGAGAATGATTTGTAGATAAAGGCAATTTCAGAATCAAGAAACTGAGGGTTGCTGATGCGTAGAGCGTGGAGGAAGAGAGAGACGAGGACACTTAACAGGAGGAGGATGGTAGGAAAAGAAGTGAATGTACATGCCACTATGCATGGGTTTGCAGTAGACAGAGAAAGAGAACCCGGACACAGAGCTGTGAACGTCAAGAAAAGGAAGGAGGGAATTAGTTTCCCTTTCAACTTTGAAATAGATAGAAGGAGCCAGATTGTTAAGAGGAAAGGAAAGGCTGGAAAAGACTAAGGTCATGAGGCCATAAAGCAAAAATGTCATCAACATAGCGAAGCCAGAGAGAGGGACGAGTATCAATAATAGGAAGAAGAACCGTTTTGAAGTATTCCATGTAGAAATTGGCAAGAACAGGAGAGAGAGGGGAACCCATAGCGAGACCGAAAGTTTGAGTGTAATATTTGTCGTTGAAAGAGAAAGAGTTAGTCAACACAGAGTCTAATGAGTTTGAGATAGTAGATAGATGAAAGGAGGTTAGGTCTTCATGCCTGGATACAATAGTTCAAGTGGTTATCTACCTTCCTTCCCTTAGAGTCAAAGATTTGTTTTATTATTCATAGGGTTTAGTTAGCAATTTATATGACTAGGACATGGATCACCTAATGCAATCATGCTAAAGTGGCACCCAGGGAAGTCCTGAAGTTCCTGGTGGACAGCTGATAGGTGTCTTTGGAATCCTTCCTTATTAGGGGTGCCGGTGGCTTTGTAGGTAGAGCTGCGGGTTGCTGTTTATGTGGTCTGCTGTTAGAGGCTTCAATGGTGCAAATAAATGAAATATTATTAACCATGTTATGGTGGTGGGTAAGTATAACATTTGTAAGTTGGAAACTCATAGTACAGTATATATAAATACATTAATACAAATAGTAACTGTTCCATACATAAATTCTGCAACATTGCTTCTTGTACATTATTTTCATAAATACAAATTGTTATATTCTACTGTACATGAAAAGGTCTTACCAACTTGTTTTAATTAAAACATTTGCACATTTCAGTATGCTGGGTATTTGTTTGTCGGTGTTGGTCATCAGGAGGAATCTCACTTGCAGAGAATAATTAGCATAACTATACGCCTTGTACAGCTGATTGTTGGCCCCTGTGTCACTGCGTGAGTAACTGCTCTTCTAATTTCCTTGTACCAGTTGTACAGTAATTAATACTATTACTGCATTGCACTAAACGTATATTTTCATTGACATGCATTTTCAAGATAATAATAAGCTTTAGATTGGTCATTTTCATTGTTTTTTCAGACTCATTGGATTTATTTCAGACACCCACTTCATTAGAAGGATATCATGCAGTTCCTTGTAAAGTACTGTATTTACACAGCACACACATTTTAGTTTACAGAAATTAATGATGTTTTTTCTGGGGGGGAGCTCCGTTGGCTCCCCGGAGCTGAAGGGAAGGGAATTGTTGGGAAAGCATCAAGCCATGACGACTATATAGCACTGGGAAGGGGTCAGGATTAGGATTTTGGATGGGCCGGGGGAAAGGAATGGTGCCCAACCACTTGGACGGTCGGGGATTGAACGCCGACCTGCATGAAGCGAGACTGTTGCTTCGCTTCATGCAGGCCTGGGGCTGGGGCTCTCCCGTCCCCCTCCCAGGGAGTGGAAGGTTACGCAGACAGCGGCGTGGCGACGTGATGACTTCATGACAGTTTGCTAATATTCGTTTGAGGAGTTCTGTCCACCTGTTCAGCTTTCGGTCGCAATACTTTTACCAGAATAGGGGTTTGTTTTGGGGCGCTTACCTTGCTGGATGCCTGTCCCGGTCGATGGTAGACATAGAATGCTCCCAACCATAGGGGGGGGTCTCTATAGGCCATTGCTCCTCGTGCCTCTCTAGAGGGGGCCAGGTTCTGGCTTGTGGTCCCCGGTAGGCAAGAACTCTATGCATTGATTGATGCCAGAAAAATATACATAGCCATTCAGCTTCGGGGAGCCTCCGGGACTCATCCAGAAAATTGCGTTTCATTACATTCAACGCAGGTTTTATGTAGAATATTTAATATTTCTTTGATTCAACTGTATAAATCTCTGGATTTCCAGAGACTTATCCCCACTTGGATTATTGTATCCAAGCATGGAGACTTCATCCAGAAAATTTCTTCAAAAAGTCAGATGTAACCCAAACAAAGAGCAATGGTTTCAAGCTCAACAAGCCACAATGCAAGATTCAAAACGGTAGAGGCTTTTTTCACCCGCAGGATTATAAACCCCATAGAACAACCTACCCACCGAAGCCGTAAATGCAAAAACTGTTAGATTTTAAAATCCAGTTGGAAGAAATCATCAGGGCAAATGAGGGGACCTTTGACAAGCTGCCGGCTTCCTGTCCTCATCGAGACCACTAGTGTTAGTGGCCCTCGGGTAAATTTCATGGTATGTCTTTTTTAATAATTTTGTTTTCTTTTCCAGACTGAAGAAGAGTGAAGAAAAAAGCAGCTTGCTTGGCCGCATGTTGGAGGCATGGCAGACTCTACATGCTAAAGAGCAAAGTTATTTAGTGGAAGCCGTGGAAAGACTTGTTGTTAATGCTGAGCTTTCTGCTGCAGCCGTCAAGTCCTTGGCAGCTGTGGTTGACAAAATGAAATCTGCTAAGGATCTTACACCATGCCATGCTCTCTTTTTTGTCAGAAATAAATTACTGGCATTATATTCTAGGTATGATATTATATAACTAACTGAGGTACTCTTGTGTTGTACAGGTGAAGAGCAGTGAAGACCATAAACATGTAACAAATTCACTACACTGTCTTCATCATCGTAATGTATTTTCTAAGCATAATTCACCTCTGCAATATCCCTATACATGACCTCTGCCTTTGTAATATCTTCATTATATTTTTTAATTTTTCACTTGTATATGTCCTCACTATGTCCAACCCTCCCAGAATCTGATTTCTGTCTTTATTGCATCATCCTTACACACAATTTTCATCATTGGGGCATCTCTCGAACGAATACTTCATAGTTAAGTATTCCCCAAACGGAATACTTAACCCTTATAGCTGGGTATATTCCGAGGGATAATTTATACTGTGGTTTTCACACAGGATTATTTACAAATATTGGCAGTGTCTGTGCATTATCAGGAGAAAACTTTCACATTTTGGCTTCAAACTTTCAATACGTATGTAGTAGTGGTAAAAGAAATATTTCTCTTCTAATTGGGGCCATGTTGCCCTTTGGGGGGAATATGACATTGAGTTGTTTTTCAAAGCTATTAAGTGAACCTGTTTCAAAATTTCTACATATGCACCATTCCTAGTGGATAATCACAATAGTCCTAATTGCAAATACACCAGGAACATGAACCTTAAATAACAAACAAGGTGCCGGGCTTGCTTCCTCTTTCAGAGCAGGAGAGATTGCTAAAATAGAAGGAATGCAGAGGATATATGTGACCTACATCGACATGATAAAACACCAAAACTATTGGAACTATTTCAAGCCTCTCAAAATTTACTCTCTTAAAAAGTAAACAAGAAAGGTATATTTACATGGAAGTTGATGGAAGGCCAGGTCCCAAATTTACACAGTAAAATAACAACATACTGGAGTGAATGAATAAAACCATAGAAGAATAGAAGTCATAAGCATAATCAGATAAAATTTTATAAACATCAAAAGTCCACAGCTATTTAATACCCTCCTATAAGCATAAGCAGTATTGCTGAAACAAAAGTGAATTTCAAGAAAAAATTTGCCACATTTCTGCAAGAAGTACCAGACCAAATAGGTTGTAGTGGATATGTGAGCCTGCAGGCTACTCCAAGCAACAGTCTGTTAGATCAGGTCATACTTAGCCATAGTCCTGGTACACCAGTCTTGGGGTGTACAAGATCTTCCAGAACCCACTCTTGGTATAATCCAGGTATCCTGGCCAGTACTGGCAAGAGCATGAACTAGGGCAGCCACTAATGGTATTTATTGTACTGAATCTTTTTATTTATTGAGTTCACTTTTCAACTTCTCTGCAGTACTGTAATGTCAAAAAATAATTAAATGTTTGTGAAATTACTGTAACTGCACCTTATTTTATTTTTTCCAGTCGAAGCGCTCAGGAACTCAGTGCATCGGATGTTCTATTTATGAACATCTTGGTTGAAGCAAGCCAAATGAAGAATACTGATTATTTGGAAGATATTAACCTGAAGAAGGCTACTGAGATGCCAGACGAGAAGAAGGAGGATGATGGGATTGAACTGGACAGTAGCGATTCTGGGGAGTTTTACACTATTCCCACCTCACCTTCATTTGACAGAAATAATGCCTATGTTGATGGTTAGTGCTTTTGAAGTTTATCTTGCATTGGACAAAGGTATGTCAAATTTGATTTTGTGGAATTATTTGTTGAAAGGGGTAATGTTCATCAGCTTTTAAAGTGATGTCATTGTAGAGCCGTAAGGTTAGTGGGAAGAATGGTAAGGAACTTTCTTCTATCTAATCCTTTAGTGAGAGAGAGAGAGTCAAGAGAGTGAGAGTGAAAGAGTGAGTGAGTGAGTGAATCTAGATTTACAAAAAAATTTTGTTACTATAAAAAATTGTTAAGGATCTTTCTTATAGTATATGGTATACCAGTAATACATAATTCATCAGTTCTCTCCACCCTGACCACCAACGTAGCTAGCTTGCACCACAAATGCAGACATGTTCACTACTACAGCAGTATGATCACCCCATACCACTAGCAACAACTTCGGTAAGCATTATGATGACACATTTTTGTCAATTAGATCTTGTCAACTGGAGCATATTTGGAGTTACAACTCACAGAATGAAAGTGTCAGTAGCATGACTTTGTGTCAATCATCACCCACACCCTCAATTTCTCAATTTGCTTTCCTAGCTATTGATCACTTCATTTTCCGATTGATAATATTCAAGTATACTACTTGCAATATATATACCTCTTCATCACTAAGATCTTTCAGTTCCTACAAAAGGACAGTTCTTGCAATTTTGCATGATATAAATGGTTGCCAATCCTGCCAGTGATTGCACACTGTGCATGCACTGGAGGGAAGGTGGCGCTCCAGGCATGGTATGCATTTATTTACAAATGTCCAGGAAGGAAACTAGGTCACTCAGATTTTTTTCAGTTATTGCAGTCACTAGGATTGAAATGTGTAATCAAGCACCTACCGTGATTTTTAAATAACTCTGGTTGTGAAGAATCATTTTCAGGCTATTTGAGAGCAGCTCTGAATCATTCTGTAATGATTTAAGCTGTTGAAGGTTTAAACTGTTTATCTAGTAATACCTACACCCCATTCACTTTTCACATCCCTTTCCATGGAATTACATCATCTCGTCCGATTCCCAAAATAATTTTGTGTTAATTTTAAATATTTGTGTGTGTGTTTCAGATGAACCAGAAGGGAAGATTCGAAGCTGTATTTTGTTGTTACGGACTGAACTGTGCCAGCTGACTCCCCATCTGGTACATTATGAAACACTTTCCAATGGATTATCATTGGTTATTGTATCAGAGGTAAGAGTATTCAAATGGAGAGTTCTGGGAGGGCTCCTAATGGTGGCTCCTTGGTGCTTGCTTCCTGACAAGCTCCACCCATATATGACTTATAGATGACTCACCAGTTGTTATGGGTTGTATCCTGGCAAAGGTCAGTCTTTGGCCTAACAGGCTTCCTCTCCCTGACAAAGGGAAACCATTTGTTTTTTTAGAATAAAGGTGAAAAAAAGTGAAATAAGAGTTAATATTTATTAGTTACAAATTATAACATGTTAAGGATTTGCTGTCCGTTTATCTCTTCGTTTCACCTGATGCCATTGTTTACCTAGCAGTAAACAGGTACTCGGAGAGTAAGGCAAAATCATCTTGGAAGCATTGGTATTCAAACCTTCAAGTATTTGGATTCATATTTTAGGTTGCTTTTTCACAGTTTTAAAGGAGCTTATTATTTTCAGGTGAATCGTACACAACTTTCCATACAGCTCACAACATTATTAACAGGACTGGAAGAAATGCTCAGTGGAGAAATAAATGGCAGAGGAAAATTAGTGTTGGATGCCTGTGACACTGCTTTAAGGAAATCTCAAGAGTTGGCAAGACGTTTACCCAAGGGCAGATCTGCAGAACGTGTCGAGAAGGCACTACAACAGGTAAATAATTGTGATTAATTAGAATGTCATTATATTCTATAATGAGCGAGCTTGATAATTAAAAGCCCCTTAGTTACCCCTTATATATTAGAATTCCAATTGCACATGAGGATATATGCTCTTGGCAATCATTGTGGAAAAAATTTAATACACAAAAAGTCAATGAATTTTGTTACAAAAATAATAAAAATTCTGTGGTGAATGGAATGAAAACCCCCCTTACTGTGTGCCACTTCAGCAGCTTCCCTAGAATATCATGGGTACACCTGGCCCCGAGTAACTAATAATCCTGCAAATTTTCCTGTTTAGTACATCTGCTAAGAAGTTTAATTACAAGCTGTGATACCAAATAACATAAAAAAGCTTCTCGACACCTTCCCTAAAATGATCAGTGTGGCCTCTTAAGATAACCAAGAATCATTTTGAAATTCCAAGATAAGAAGCTAACCCCTTAACTGCCTACCACGAGGTGGTAGCAATAGCACTAGCTGTTACAGTTGGATTGGAATAGGTGGGCACTCAGTTTTTTTTAGTCTAGTCTACACAGGCTAGCTCAGGAAAGACTGGAAACAGTCAGGCATCTGGCAATCATAATCACTCAAAGCTGCAAGGTAAGCATAGTGCTTAAAAAAAATAACCTACATCAAGGAGAACTGCACAAAAAATAATGTCACCCTAAAACATCCAGTGCTTGCTAGAAACAGTGAGCAAAATCAATGTGAATACATGTCAAGCTATTGTTAGACACTAGTAATTACCCGGTGCCAGACTCATACTCGCCACCATGTGGCAGCCCAAATCAGATGAGGTCACGAGCTGGCTATAAAATCACTGAGCATTATTTGTCAACAGAGGTTTCTGCTAGATCCAGACTTCTTTTTACAAAAAGTTAAGTTGCTTTTGGCTATCCTGGTATATCCTGTCCCATGCAGGGTGGCCTTTTTTGCTACTGGTTTACAGTATACTTATTTATGCTCCATGATTGTGTTTATGTCGGCTATAGTGTCTCATCCTGAATTTTATCACCCTGGCTTTCATCTAGAGTTTGTTTTCCTACTTAGCCTGGTTGTGGTTCCCATAACCACCACAGAGTTACCTTCTCTGAGGGTTTGGGTTCCTTCTTTGAAGTTCTCTTCTTTTGAATGGCCCCTATTCTGGGTAGTACTTGGGACATTATTGCTTAGGGAGACCTGTTTATGAGTGGATGAAGTTAGACTAGTTTAGTTATAATAATTTTTGTACACTTGGTCCTAACCCTACTGGCATTCATGCTTTGTGTTTGTTCTTGGGTGATCAAATGTTATTTTAATATTTTTTATTCTTCCAGGTGCACTTTCGATGGGAGAATATTAAGAGGAGTGGTTTAGAGGAATGGTTACGAAGTGGAGGGGACGCTGAGGTTCCAACACGTGTGGATGCATCTCTCACATCCCTGATAGACACAGCTCGGTCAGCATGGCGTGTTGCTTGCCTGGGAGTCAGTATATCAACTGCTGCTCCATTAGTGGAATCTGTAGTTTCAATGACTGCTGAACGCATGGCAGATTATTGCCATTTCTTGGAAGTAAAGGCTTTGAGGAATATGACATTGGGTTGCCGTTCTAGTCTTACAATCAATAAGTATTTGGAAGAATTCCCAGGATTAGTCCATTTTCTGTATGTGGACCGTTCAAGCCATCAACTAACATCACCCACATTGTTGACAGATGAGTCAGGAGACTTCACTAATGACTTGAATTCTTCAGCAAAGGGAACTAGAGCTCTTACAGTTGCACGAGTGTGGTCCATGGTTGAGTTTGCACATACACACATAACAAAAGGCCATCTGTCACTGATGTGGAAGGATACCACTTTCAGCTATGCATATTTTCTTTGGTTTGAAGATAGTGGTGGAAATCCCTTAAAGCCTGGGGAACTAGATGACAGCATAAATGAGGCACTTCCCTTACCTGGAGTACTCTGTGAAGACTTCTATCGATCTTTCTGTATTCAGGCATTCCCAGGCATGGATCCAAATCGGATACGTGTTTACGAGCTGTTTTGTGTTCATTTAGGCTTGGCTACCTCACCTTGTGTACTAGAACACACTCGACGCCTTGCTGCCACAATTTGGGAAGTTGCTGGACCAATAGATGCTAATCCAGCAGACTTACTTTAGAATTTTTTCTGATAATATAAAAATGTTTAATTTTATTTATATTGCTTATAAAGCTTTTACATGATTTTAATGGTACTATAGCTATGATATATTTTGTTTCACAACGATGTTAAGTAGTAATAGTATTTTATACTTTGTATCAACATTCTTCCAGTTTGCAGGGTTTAGCTCATGAACTATGCTTATACTCTACTCCCATAATTTTTTTATTAAAATCTACATTCCAATAAACCATCAGAAGTGAACAGTTATAAGGATACAATTTATTAAAGGCATCTACATTGTATACGAACACATTAGGACTAAGACTTCTTGAAAAACATGTACTATACTGTATTGTCTAAGTTACCTGATACCTCCTCAGGAATTGCTGTGTAAACATTTGAATTTAACAAAAAATCAATACTTGCCATGATGAAAGACATAATTTGCAATGATATTACTATATAGTCTTTTTAATTTTTTTTTTCCAAGGGTTCATTTGATGCATCACGCTATTGTGATTTCTGTGTGTAGCGACATAGTTTATTATTACAAAAGCACAAAATGTCATCTCATTTATATCTAATATTACCCCATCAACTTTTGTTTTGGGGAGTTATAACCATGTTGTGGAACAATCATTTTTTTATTCGTATTTTTTTTTTTTTAATGAGACTCTGTGCTGATGTGTCCGGATACAGTGCGAGTGTGTGTGTATTCATATATACATTGACTTTTCTGGCACAAATTCAGCTCATAGGTATGATAGCCAAAAAACTAAGTCACAGTGGCTGTAGCTTTTGGCACAAAAGGGATCAAGCTATAAATATTGAAAAACTGCATGCATTGTTTATGCATTAAGCTTTATAATATATTTGTGTAAATGCTAAGAAGTAGGGTTTTTTGAAAGAATAGATAAAGGATAAAAACCATGTTAAATAATATTGCAGTGCTGTGCAGCTTTTGTGTTACACAAAAAATTTGTGTACTATATATTGCGTGTCCATTTACATGTGTGAGTGTGTTTTAATTTGTTCACTTGGATATGAAAGGGTGCACATATTTTATTATTGACTTAAGTATAATTGTAAAATATTTGCACTTGTGTAAGTATCCTCATTAACCCTTAACATGCTCGGGGTTTAATCATATACTGTATCTAGTCATTATGATCTTCAAAAAATATATAATTTTTAGATTAGAATTTGTTTATTACATTTCCAGTTCTCTGTATAAACATTTTTAGTAAAATACTCATTCATTATTTGTTTAGTTTGTATTCCTACTTTATTACGATATTTATTAGATTCACTTGATATTCAAGTGAATTGAAGAGTGCTTTTGCAGTATACATTCAATACACAGTTTTCTGTATTACAGACAGGGTTTGAGATCTCTTCTCTTACATATAGTGTAGTTGGTTATTGTGAATTTTGTTGGTCATTTTTAATTTGTTAGTCAGTAAGATCACCAGATATTTAAGTTGTTCTTTTTGTCACTATTAATGAAACACCTATACACTATTAATTTTCTACTACTGGTCCGTTACGGAGTATCTTTGCAAGCATGTCAACAGCATCATTCTTTGAGATGCCAATATATGATGATATTCAAAGGAATTTAATCTCAAATCTCTCTTCAATAGCTGGTAAAACATTCATTTGAATATTACTATTTTCTGGGTGTTACTACAATATGCATTCAATGCCAAGAGTACACTTGAATATAGTATATAATTTTATTGCCTTTTTCTTTAAAAAATTCAGTGACAAGGCATATACTGTGCCTGCAAGTTCAGTTTGAGGTGTATATCCTGTACATCTTCCACCTACTTCAACAGAGCTTTCAGTATAACACTGATACATATTATTACCCATAACCTAGTGCTCTCAATGATGCTTTTTATTCTTAACTGCTTTAATAACATAGCAAGTACACTATCTTTCTTGAGTGCATTTATAAAATTTTCTCAAAAGAGCCAAGTTGTCCCATGGATTGATTGATTGATCATTGTCAAGTGTCAGGTTGATCACATCCTTATCTTTATAGTGGCTGATTTACAGTACAGGTACTATAATTCTCAATTATTACAAATACTGCATTTAAAAATAAAACAAATTATAGAGTATTATTAATCATTGAAATACTTCAGTGTTGGAATTGGGTTAGCATGTAATGTTATACTGTAGTTTGAATAATAGGCTAATCTGACTGTTCAGTAGCATGCACTGCCTATGTAGTTGCTGAATAATTTAGGAATCTCGAATGAATTTAAAAAAAATGATTAGATATGATTTTAGTATTAATTATAAGGAATACAGTATTATGATGGTTCTTTTAATAACAAAACATTTTCAAATTGAAAAAATGTAGTAAAAGAATCATTGGAATTATTTGATGTAAAAGAAATATATAAATTTCTAATTAAGCTAATACCATCAAATGTGTAATCCTTTGATTCAATTACGATTGCATTAAATGCAATTGCTATTAAAAATTTAGATTTGTGTTTAGTTTAAGGGCAATATACTATGTTATTTAGTACAATAGTCTGGCATACTGCACAATATATGGTTCTCAGGCTTAAGGATTTGAAATGCAATGGTGCCATTGCTTTGTGTGCTTGTGAGAGAGAAATTGGGGTTAACTGTTCTGTCCAGGCTTACTACCTTTAGAGAATTACTTACTGCTTTCTTATGCATTTTACAGAAAGAAGAGCCATTGTTGTATTGTGCATTTGAAAAAAAAAAGAGGTACTGCTTTTATCTTCATTATACAGTATGTTCTTCTATTGTTTTATAACCTATTAAGTCATTGGTTTAGGTTTAGTTATACTTAAAAAATCATTAATTAATTAAAGCACATTTTAAATATAATGTTTTATTATAAAATGTAAGAATGTTTAATAAATATTTAGTCTACAGTGTGTTCAAAGGACATGAATTGAGGTGCTTGCTTACATTATATGTGTATGCATGAAGTATACTGGGAGTAAATGTACTGTTTCTCTTTAACTGTCTTAAGCCTTTACTTCATAATTGTGTTTTGTAAATTTCCAGAAATCTAGATTTCACGCAAATCCAGGTTGACTTCCAGTGACATGACGTGCATTTTGGAGGTGCCTCTGCATAAGCCAAAAAGAAAAGTTTATATTAGTGGGAATACCGCATGTGTAGCAGTACTTCCGTTCACAGCTCACCTTATCCTTTGTCCCACCATACCATAAATCTGTATAACCTTCTGGTATTTTATACATACACAGTATGCAATACGATTCCCAAAATCCAGATACCATTTGACTTATAAACTTATTATTTACTTATTGATGATGAGAAACATTTACACACACACACACAGTACTGTTGTGTATATGTATGAAATTTGTATCATAATTATTAAAAGCATAATGAACACTTTTATTTTTCATTGTGCAGCGTGTCCTTGCTACTAGCAGCAAAATTTGACACCACAAATAAGTACTGTAATCACACACATTGTCACTTTTTTCCAAACATTTATTATCAGCCTGCTTATTTTACTAATATATTAATACTTTCGCGCTCTCGGCGCTCAAAAAAAACAATACCCCAGATGCTTTCGGCACTTCGCGCGCCTACGGGGTAAGACCGAAAAAGTGTACATTCTTTTGACTGTCCTGACAATAATTGAAGGCGCACGTATTTAAATTTGGTATCACTGTGTTCGCAATGAAATTGTCTATCAGAGCATACCTATAAAATGCCGCCCAAGCATAAGGAGTATCAACACCAAATAAAAAACTATGCAGATCACTCGCCGAGAGCGCCAAACAGCAACAAAATGTTTCCACTTTCTTAATGGTTGCGAAGCCTACAGTTGTCCTACATCGCTAATTTTGGTATCATTGGAATCGCAATAAAATTCTCTACACGGACATATGCATATGAATGTTTAATATAGGTAATTGCCCACCCGCAAGAGTGTGTGAAGTGGAGAGTAGTTAGCCGCGAGCGCACTGGCGAAAACACAGGGGGGAAATCATGCTTGGAAAGTTTATACGTTTCCTGATCCTACTTTTCTATGTACGTATTTCTTTTTTATACCAATGTGTTTGCAATAAAATTTCCTATAAGATGAACTGTATAACATTGGTACAAAGCATGTGTAAGAGAAGCGCCAAATATAGAACCACGTCGCTCAGTATGCGTTCGCGGCAGAAACGAACGCATTGTTTTCGTTCGTTTGATGTTTGTCATGTTTATACTTGTTGAAACATTTTATAATTTGTATGACAGTGATCGCAGTAAAATTCCCTACACAGACATATACGTAACACATACAAATATTTCCCACGTGTTGGATATATCAACGGCTAAAGGGAACCCACTGCCACACGCTCGCCACACCCCCAAACATACTTTGTGTATTTTTTTTTTTACTCATAGAAGTTTATGTGATATAATATTCATTCTGGTACCAAAAAATTCGCAAATAAATTCTCTACAAAACAAAAGTATCCCCATCCATTTCGGTTAAAAAATGGAATTTATAGAAATATTTTTTCGATTGACGAGAAAAGTAGGCAGTTATGCGGAATCGTAAGAAAAACCAGTGACGAGTTATCTCTAATATAAAGCGCGAAAGTGTTAAATTGTTTATGACATTGCAATCTTTAGCCAAACCTGAAAGGAAAAAAAAATTTACACGAGAGATCAGAAAGACATGAAAGTAGCTATTTTGTAAAATCTCCCATTTCAAGGACAGCCAGTCAATACCCTTGAGGCTGGACCCTTAACAATAGTTGAAAATTAAGCCTCAAAGATAACTCAAGCAGTGCTAGTAGTATGTTAGGATCATCTGCCAATCACATAAAATAATTAGTGAAATGGAGGATAAAGAAAAAAAAAAAACTGCTAGAACTATTTATATTCTTTCAACTGGTAAACAATGCATTGATCACTATAGAGTACCCGTTCTCTCAGTTACAGCTTTACTTAGCAAAGTGTTCACATGCTGGACTCTTTCTTTAGCAAGAGCAACAAATTTATCAAGAATGTCTGGTAAGATGAGCTGACCGCCAGGCTTGTGTGTGGTGCACAGGGATCCATTTTCAAGAAGAACTACAGTCACTTCCCCACTCCCCTGAGTTTCATCTTCTGCAGTAGGGTCCATCAACTATTAAAACAAACATAAGTAATGATCACAAAAAATGATTTACAGTACTTGCTTGCCCCATACATATTCCTTGTCTTTTTTAATTCATTAACTTAATATTGAAGTTAAAAAAAAATGAATCCCTTTTTACTTAATTGTTAATGATTATTCCTTTGTTTTTATTTGTTAAATTGGTCAATATCATAAATTGGTAAAAAAATAAAATGCCAAGTGTAATAAAATGCCCCTTTCTTAGTGACTCCCCATAGCTTAAGTACTAGTTCCCTAGATTAAACCCTACCTGTCGGACACTGTAACTATTCTTATTATTAGTAAGGACCAGTATCTTGACCTGTTAAAGAGAGGCAGGAAAGCAACCCACAACTTGAATGGGAAAGGTCCCTACCTGTATGAGAAGGCAAGATTTTGATCTTAGTTCACAGTAGGCAGGTGATCACAGGTGCCTGGTGGGTCAAATTTAGCCTAGAGTGCCAGTGCCTATGTTATGAGGAGCCACTGAGAGGGGGCCACCAGTACAAAGACTAATATTTTTTTAATACTATACAGGACTGTGCTTTTTATCCTCTTGGTAAATTAGCATAGGCTAATTACTGCAGTGCAATGGAGAATTTATACATTTTTTATACCTGTATATTATAAATATGAGACATACTGTACCTGTATACTGTCACTGTACACGGTAAAGGTTGAAGCTACTGGCTTGGCCTGCAAATAAAATAAGGATACTAGATTGCATGCATTGTTAAAAGAGAGACTTTAAAAGGTTGCATAAATCAATGAAATTAATACAAAACCTAATTCTCCTAAGATATTCTAAATAGATTCAAATTTTCACACATATAAACAGGCAAAGAAAACGGGAGAAAAAACCTATAATATATACCTTTAATGAAATCGGGAGAGTTCTCTCTAATTCAACAGAAGCTTTGTCGTTCTCTTCATCATAAGAAACTGCAGGTAACTTCACATTTTGTAAAGCTGCCATAAGTGCTATCACTGCTGCATCATATAAGTTGCCATCATAGTTAATGCACACTACATCACAGTAGAGACACCAAGCCATCTAAATTTGTGAAGAAAATAATGCAATAAATACCTACACTGTACTGTATTATGTATACCATACAGGCTATGTCTTTGGAAACATTAATACAGTATCTGAAATACTGTTCTGCATTAGTAATTACTGTATCTCTGTCAGTATAAATCATTGTATATGATTCACATAACTGGTCATGTAGTATTTCATCAATGACCAGGACAGTTAACTGATGTGCACTAATATATATATTAACATACAGTGGAACCCCATTATGTGGATCCCCCTTTTCCAGATTATTGGGTTAACCACACACACATCTAGTTCTGTATATTATTAGCTGAATAGGGATCTGGTTAATGGAGGTCTATCAATCTATGCAATCATTTATCTTGACATCCAGAGGTATCACCTGGGCCACATAATGTGAGTACTGTGTAGATACACAAAGCTATACAAATAAAGAAATGAATATGTAAAATGATACACATGTATGCAGTGTCACTTTGAAGATACAATGTGTAAACTAGGTAACACAAACCTTGTTGGGTACAATGCAGAGGTCAGTGAGGTTTATAATTTGAGCACTGGTGATGACATTTTTTAAGAACTGGCTTGTGGCCATTGCTCTCTCTCCAGGTGGTCCCATCTGAAATTATGCATGTTACTATAAAATAATACTAAACATCAAATACTGCTACAGGTAGATCATAAGAGCCAAATAATACTGCATGTACTCAGTACAGTACTAGTATAAATGTAGAATGCTTCCCCCCTCTTTTAATCAGATACAGGTGTTTTTAATAAAATCCAATAACTACATTACAGCAGTAGTTTTTATATTTATTTTCCATACTGAAACCTAGGAAATCTGTGTGTGAAATGCCTTGGTTGACTTCTTAAGTCTTCATAGCCCAGTGCATCATTGGGTCCCTAAGTGTTAATTCATTTTTACAAAAGAAGCATGACAATGTCCAATGTAAATAGGATTGCTATTAAAGTAATTAATAGTACAGTGAAGATAAATCCACTTGAATCTTTACCTTGAACTGATGAGAGCAACATGGATATAGTTCCACATTAGGTACAATGAAGCCCTCATTTGGGTTCCGGAGAGTTGGGGTGGCTATTTCTGCTTTAATACCACACATGACAGTAGTGTGCCCCACACGCACAGTGGACGAACCCTCAGCTGTAGTTACAGTCCCAACCTTGACAGTAATGGGCCGAACACTCATCAATCCCCGGCCATCTGGTCGCTTATTTTTTTCCAGAAAGCTCCTGTTGATAAATTTATATACATAATTATAAGTGCTATAGAGACGTAATGATATTGTACCAATATTTTGACTCGTGCTGTTACTGTTTACTGTCTTAATGCCCAAGTTTGAGACAACATATAAAAATACTAATAACCTGATACCAATATTTGGTACTGTTGCCAGATGCTGAAACTTATTAAGACATAACGCTTCTCATGATCTCAATAATAATAATCATCATAATAATAATTTATTTAGGAAAAGTACATACATAGTTACAGTACAAACATTCTGTTTGATTTAAAGATAGAGGTAGTACATACAATACCTCAAGCCACTAGTACTCATAGCGTTTCGGGAAAAATGCTTCAGTGATACCTATAAACTCCCACAGTACAAATATAAGTTTAAAATTTCAAGCTCTACTAAGGCGTAAAAGGCTCTATTCCCCACTTCATTTATGGCAATTAACACTAGCAAGAAAAGTGAGGAACATACTTATAATAACTGTCAGGTTCAAAGGTCTTCCAGGTGTCCATGGAGGTCATGGTGGCGGGGGTAAACACTGAGGGCAACGGGCCTAATCTCCACCTTACTTCTCACAACACATTCCTACAACAAAAATTTTCCCGTTTACATGTTCATGCCAATGTATAAAAATGTTATTTGAATGAAAGATACTTTTAGTATATAAAGATACAAAGCTTGTCAATTTAATTTAAGCGGCGACCCCACCTTGCCTCACACCAGACTAATATGAGCAACGTTCTCAGGAATTCCCAGTCGTTACACTGTAACCAGTGAGCCAATTGCCAAGCCGCCACGGAGAACGCAATTCTCACTACACCGTCAAAGGAAGAGAGGGAATACAGTAGTAAGAAAGAGGTCAGGAGGCGGAGTGTTAAGGTCTTCCTGAGGGAGGGAGCGCTGGGCAGCCGCCGCCGTCCTTGAGGTCATCAAGTAATATTTTGATCACCATGGCCTTCACTGGTACCCGAAAGATCATCACCAGAATCCTCGCCGCGACCTATAGAACGCACCGACACTATACCTCAGACGGCAAGGTTAGATATTATCGCGAGTGTATGGAAATGGGTCTATAGAGAGATGGGCAGCAGCGGCCAAGGTCGGGGAGCACCTCCCCCCCCCCATACCTTCCCTCCCTTGCTGGTCTGGGGCACTGTGCCCAGCGAAGAGGCACAGTGCCTCCTCCCAGGTGCCAAGGCCGAGGAGGCTTCTTCCTGGGGCCCCCCCCCGACACCTGGCAAGATTTAGGAAATGTATGACATGCAGGAGGGATGAAGGTGAAGGGAGGGCCCCCATCCTTGTTGGGACACAGTCCTCTAGGGCAGGACTGTCTCACCTCGCACATGTCTACCATTGGCAGTGTACTTGGGGATTTATCAATGATGTGCAGCTTGCCAAAACCCGGGTTGTGATCGGAGGCGGCATTTTGACGAGGCTCGTTTTCCAAGTGTCGGAGTCGTGTGTGTATCGTTAGTTTTGCATATATTAGGCTACGTTAGTGTTTGGCTTGGTTGGGTTGGATTAAGTTAGGTTGGTTTGGGTTAGGTTAGGTTGAGTATGGTTAGGTAGGCTTTAAAATCCATTATTGAACAATCTTGTGTACACTTGTATCCTGAGGCTATGGCCCATTTCTGGAGGTACACAGCCATCCTAGTAATAGGTGGAGCCTTCTGCCAGGAAACACATATTGCTCACAAGTGATAGAAAATTTCTTAAAGTTGTAAATTCTCACTTCTTGTGTATGATCATTTATATATAGGGTGTCCTAGAAGTCTGGCCCCATAGGCATAGTATAAAAGAAATCACTAGGATTTTTTTATAATCAAGTTTATTAAGTATTGGCTGATTATTAGTAATCCTAAGGTGTCAGATCTGAAGATCTTGGTGGCCATTCAATTGGTCCAAAAGTTCAATCTATTTTCCTTTAAGTGTACTTTGCCTATGGGGCAAGACTTTTGGGACATCTTGTATAAATATATAGTAATTACCTAAGTGTAGTTACAAGATGAGCTACGCTCGTGGTGTCCCATCTTCCCAGTACTCTTATAAAACGCTTTGAAACTACTAATGATTTTGGCCTCCACCACCACCACACCTATCTTGCTCCAACCGTCTACCACTCTGTTTGCAAAAGTGAATTTTCTTGTATTCTTTTGGCAGTTTATTTAGTTACATTAAATCAATGACCTCTTGTTCTTGAAGTTCCAGGTCTTGGGAATTCTTCCCTATCAGTTCTATTGATTCCCGTTACTATTTTGTACGTAGTGATCATATCGCCGATTATTCTTCTATTTTCTAGTTTGGCATATTTAATGCCTCTACCTTCTTGTAGCTCTTGTCCTTCAGTTCTGGGAGCCATTTAGGCATGTCACCACACAACCGCTACATACAGTATTCCAGCTTTGGTCTAACAAAAGTTGTGAACAGTTTCCTTAGTATTTCACCATCCATGTATTTAAAAAACAATTCTGAAGTTAGAAAGTGTAGCATAGGCTCCTTGCATGATGTTCTTTATGTAGTCCTCAGGTGATAGTGTTCTATCTAGAACCAGCCAGAGATCTCTCTCTTTATCAGAATTCTTTAAAGATTTCTCACATAGTTTATAAGTTGTGTACGCGAGTCTTCTCATATTCCACAGACCATAACATGGCATTTATTCATATTAAATTCCATTTGAAAAGTGGTGTTCCATATACTTATTTTGTCCAGGTCATCTTGAAAGGTATGGCAATCATCTAAGTTTCTTATCTTCCATATTATCTTAGCATCATCAGCAAACATGTTCATATAATTCTGAATTCCATCTGGTAGATAATTTATGTAGACAATGAACATTACTGATGCAAGATTGTACTCCATTTGTGAGATTTCTCCAGGCTGATACATTGCCTCTGTTTACTGCCCTCATTTTTCTGTCGGTTAGAACATTTTTCATCCATGTTAGAAGCCTACCTGTCACTCCTCCAATATGTTCCAGTTTCCAGAACAACCTCTTATTTGGAATGCTATCAAAAGTCCTTTTTTAGGTCCAGATAAATGCAGTTAACCCAACCATCTTTTTCCTGTAAAATCTCTGTGGCTTGATCGTAGAAAGAGTAAATTCGTTACACAGGATCTTCCAGATCGAAAACCATACTGTTTGTCTGTTATTACATATATTGTTTTTCTCCAAGTGTTCTATACATTTAGTTTTAATTATTTTTTCCAATATTTTGACTACTACACTTGTCAATGATACAGGTCTATAATTTAAGGTCTTTCCTGTTACCACTTTTTGTAGATTGGAACTATGTTAGCCTTTTTCCACACATCTGCTAGGACTCCTGTACACAGGGATGGCTGAAAAATCAGTTTAAATTGAATGTTGAGCTCGGGGTGCACATTCTCTCGGAACCCATGGTGAAACTCCATCTGGGCCAACTGCTTTGTTCTTCCTCAGCTCCTTGAGCATTCTGTCCACTTATTTTCTAGACATTTGTATGTGCTCTCTGTTGTTCTCTGGCATGATTATTGTGTCTGGTTCTCTGAAGATTTCATTTGCACAAACACACTCAAGAACTTTTCGTTTAATGTTACACACCTTTTCATTTTCCATGAATCTATTTCCCATTTTCAACCTCTGAATATTATCCTTTACCTGCAATTTGCTGTTAATGTATTTATTGAATAGACCTGGTTCTGTTTTACATTTGTCCACTATCCCATACTCAAAATTTCTTTCTGCCTCTCTCCTCACTGCCGTGTAGTTGTTTCTTGCTTCTTTGTATCGCTGGTATGTTTGAGGGTTTGATCTCTTCCTATATTGATTCCATTTTTGTGTCTTTTGATCTCTGGCCCTCTCGTAATTTCTGTTGAACCCATCCTATTTCCTAGTTCTGTGTATGTATATGTATATATGTATGTGTGTGTATGTGTATATATGTATATACAGTATATATATATATATATATATATATATATATATATATATATATATATATATATATATATATATATATATATATATATATATATATATATATATATATATATATATATATATATATATATATATATATATATATATATATATATATATATATATATATATATATATATATATATATATATATATATATATATATATATATATATATATATATATATATATATATATAATGACTGCATATTCTGTAATCAATACAGAATATGCAGTCATATTCAATAAAACATGTATAAATGAAAACCTGCTGCCAGTATACACTAATAAACTGTATATAGAATATTATCCTGAATTTGCCCAAGGGCCATTAACACTAGTGCCTCGATGGGAACAGGAAGACAAAAGTCATGTCAAAAGTCATCCCATTTGTCCTGATCATTTTTTCCAGTTGGATTTAAAATTTAAGAGTTTTGGCACTTGTGACTTCAACGGGTAGGCAGTTCCATAGGTTTATAACCCTGAGGGTGAAAAAGCATCTCCTTTCTGTGGGGAGCCCCGTCGGCTCCCTGGAGCTATTGGACAGATATGCGATATATTAGTCTGGGGCATCGGTCAATTGGATTTCAGCCTACCAGGGACCACAAGCCAAATCCTAGCCCTCTTAGAGAGGCACTGGGAGCTATGGCCTATGGAAACCCCTATGTGGTTGGGGGGCATTCCATATCTGCCATCGACTGGGGTTAGGCGCCCAGAAAGGTAGGCATAACAAAACAATCCCCACTTGGTAAGAAAATTGCAACCGAAGACCAAACAGAGAGGCAGAACTCCACCAATGCCCAAAAAAACAGGCAAACTTCATACACCACCGCCGCGCTGCCTGTCCGCGCAGCCCTTCCCTCCCTGGGAGGAGGGGGGAGCCGTGGACCTCCCCGTGCCGGCTACTCTCGCCTCCAGTTCGTTGGCTGATGCGATCTGGGGCAGTCGTCAACTCTGGCCTTGATTTCTTGGCAGTGTTTTGCCTTTGTGGTGTTCTCTGCTGTTTTATGGTACAGTGGCCAGGTGTAACTTCAGTGTACTGGGGCTGCATGCACTTAGGGCTACTGTCCCTAAGCACCCTGTAAGTACTACCCTTGGGTGCTAGGGTTACTTTCCATAGTGCCTTCGGGATCTCACTTCCATAGGGGTTCTTGCTGTTCAGAGTTTACCCCGCTCTTGGGTCAGCTGGTATTTCGTGACCTTTGTTTGGCCTTGGGTAGGAAGTAGTATTGTTGCTGGCAGGGGCGCAAGGTGCTACGCAGCCTGCCTACCAACGCGGCGGCTGTGTTCCTGTTCCTTCTGGAGACGTACTTTTGCAGGGTTTTTCTTTTATTTTTGTTTTCATTGCCTGGTAGGGGTCTTGTGTTTTTTGGCTATTGATCCAGTTATGATATTTTGGTTGCCCTCCTCTAGGCCCCATGATTGTACGCGTTGCAGGGGGAGGGTTCAGTTTTAGCTCATCCCCCCCTTTGTTAGTTCTTGGGTTTAACTAGCTTTGCAGCACCTTGTCTGTGCTTCCCATAGCAGTCATTCTACGGGCCCTGGAAATCCCTGTTGGGGCTTGGTGGACCGATGGCTGCATCTTCCGAGTTCCAGCTGACCTCATGCTAGTTTGAAGGTTGTTCTGTGCCCTTGTCTCAGGATGACAGTCACCAATTTTGCCTCCGTCATGCTGCGTATTGTGTTTACAACACCTTTGACCTGGAGTCTTGCGAGACATGTTTTCTACTCATGCTCCAATTTACCCATTCTGTTTACATTGAGGTTCGGGTACAGGAGGCATCTGCGTTGCATGCTCGGTTTAGGGTGCTGCAACATGCTAGGTGGTTGCTCACTCAAATGCCCCAAAGCTGCCCCGTTTTGGTTATAGGGACCCGGACTTGGAGGCATTGGTCGCTTCGACTGTAGTTCAGTCCACGCTTCCCAGTCCTTCCCCGGTTGGCGTTGTTCACCCTGCTGTTCCCCCCCCCCCCCTCCCTCCCTGTATGGGTATAATTTGGGGTTGGCTCCTTCCCAGGTTCCGTTCCGGGTTCCCTTGTGTTCCTTAGTTCCTTCATGCTCTCCTGTGTCCCTGGGGTTTCTGCTCCGTCGGTCCTGGTAGTCGGTTTGTTCGGCTCCTTTTCTAGTGAAAGACAAGACAGCGACTTTCCGGAGGCGCCCTTGGGTCATTGATGCTTGGTTGGTCAGGTCGAGGATGCATCATGTGCTGTGTCTGATTGTAGCTCTTTGCTGTTATTTGGGTGCGGCTTTGGTGGCCGGGGATGTGCTTTGGGTCGATCGGTTTCCCTTTTTCCCTGTTCCAGGGCTCGGGTCTCCAAGGTCGTCCGCAGGGTTATTAAGTCTAGCCAGCCTGCGGTCTATCCTCCTGTTCGTGACATTCGTAAGTTTGCTGCTTTGCCTGCCGTCTTTGGCAATGTGTCTTGGTCTGATATTTGGGCACAGGGATTTTGGAGGTCGAACGGGGTCCTGGCTGCCCGTTATTTTGTCAACATTCCTGGTCCTATGTTCATGTGTGGCTTTGGGTCGCAAGTTGCAGCCAGTTGTCTCGATTTCGAGTTAAGGAGTGCGTGGTGGCCGTCTCCCGGGTAAGTCCCTCCTTTACATATGTAAAGGTATGTAACTATGTAGCTCCAGGAAGGCGAAGGGGCTCCCCACGGAAAACTAGCATTGAATATAATAAAACGCCATTTTCTGGATGAGCCCCAGAGTCTCCCTGGCACGCTTTCTCCCTCCTGGTTTGCAGTTTCGTTTTGGTTTTGATGCTCAGCCTCCGAACTGGGGTGTGAGTAGCTGGCGCAGGGTGCTCACCCCTCTCCCCCCTCTCGGGGAGGGGCGGGTTGCAAGGACTAATGGCTCGGCAGCGGTGTATGACGTTTGCTTGTTTCCTTGAGAGTTGGGGGAGTTCTGCCTCCCTGTTCGGTTTTCAGCTGCAATTTTCTTACCCAGTGGGGTTTGTTTTGTTATGCCTAACTTTCTGGGTGCCTAACCCTGGTCGATGGGTATCAGTCCGATAGCTGCAGGGAGCCTCAGGGACCCCACTAAGAAAATGACATTTCATTACATTCAATGCTAGTTTTTTGTCATTTATACAGGCAGGTGTGGTAGTTGGCATTTACAACAACAATGGTGAGGATGTTTTAACTGAAACTGCTGCTAGCATCAACACACGTTCATCAGGAAGCATCACACGGCTCATGCAGTAGTAAGTACTGTAGTTTTCTTTAATGTATCAAAGAATGTATTCATTCATCTTATTGTATTTATATTTATTTTGTTTATGATTATGTATATTTTGTTCTTGATTTTGGATCACTTTTGAAAGATCCTGGATTCAGTTTCTGTGGCAGGACAAAATAGTTTGGCTACTAATGTCTGTTGCATCCTGGAAAAGGTCAGCAGATGGCCTAAGGATACCTCAATATATCTAACAGGTTTCTTGTCCCTGATTATGGGAAACCATACAGAATACAGAATAAAGTCTGCAGATGACAAAGATATATGGTAAAAGGAGAAATGATAAAGATATTGAGACACTACAAGTGATCTCCACAAACTTCGCTAATGGTGAATGTAGAGTATAACAATACAAATCCTAACTATCTTGCGAATAACATGATTATGCATCAGGTCGAAGAAGAAAAGGACTTGGGATTTATAATCCACCAGTCTTTGAAAGTTGCTAAAAAAAGTAGAGCTGCATTGAAAGATCTAATCAAAACTTAGGATTAATCAAACTAATTTCAAAGAAAAGAAAGTGGTAATTCAACTGTCCGAATCCATGATGCTCCCATCTGGACTACTGTATCCAAGCCTGGAGACCTTACTTTCGAAAGGCCACATCTGCTTTGAAGAAAGTTTGACAAAGACCGATAAAAATCATCTGAGAACTAAGTCAACTCTTACTAGGAATGGTTGGACTAACAGGACTAACAGGACTCCTTAAGACTTAACAACTGTACAAACCAAACATGACAGGGCTGATCTCATTGAGGCCTTTATAATGCTGAATATATTGGAAGATATTTGTGTATAATTTACCATTAATACTTAGAGCTCTTTTAATAGTAAAAGAATGCACCAAAATCTGTCTTAAAGCTTTCAAGTTGATTCAAATTTAATTAACTGAATGTGAAATTTAAGAACTTGCAATAGACCTGTTGGACTTTTTGGAACAGCTCTTTATACTGAAGCAAACTCCATTCATATGTATGTATATATAGTATGTCTAACCTTCACTTGAAATACTCCAGTGATACTACATGTATTGTCACCTAATAGTTTCTTGAATGAATCATCAATTTTCAAACTAATATTTACCTAGGTATAAACTTAATTTGTATTCATGGGTTCCTGTTCTATTTTGTGTTGATATATTAAACACCTTATTAATACCGTACTGTATCTCCTTTCATCCATTTGTATACTTCAATCATATCACCTCTAACTCTGCTCCTTTCTAAATAATGTCAATTAAGGTTTTTCTCTCTTCATAAGGGAGGTTTCTAATTCCTGGGGTTAACATTATCCTTATTTATGGATACTAGAGTGAATTCATGTCTTTTCTATAGTGTGGTGACCAAAAGTGAACTGCATAACCAAAGTGAGGCTTAACAAGCTCAAAATAATGTTGAAGAATATTATCAAATGTTCTATTGCTAATACTTTTGGTTATAAATCCCAGTATCTTTTATTTGCCTTATTCTGTATCTTTATACATTTATTTTTTAGGCTTAAGTTTCTGATTAATTATAACTGCCAAATATTTTGTATTCTGATTTGGACATTTTATCATTGTCCAGCTGATATCTGGTAGCTTCAGTATCACACCAAGGCTCAGAGAACCCTACATTTGTTAACATTAAACTGCATCTGCCAATTGTTTTGATTATTTGGCCACTCTATGTTTGGAATCTCTTTTATGCAATATGTTACAATGTACAAAAGAACATAATATACTACATTATTTACTTTGAGAAATCATAAAATATGTGTGAGGTGCAAGTCTTTGGGATTGAGGGAGGCAGTTTTGGGTGATACTGGCTTTGGATGACTTGATTTTCCACCCGTGTAGCAGCCTGTTTTGTAGGGTCAAACTTTCAGGGATTTACAAGTTTTTTTCTGGGCACCTGGATACAAGTCAATAATAGCCAGCAATGCTAATTTTTTCATTACTCATTATCTACAATAACAGCAGAAGAGTTAAAAACTTATTAATAGTTAAATTCTTCATAACCTTTGGTCATGTTGAGAGGTCTAGTTATTCTGCCATTCTGCCTAAAGAGCATTGCATTGTTCCTAGATGTATAAATTAATTTTGTATGGATACAACTGATCTAGAGAATACTGTACATGTTCAGTGAATTTTGTTAATAATATGTAGTGTATTTGCAGTTTCTGTTATTTGAGAACAGCTTTAAATTTAGTGACTGAATTTCAAGTGACCTGAAAGATAAAAAATTTATCTTTAAATTTAATGTTAGAATTCATGTTTTATAATAATTTTCAAATGAAATAGGTTTGTTATTCAAATGAAATAGGTTTGTTAATGATAGGTGGTATCTTTCAGGTCACATCAAATTTGTACGTGTTGGACGCTTGGAGGAGGCGTTTATGAGCAACACTGGCCTTGTAACAAAGCAGTGTGGTGGAAGTCCACAGTATGGCGTCAAATGAAACACGGCTGGAAACCTCCAACACGTGCATGACTGGTCGGGGAGTTAAGCGTACCCATCCCATTGTCTTAAATGGCTTGGAGGGCACTGCAGAAGAGAAGAATTCAGATTACCTCTGTCCAGTGTGCTTGGACCTGATATCTGAAGCTCATATGACAAAATGTGGACACACATTCTGTCGTGGGTGTTTAGTTAGCAGCATAGAATCGAACAAACGATGCCCAAAGTGCAATTTTAGTGTAGAGAGTACAGATCACATATTTCCTAATCATACAGTAAATCAGCAAATATTAAAACAAAGACGAGCAGCTGACCTACAGGCTGCTTTTACAAAGAAAAATAAAACTGCAGCTCTTAGTGAACTTCGAAATTACCTTAGCTTTGATTCCTCTTGCTTAGAAGTTAGTGACATTACACATATAATAAATATATTGCAAGAAAAGAAAGAGCAGTTAGAAGCGGCTTCAATGCTGAACAAGTTTGAGTTGATGAAGGACTTTTTAAGCGAGCTGCGTAAGCAAAAGGAAGTACAGTTGGCGACTGTCAGTAGAGAGCTAAAACTGATAACACATGATTTAGCTAGTGTGCAAAGTAATCTTTCACCATATAGAACTTCAAATAGTTGTGTGCCCTTGGGTAACAGTGTCCCAAACTCTAGAAGTGTCTTTATTACTGAAATTCTTGATGGTGAATGCCCAGGGACATCAAATGGGTCCCAAGAGACTCAAAGCCCCACAGAAGAGGGATTTAACGTTCCTCTGTTCACTCAGGCCTGTCCTGAAAATTCTACAGTTCAAGCCAGAAAAAAGAGAATGCACCTACACTTTGATGAATTAGTTGAGCGATATTTTAGCATGCGGGTACCAGGCTTCAGTGACTCGGGTATGGAAGACGATGATGATGAAGGTCTTGACCAGTTTGGGGAATGCATTTCTAAGTTTACGTATTACAGTGGTATGCGCCCCTTAGCAACAATTAACTATAACTGCGATATGTTTCATCAATCAAGTAATATTGCCTCCAGTATAGAATTTGATAAGGATAGTGAATATTTTGCTGTTGCAGGCTTAACCAAAAAAATTCGCATATTTGACTATGGTACTGTCATCAGAGACACAGTGGATCTGCATTACCCATGTTCTGAAATGGTTTGCTCTTCTAAAATTAGCTGTGTAAGTTGGAGCAATTACATGAAAAATATGCTTGCAAGTAGTGATTATGATGGTACTGTAACTGTATGGGATGCATTCACTGCACAGAGGCTTCATGTTTTCCAGGAACATGAGAAACGATGTTGGAATGTGGATTTCAACAAAATGGACACCAAATTAATAGCTTCTGGTAGTGATGATCATAAAGTGAAGCTGTGGTCTTTAGACAGTGAAAGATCATTAACATCCTTGGAAGCTAAAGCAAATGTGTGTTGTGTGCAGTTTAATCCAGCAAGTAGATACCATCTAGCGTTTGGGTCGGCTGATCACTGCGTCCATTACTATGACCTGCGAAATATGAAAGAAGCAGTGAGAGTGTTTAAAGGTCACCGCAAAGCTGTTTCGTATGTCAAATTTGTGTCGAGTGAAGACATCGTCTCGGCCTCTACTGACAGTCTGTTAAAAATGTGGAATGTTAACAAGTCCCATTGTGTGCGATCATTGCAGGGGCATATAAATGAGAAAAATTTTGTAGGCTTGGCAACTGATGGGGAATATGTGGCCTGTGGCTCAGAAAACAATTCTCTATATGTATACTATAAAGGGCTATCTAAGAAGTTATTCAGTTTAAAATTTGATCAGAAGAAATGGGTATTAGACCCAGAGCAAAAGGAAGAAGAATCTTCAGAATTTGTATCTGCTGTTTGCTGGAGGAAAGGGTCTAATATCATAGCAGCAGGCAACAGTAAAGGCATCATCAAGATTCTGCAGATGGTTTAGTTGAATCCTTGGAGATATTAACTAGTACTTAAAACCGATTGATGTTTTGAGTTGCCTGTATGATACTGGAATTGTATTTATTGAGAAATTTCAGACAGTTCTAAAATAAATGTGCAGTTAATATCTGTATAGGACTCTACTTTGCCTTTGCCTACATTTTAACTTCTTTATTTTTTCATTAAATTCATATACCAGACCATGAATTTGGAATTGTTTAATAGTAACTGATTGTAAAAATATAAAAAAAAAAAAATCAAATTTTACCCAGTGATTTAGCACATTGTGTTAGGGGTAATCCTTACAAAGAAGGCTTTGGTTAGATTTGTATTTTAAGATTACATATACTATTGAAATTTAAAACGGATCATTGTATAAAATTAATTTTGTACTGTATGTTGTGCTGGAACCATAAATAATGATGATATTTATTGGTGCTCTTGTAATATTTCTTTAAGGCAAAATATTAGTTCAGTGTCTTGTGAATTTTATAACATATTTATATGTAAGGCAGTGACATCAGGATATCTTCATGTAATTGTTGTTTTGTGGTTTCATATTCTATATGTATGTACAGAGCAATTATGAAAAGTTATTTTGTAATGTATTTTAAGGTAAAAGTAACAAATTGGATTAATCTATTTTGATCTCAGGTAAGAGATTGTACATTCCCTAAAAATTTGGCTTGAGAAGTGTACTATAGCATGCATGTGTGTGTGTGTGTGTGTGTATATATATATATATATATATATATATATATATATATATATATATATATATATATATATATATATATATATATATATATATAATATAATATTACACACACATACACATTCAAACATACATACATACACATAAACAGAAACTCTTCTCCTGTGAGGGGTTCGAACCATGGAGAGCCAGGTGCATAACACACCATTGACATAACCAGCATTCTTGACCACTGCACCACGCAGATCGTTAAGAGGTTGAACGTTGGGGCTATTTACCCAACAGATCAACCTCCCAACGACACTAGCAGTAGTAACAGATCAGAGTTCAATTTCATCAAATCGATCACATTTACTAAGAGAAAATGTGAGCCTTAAATATACCACAGACTTACAGAAACACGTAAGACATAGTTAACTATGTTTTACTTGTTTCTGTAAGTGTGATTATAATAATATATATATATATATATATATATATATATATATATATATATATATATATATATATATATATATATATATATATATATATATATATATATATATATATATATACACACATATACATATACACATATATATACACATATACACACACACACACGCACATACATATATACATACAGTGGCACCTTGGTTTACGAATATAATCCGTTCCAAGAGACGGTTCATACGTCAAAAATTTGTAAACCAAAACACATTTTCCCATGAGAAACAATGTAAATTGAATTAATCCATTTCACACACCCAAAAATATTAACTTAAAAATACATTTTATACAGAATACTATGCATACTTTTTACTATACCTTACCTTCATTGAGGTCTCTTGTTGGCGTATGGAAGACGAGGAAGAGAAGAGGACCTTATACCTCTACAATTAGAAAACTGACGTAATTACTTTCTTAAAAAGAGTTACATGGCAAAGAGTAATGCAAAGATGGGACACCATGAGCGTAGCTTTCAACCTGTAACTACTCGGGTAATTACACACATACAAAATAAGGTACATTGGTTTGTGAAAATACATATGTTGGTGATATGGTAGTACATCATTCTTGCCAAGCCACTAATGTGCTTAGTGTTCTGGGCAGGTCCTAAAGCTAAACACAGAATTTGCAATGAATTTGAAATAGAAGTTGAAACAGTTCATTTTGTATAATAAAAATTAATGTAATGATATGTTTATAATAACAGAATTTGAATTCACATAATTACTATACTGTATCAGAATATGGTGGCGATAAAAGAAGTTACAAAGGAGCCTCGATTAACGAATTTAATCCATTCCGGCACCGAGCTCGTCTTGTGAAACGAATTTCCCCATTTAAAATAAAAGAAATAAAATTAATCAGTTCTACCTCCAAAAAATCAATAAGAAATTTTATAATGTAATTATATTACATGTAATTATTATAAAGGTTTAATTTATTTTTTCAATTGTACTTTACCTTATGAAGAGTCGTTGCTGGCTTGAGGGAGACGATGGGGAGGTGGTGAGGAGGAGAGGGGTTACAGTGTGGAAGGAGAATCCACCTCTGAGTCAGGCGATTTCCTTCTTCAAATCTACAGTAATTGTGTCTTTCTTCCTCTTGACAACACTATCTTTAGCAAGCAGATTCTTGGGGACATTGTGGGTTATAAACTGTAGTCACAAAACCACAAAAAAAAACAAAGAAAATCGTAAATAAATGCAGAGGGATGCTTGTCCTGTGTGATAAAACGACAACATTATTGTCGGAGGTGTCAGACAATTTGCGAAAACTAGCAGGAACGCTAGGTTTTCTTGTTAATGGAGTGGAAGCTCGTCAATCGAGACAAATTTTCTGAAATAGAATGGATGGTGGCAGCCCTTTCTACCTTCTACATCTACTTTCTCTCTCTCTACCTTTTCTACTATTCTACCTTATCTACTCCACTCTGTGTTCTCAGTCACTCCCTCCGTTTCTATTCAAATTTTCCCTTTCAAACTGACCACACTCCTCGCTACTCCCAATATTCCTTACTCCTCCCACCTCTCTACCTCCCTCACCCCAAACCCTCAGTCATTACTTCATTATTCATTTCTTTTTTATTTCCCATTCGTTTCTCTTATACATTACAATATGTTGCTCTGTTGAGTGATTCCTCCTGTGTCGTGCGGACTTGATGTGGCTGTCAGAAGTGGCTCTCTGAAGGAGGCGTGCTGAAGCAACAAGGAGGCCAAAAGTAGAAAGGGTTCTATGGTGCCAACTATATGGAGATTTCGAAACTTGTAGTCCGTATAGCTGTGAAGAACCCCAATATACGTCTCTCATGGCGACCGACGTAGGGCCAATTACAGATCAGCTGGGGCAACTGAATTCCATGGTCCTGTGTGCAGTGCAAGAAGTACCTGCTTTGAAGTAACCCATCCCTCTGCAACAACAAACCTCTTGCTGAGGGTACCAACACCCAAGAGGGGTCGAACAGGGCCCAAGCCCCCAAGTCAACTCCTCTCCAGCCCCAAGATCCTCCACATCAGGATCCAGGGCAGAGCCATCCTCCAAACCCTCTGCCTCTGGAGAAAAGGCATAGTCCACCGGAAAAGCAGGGAAGAAGGGGGTTGGCTGGTCTGACCCAAAAACCCAGGCAGAGGAAACCGGCTCAAATGCCTTCACTGTCATACTGGAAGGGGCAGCCCCCAACCCCCTTCCTCCCCGAGTCTCACAAACCATCTAAACCCTGTCTCAAGTCCGAAACCCTCAGATGTTTGGGAGTCAGCAACAGGGAAGGGAGAGGGGGGGAAAACAGGATGAACAACAGAAGGGAATGGTCGAGGAAGCAAAACCAAAGTCGGGGCGACTAACGCCCCAAGTCCGGGTCCTTATAATCAAAGTGGGGCAGCCTCAGGACATCCGGAAAGGCAACCAACCTAGCACGTTATCTTGAGATGATTTCGGGGCTTTAGTGTCCCCGCGGCCCGGTTCTCGACCAGGCCTCCACCCCCAGGAAGCAGCCCGTGACAGCTGACTAACACCCAGGTAACTATTTTACTGCTAGGTAACAGGGGCATAGGGTGAAAGAAACTCTGCCCATTGTTTCTCATCGGCGCCTGGGATCGAACCCAGGACCACAGGATCACAAGTCCAGAGTGCTGTCCGCTCGGCCGACCGGGTAAGTCCCTCTTTTTTTCTTGTCTTTGGTTAGGTAGCTCCGAGGACCCGTAGGGGCTCTCCACAGAAAACTAGCATTGAATGAATGTAATGAAATGCCATTTTTAGGGCAAGTCCCAGGGGCTCCCCGGCAACTTTCCCTCTCTCCGTTCTGCAGTTTTTTCATGTTTTTGACATTTAGCCTTTGAACTGGGGTAGGATAGCTGGCATGGGGGGGGCTTCCACATCCTGCCTCCCGGGGAATGGGAAAGGGGGGGAGCTGTGCAGACAGTGGCACAGCGGCAATGGTGACTTCATTGCTTGTTTGCTTGTTTTTTATTTGGGGAGTTCTGCTTACTTGTTTGGCTTTTGGTTGCAGTTTTTAACCAGCTGCAGTTTGTTTTAGGATGCTTAGCTTTCTAGGTGCCTAACCTGGTAGATGGCAGACATAGAATGCTTCCAACCACATGGGTTTTTTATTGGCCATTGCTCCTCGTGCCTCTCTGAGGGGACCAGGTTCTGGCTCGTGGTCCCCAGTAGGCTAGAACTCCATCGAATTGACTGATGCCATAGTCTATTATATACCTATCAGCCCAGTGAGCTCTGGCGAGCCTCCAGGACTCATCCAGAAAATGGGGTTTCATTACATTCAAAGCTGGTTTTTCAGTTAAACAAGGAAAGTAAGGACAATGTATTGTATAAAAAAAGAGGAGTTACAGACTATCTGTTGAATATAAAACTGAATCAAAAGAATTGATGAGAGAGGAATTCTGGTAAAAAGATCCCACAGATCAGTAAATTAAGGTTAATAAAGTACTGTAAATAGGCACGAGATTCATGCATGAGTTTAATATCAAAATTAATACACAGAAATCATATTAACGTGATATATCACTGAACAAATCCACAGGAGCCGTGATCCGAGGCACACTTAAATTCCAGGTATGCTTTAGTCGACTGCACCATGACTGTGCTGGGAACACCCAGCGCATAGGTTCGAACCCTCATCATGGTTCCTGTGAATTTGTTCATTGATATATCACATTAATGTGATTTCTCTGTGTATTGAAGGTAGGAGTCAGAGGTAGAAATACTGGACGACAGAGCTCAAGTGCATGGGGGGAATTGTGCGAAACCCTGGTTAGGCTTCAGTGGAAGCCTAAGGATCCTTGTGGTTGCTAGTACCCAAGGTTGCAATTCTTTTTACCATGTCATGGCACAGTTGACTAGAGTGTGCCTGGGAACACCCAGCACATTGGTTCAAACCCTCATCATGTCTCGTGTGTATTTGTTCATTAAAATTAATCATAACAGGGTGAGCCATTAGTGATTGTTGAAAGAGAAGTGTTTGGTAACAAAATCAAGCTAAATTCAAATACATAAAAAATGTAGTTAAACCTCACAGGAGACAGGAAAGCATGTGCCCAAATAAAAAAAAAAGTGCAGAAAGTCACACTCCTAAATTTGGTGTGTGTGTGTGTGTGTGTGTGTATACACACACACCAAGTGATTAGAACATGGTTAAATTAGTGTGTTTACAGCAGACTGTAAACGTGAGTAAAAAACATCTATTTACTATCTGAAAGCCCCCACATGTATTTTATTAATTTTTATTTTTTTCTGGAAGAGCTCCCTCAATAAGTACCAACCTGGCCTGTTGACACAGACTTGAGAACCACACAAAGGCTCCATCGATTTACAAGCACATACTGGGAACCAGGACCAGTCTGACCCCTCTCAAAAGTGGCAGGGAAGTTACTATCTAAGAATCCAGAATCAACCATAGTACCCAAGAGAAAAAACTCATCAGAAAGGCAAAGTTCACAAAAATAGATGTATAGCTTCATGGTAATTACTGGAAATGCTGCCCCTAAATATGTAAACAATCATTACCAAAGACTCATATGCCGCGAGGCATATTAGTTTCCAGTGATTGGCATCACTTGTTTTGCGATTAGGCTTGGCATTTCACCTTTCCGGGTTTTGCAATTAACCCTTCTCGGCTACGCTATGGTGCATCTGATCCCACGATCATCATCGCCCCTAAATCAACAACAACAACCCATCATGCAGCAGTACTGGCCACTAGCAATCTTGGTACAACATCCCACTCATTTTCACACTGCTGACAAGACCTGAACTGTTCCCCAGTCCCAAGTTCTGAAAGTATAAATATATGTTGGCCATGCTTTGAACTTTGTTCAGCATTGGGTCTGTTACTTCTGTTCCTTGTTTTACACTCAATGTATAAAACACGTAGGGCTGGACACAGAGACAGTTGTGGAAGAGATTCAAACAGCTGCATATTTTTCTAATTTGGTCTCTGAATTTTTAATGTGTTTGGGGGATGGGGCTGTGGTCTGAGGTTGATGCCAATCTTGTTTCTTCACCATCTCGTGGGTATCTCAGCTCAGTCCCACCCACATTACTAACTATTTTGTATGTACAAAGGGGAAAAGGGAAGCATCTTTGCTTTTAAGTAGTACTGTACACAGTATTCATAATATAGTACTGTACTGTTAACTGTTAGTAGTGTTGGAAGATATAGTACTTGTGATCACCTGGCAGGGATCATGAATACATCCCTCAGCAGCTGTAGTCATATCGTATTCAGTTATTAGCATCACAATTCCCTAATAATCACTTTTTTTTCTTTGTTGCAACAGTTGTGGGCCAA